TAAATAAGGTTATAAGCTTTTTTAAAGTTAAAAGCTATAAATTATTATATAGTTACTAGCCTATTTTTAATTTTAAAAATTAAGGGTAGTAGTATTTAATTTTTAATTAAGATTTTATTAAGTTATTAATAGTTAATAATTAATTATAACTTTTTATTTTTCTTTAATATAAATATTACAGAGTATTTTATTAATAAAATAAAAACTTAAATATATCCTTTCTTTAATTATTTATTTAACTATTTTCTTAATATTTTAAGCTTTTTTTTATTAAGGTTATATATTTTATAAATCTTAGGTTACTTTTTATTTACTAGTTTAATAAAGTAATTTTATTATAAGTATAATAGTAACTTAGTATTTAATATAGCCTAAATAGCTTTTAATATTATTTATATTAGTAAGGTATTTTAGTAAAAGTGTTTTTAAGTTTTTTTAATTTTTTTTTCTTATATATATTACTTAGTATATTATTTAATATTACTAGCTTATTTTTAAATCTTATTATAATTCTATTAATATAAATATATTCTGCCTTTTTATATTATTTATTAAATTATAGTAGTATTAGTAATTTACTTTTTTTAAACTTAACTATTTTTTTTATATTTTTTATAATTAATATAAAGAATTCTAATTCTTTTAGTAATATAACTTTACCTTTTTATTCTCTTTAGTATAATTAATATTTAAGTATATTCTTAATATTTTAGTAAACTTAGTTATTTTTTTATTAAATAATAAGGTTATTATTAAATAACTAGGGGTAATTTAAAAGGATATTCTCCTTTAGTATATTTAGAATATTAAATTAAATATAATAAGTATTTTTATTAATAGTTAGTAGAAGATAATTAGTTTTATATTTAATAAGTCCTTTTTTTATTTTTACTTTTATAATACTTATAATTTATAATACTTATTTTTTTTATTATATAAGGATTTAAAGTTCCTTAATTAATTATAGTAAAATTAAGTTATAATCTACTTTATTATTAATATATATAATAATAATATTATTATTAAATTATATATTAATTCTAAGTTTTCTTACTTTAGTTAATTTAACTATATTAATCTATATTTCTATTTTCTTAATAAGATTATAATCTTCCTTTATAATATTATAGGTTAATATATTAGCGTAAATAATATTAAAATTATTACTTCCTTATTATTATATTTATTATTTTTAAAGTTTTTAGTATTATTAGTATTTATTAATATTAATTTTATTAAGAATATACTTATAGAAATATATAATATCTTTTTTATAAATATATCCCTTAGTATATATTTTAAAATTATACTTATTATAGTATAACTATTATTAAATTTATTAATAGTTTTCTTTTACTACTTAATATTTCTTATAGTTTTTATTATTATATTATAAAAAATTAAACTTAGGATATTCTAGCTCCTACTTTAAGTTATACTAATCCTTAATCTTATAGTTAAAATATTAGCTATATTATTAATTAAGGCACTTATTTAAGTTAGCTTCTATATAATATTTATTATATAAGTTACTATATTAAATTTAAAAGTATTAGTTATTAATTTTAATTATATAATACTAGGTATATAATATATTATTATATTATTTTATAATTAACTATATGTAATTTTCTATAAACAGGGTATTATATATAAGTTATATTTCTTCTTATTTAAAAAACTAATCTTTAGTTAAAGTAAAGTAATAAGGGCTTATATTAATATATTTTATTATTTTATTATTTCCTAAAGCTTACTATTATATAATTTCTTTTTCTTTAAGGATTTATTAAAATTTACTTAAGTATATTATTTTATTTAATATAAGGCTATTAAATACTTTTATTATATTTATATTTATAATTTTATTATTATTAATATTTTTAGTATAATATTATACTTACTTCTTTAGGTTTTTTATACCCTTATTAAAAATAGTAATAAGTATATTATTAATAGCTTAGTTAATTATTTATTAATAACTAACTTTTTTAAAAATTATAGTATTTACTTTAATTTATTTAGGCTATTTTTTTTTAAGTACCTTAGAGAACTATCCTAATTTTTTTTTTTTACTTTTATATATAAGATATTAATTATTATAGTAGGCAGTTTAGTTAAATAGTTTATAAAAGACTATTTTAATTATATTAATTTATACTTTATTAAACTTCCTTTTATTAATAAGTTTTTTTAAGGTATTTAATTTACTATACTTACTTTAGTAGTTTTTTTTTAAGTAGCTTTTTTTTTTATAATAATTATACTTAGTAATCTTATAGGTATTAATAATATTAAGGTTTATTAGTTTTAGCTTTTTATTATTATATAAGGCTATATTATATTTTTTACTATAATTAATATAATAATAAAAGCAGTAGTAAGCCTTATTATTTCTTTCTTTTTCTACTTATTATTTTTTATATTATTTAAATTAATAATTATTAATATAGCTAGCTTTTTTAAAGAGTATTTTAAATATATCTAAGAGATTATTTTATATTAGTTTATCTTTTACTTCTAATTTTAATCCTTAGTAATATAGTATTTTCTTAGCTATATTTTTAAGGTTTATTTTAGCGTAAATTTAAATAAACTTAGCTATATACTTAGTATATACCCTTTATTATTAAAGTTTAAGTAGTATATTTTCTACTTTTTTCTTTTTATTAATTTAGCTAAATAATACCTTAAGTTAGTCTTTAAATTCTTTATAATTATTAAAAAGTATATTAATAATTACCTTCTTTTTAGCTTAGTTATATTATTTAAAGTTTTAAAAATATAATTTAAACTAATTTTTTAGTTTTTTAATAAATTAACTTTTTATAATATTAATTTATTATTTTTATAAGGCTATAGTTATTAAAAAGTACCTAAAATAAGCTTTTATATTTATAAAAAACCCTTTTATTTTTTATAAGTCTTTATTAAATAATATAGGCAGAGGTAGTTTAATAATTTTACTTAGTTCTTTATTATATAGTTATTTTTACTAGCCTTAGGCTATAGGTAATTATTATCCTTATATATTAAGTTAATTAGTAAGGTTATTAATAATATTTTACTAATTCTTAATAGTTATTTTTATTTAGGTAGCTAAAGCTTTTAGGTTTAGTAGTTACTAAGTTCCCTTAGTTATATTAGCCAGTGGTTTTTATAAAGCTAGTTAAGGCATAGGGTTTATAGTTTTAGTTACTTTTTTAATAAAGTCTAAAATTTTAATATTATTATTTTAAATACTCTAAGCTTTATTTTTATAATCTATTCCTACGTTTAGAACTTTAAAATTAACTATTTAGTATTTTTATAATAATATTACCTATAGTCTAAGGTAACCTTTAAATAAAAGTTATAAATATATAATAAGTTAAGCTTTTATATAATTAGTATAAAAGGAATTCCTAAGGGATAAACTTTATACTAAGTTTATATTAGTAAATAAGCTAGGCTAAACTATAAGTAATTAATAAAAATAAAAGGGTTTATTTATATAATTAGTAAATAATACTTTTATAAATATAATTAAGTATTATTCTATATTTATAACTAGCTATTTAACTATTTTAAATAAGTATAAAGAAGTTAAAATTATATACTTAGTTAGCTAAGTATCCTTAATATTCTTAATAGTAGAGTTTATTAAGTTATACTTAATTAACTTAATAATTAATTTTATTAAGTTATTTTTTATTAGTTAATTAGCCTGTTGTTTATCTATGGCCTTTTACCTAGGGCGGCCTATGGTTATGGCTATAAGAGTTAGCTTATAACAGTTATATAAATTTATATTTTTTACTATTACTTTATTTTCTTAACTATATTATAAAAACTAAGGGTATTATAATAATTAAAAAAAAATTTAAAAGGTTTTTAATAATATTTAATTTTATATTTAATTTAATATTTTTTTATAAAAAATAAACTAAAATAATAATATATTTATAATAAAAATAAAATAAGCTTAAAACTTAAGCTTATTTATAATATATTTTAAATAAATATTACTAAAACTAACTTTTAAATTTTTAATTAAAAAAAGTAATTATTAAAAATACTAAAATAATATTTTTAAAAAAAAAGTAATATATTAAAGTTAATTAATAAGCTTAATATTAAAGCTTAAAAAAGTATATTAACCTTATAGTAAGGCTTAAAGCTTATATTATAAAATTATTTTAATTATACTAAAAAAGCGTAAACTAAAGGTTATATAGCCTTTAGTATAATAATATATATTATATAAATAATTAAGAATTTTATATAATTATAAAAGTTAAAAATAAATATAATTACCTTTATATACTTATTTTATATACTTAATATAAAGCTTTTATAAACTTACTTTTATACTTCTTTACTTTTTTTTACTAACCTAACTTCTAATAGTCCTTTAATTTCCTTTATATTATTTTTAATAAATCTAATTTCTTTAATAAATTATAAAACAGTTTACTAAGTATCTTAATATTTTAACAATAAGGCCAATAACAAAGGTCATTCTACTGCAAAGTAAGCTCCATAAGAATCTTATTAAAAGAACGTTATTTAGTCAGTTTTACTCAAATTTGAGTATAACCTTTGCTAATAAACCATAAATCTATAGGACCAAGGATTACATAAACTGGAGAACTGAATACGAGACAGTATACGATAGGTTTATCACAACTTACCTACCAGTTCCTCCGCCAAACCCCGTTAAGATCGCAATTCTTGATACGGGTATAGATCGGGATTATTATGTCTTCGAAGCTCAGGAAGAAAAAATTAAAGCAGTGCTTAACTTTTATAACAGTAACCAAAGGTTTATACCCCACTTGAACGGACATGGCACTTTTACTGCCTGTTTAATATTTGATTACGCCCCAGATGCCAATCTCTATATTGCCAAGATTGCGGACGAAGAGAATGCGGCACCAAATGTCAAGAACGTTGTGAATGTTCGTAAAGGATCCACATGTCATTGACCTATAGCATTTCGAAACTAATACATACAGGCCATGAACCACGCAATTGACAACTGGAATGTAGACATCATCTCTTTGTCATTCGGGTGGCCCTTCACGGATTTTGAACATTACAATGAGCTTGAGGATGCTATCGACAAGGCATACAGTAAGAAAATTCTCATATTTGCCGCCGCTTCTAATAGTGGTGGCCGACTTGGGCGAGCCTATCCTGCAAGCAGTTCGCAGGCTATCTGTGTCCATTCAACCGACACCTGGGGAACTCCATCAGGCTTTAGTCCAACCGCCGAGCCCGACAATCTTAATGTTGCAACGGTTGGCGAGTCAATCGAGTCGGCATGGCCGATGCTGCTTTGCCACGACAAGATAACTCCACACAGGTATGTCAAGTCACGTTCTGGGACGTCATATGCAACACCGATTATGGCAGGGATTGCGGCTTTCCTGTTACAGTACGCAAGGCTGCATTAACCAGAGAGAGCTGCATCAGCTCTCAAAAGAAAGGAAAAGATGGAGGCATTGCTGAAGAGATGCGCCAGGCGAGGACCTAATTACGCGCGGAGGGGCAACTATTACTATGTCGAACTCAGTTTAAATCACCACAATCTGTTTGGCAGGGAGTTGAATAGGATTAATGACGAGATTTTGGAGACTCTAAAGAGATAAAGGTATTATTTGGGATTGATATAGTCGATTCAGAAGTAGTTCCATCATATGCCATTAGTTTCTCTCGGAATTGCGCAAAACACCACATCTTCTCCTTCAGTCAACTCTTCCGCATCATAGCCTTCGTCCTCTGCATCTGGGTATTCAACCTTGAGAACTAAATGCGATAGACTCTTGATTCGTTGCTGCTCTTTCTCATTACCGAGCATGGCTCCCCTACGATAATCTTCCTCGCTCACAACATGATCCGTTCCTTTGCCCACAAGGACTTTACTTACGCGGAACGCAAATACGAAGTCATCACCATTCTTGAATGCTGTAACAGCTTTGTTAGAAGCCATGTTCCCAGCTTCGGATCCTCCAAAGCTAATTGGTCCAACATGAGGTATGGCACTGTCAATCTGTATGGTGGGGTAGCTCCGAACAGCGTGCGACGTGTGCATGTTGGCCTCAATGCCGGTAACTATTTTTAAGCCGGTGATGACATAGACGAGTTTACGATGGCGGGATATTTAGAGATAGCAGCAGACATCGTCGTTTTCGACACAACTTTGGATGTATGACGACGTGGGAACAATTTGCATCGTTTCGACGGTATGGAAGGAAAATTGTTCTCCTTGCTGGCGAATTTATTTATTAGTGAGACGCTTTATTCGGCTGAACTATCCCCGTCTGCAACTATTCCAGCCCAGTCGGCCTTCATGTCCCCGCATTTACATAGGCCTACCTTGTCTCTCGTCCGATACTAACTCGGACATTTAGACCGAATATGCTGAAGAATCTCACTAGAATAGAGAATCTCTCGCCCTGTAGCTGATCCTTAGTGTGCTCGACACTCATTTTCTTCGTCGAAAAGATGTCTGAGTCCGAAGGCGGAACCCAATGAAGCGGCCGCTCGGGTTTCTTCACAGAGGTGATGACATTGCCGAGTTTGATGGGTCCGTTTGGAGGATAATCCCACGTTGGCGCATAAAAGAATAGATTCTGATTGTTTGCCATAACTAATATTGATCCTTTTTCGCCACCTAGTCCGATATGCGTGGTGGATGGGCAGTAGACCGGTTTCAACTCTAGTAAGATGAGGCCACAGAATGGAGCCTGACACAAATGTACAGCGTATCGGTGCCATTTTTCTATCGATAAAGCGCGAACGAGGCTACATACATTATGTAGAAGTGCAATAAACAACGCATATGCCTGGAGTTTTATTGGTGCGTTTCGGGCAGGATTCAAGAGGGCACCAATAGGAGTTGTGTGCTGTTTCTGGTGCAATTCCAAATATCAATGAAGGCCCTAGCAGTCCGAATTCTAGTTGACCAATCTTTGAACAAAAGGGCAGCTTACTTTTACTGAACATGTCAATGGGATGATGGTCATTTTGCTGTAGCCGTCGGCCAAGTCAATGATGACATCTCTGTCGATCTGCTCAATATCAAGATCATCCAAATCAAGATGGTACAAAAGCTTGATCCAAAAACACCATAATTCTTGGTTGATAATCGGCAAAGTGCTTTGAAGTTTAGGCCAATCTATTACGCAACACTTCGTACCGCCTTTCTCTCTATGTGCTGGGTATGTATGCAGTGTACCATGACCAGGCAATGCTTTGACCCGCGCCCAAGGTGGGGTGGGCGGTTACTGGCCCCTTATCATCTCATACGAACTAACTGAAGGAAAATTCTGCAAGCCTCATGTCATGTCATTCATGCTATAAATATCAGTACAAGCATTGGGTATGGGACCTAGAGGGAGAGAACCTTTTCATTCTAGTAATCCTCTATGGTTCACGAGAGAAATTATACGAGACAACCCTGCTAGACTCATTGATAGCGCGAACATATTTCATTCCCAGACTATGGAGAGCCTAACTATTTCATGATGATTCACTCCAAATACCCCGATCTTCTTTACGTGGAAGTTATTTCCCAACGCTAAATTCCAGTATTAGCCCCTTGCCCAGTCAGAGTGAGATCGTTCGACTTACCGTGCCACAAGCTTCTTGGCGCTAACCTTTCCATCGTACAAAGCCTGAACTCCCTCGACAATGCTGTTCAAGCCATCTGGAAGAATCTCCACAGGATGGGGCCTGAATTTGCCTTCTGCCAGCAGATGACTCAGGTATCTGTAGAAGAAGTAGGCAAATTCGCCATCCGCATACGCTTGTTCCTCATTGATGAAACTGTGGGAGACGTGATAGGCAGAGGAGACGAATGTGCGAGTAAACTTGATGGTCTCGGGAAACTTCCAGGTCTGGTCAGTAGGGGGGTCCACCATGTTGATGTGGCCACCGCCCGACGCGAGAAGGACTTCGGTGATACGCTCGTAGCTGCCGTGTCCGGACACAGCGTCGAACGCAATCCTGATTTTAGCAGACCCGGCGGCGGCAAGGATTTGCTCAGTCACATCCCCCTTTCGATAGTCGATGATGTGGTCCGCTGCGTTGAGCGACTGAACGTAGTCGATTCCATTGCCAGCAACGGTGATGATGGGTCCAATCTTGCTTAGCTTGGCCAGCTGGAGAGCGTAGGCGCCCACGGCTGTTGCTCCGCCCCAAATCAGGATGGGTGTCTTTTGAGCAGACTCATTGACGGTTGTTGGGAGGGGAACGCCCAGATACTGATACAGAGCAAGGGCTGCCGTCATGAAAGATAGGGGAAGCCCGGCGCCTGATTCGAGGGAAATATTAGGGGGCAGGGAGAAAGTGGTCGAGGCCGGGACAACTGTATACTCTGCATAAGTGCCGTGAGGCTGGAACATTCTGTGAAATCCCTCAACACGGTCGCCCGGCTTGTATTCGAACACTTCAGAGCCCACAGCTTCGACTGTGCCAGACACATCATCACCGACGTTGAAGGCAGTTGATTGATCACGATTTTTGGTAAACTGCCGAGGTTAGTTTATGAAACCGGGGTTGACAACTCAATAAAAATATTACCTTCCAATCTTTTGGATTCAGACCGGTGTAAGCAACTTTGATGAGAACATCCTTTGGTCCTGGCTTTCTGGGAGGTCATGAGTAATGATAATCTCGATCATTAGTTGACTGAGCGGCTCACGGAATCTCAGCTTCTCTCACAAAGCCAGAATAGGTAGGCTTGCCGTAGATGACAAGTTCTTGCATTTTCGATAATTTACGAGTCGAATTAAGGATAGAGTAATAATGAGAAAACTATCGGCGTGAAGTTGTTTGAAGAATTAACTTGTGATTGCAGTGATGTAGCGATGAGCTAATGAGTCTCGTAGTGTTGCTGTAATGATGATCTTTATATATATTTATGTTTGTGTAGTTTTATCTTTCCACCAACATTAATAATTGCTCTACATACATATACGTATAAAACCAATATTATTAATTGCAGTCTCTAAATATGTTGGCCTGATTGTAGAAACTGCCGATATCAGAGCTGACACAACTTTCATGAATGCCGACAAAGCGCCGCTGCGGATAACGCCGTTTACATGCGGAGATGTCGTCATTAAGGTATATTCTAAGCAGACGGCTGACCAAGCTAGTGCTTATACCAATACAGCAGCAAAGATGGAAAACTTTCGGAAAGTCGGTGCCTGTAGGTCTCCCGAAATCCCTGTGGCTGTCCAATCATTGATGAATATCAATCCGGATATTATTCTGGAAGGATGGTGAAGTTGATTTCCAGCATTGGTTGTAGATGCTAGTTCTATCGGGGCGCAATCTCCATGTCTTTAGATCGAATATAAGCACCGCAATCATGTTTTAGAATGTGGGCCGTGTGAATAACAGTGGCTGGAAACTTTGCAAATTCTAAATATGCCAACCTAACGCATAACAGCCTATCTTGACTTTTCTCAATTATAGAGTTGCAGGGTTAGTTCAGAAGTCTGCCGCCTGCAACGAACTAGGCTGTAGAGGAGCATCACTACCTAGTAGATACAGCCTTGGAGTGTCATTACTGGTAGCTGTAAAAGGCAGCATTTAGGGTTCAAAGTCCAATTATGCCTATTGGTATTGGTTGACCGCACTGGCTTGATAATGCAAGAGTTGGATCACACGTAGCAAGGTGCGGGTGGGAGTGCTAGCTGAGGACTAGATGGAGACTGAATCAGACAACGAATAGTTTATCCTCGGTTAAGAATTTGACAGCCCAGCTCAAAAAGCTGCACATTGCCACCTTCTCTAATGAATTATTAATCTTCTTCAAGATTGTCCCAGCTTCAAGTTCTATATTGTGCACATGTTGACATAGATTGACTGTCCCATTATATTAGAGTGAGGCCAAGCGGTTTAACCTTGGGTACAGCATGTTACCCGGAATCAAGCTCCTCGATATGGTGTGCGTTATGATTCAACTTGAAAGCATCCAACTGCCGCATCTGTATTGCCATATTGTACATTCATCAAAGACACATGCTATTATACTTAGGCAGTTTACTTTGCTTCATCCCGCCTTACACCAACATGCCTTTTAGTTAGTTTACATTTTGATTGCTGGTTGCCCTAATTATGAACATGTAATGAAGTATCTAGAACGTTATCAATTGCCTAGATGCTAATATGGATTTCTCGGTTTCTTTTCATAATGTAGAGCAAATGAGTTTGTGTTTATTGGCAGCTGAAGATAAAATGCTCAGTTCAGGTTAAGCCAGACAAGATTGAGATCAGGTCTCAGTGACTTAGAGGCTGCGGCGTATGCGGGGGATGGTTCCGCGTAACCTGTACCTCTCCGAAAGTGACCCAATGATGTCACTTTATCGGCCATTTTGATGACTCATTACTCGTGACCTCGCTGGATCGACAGATAAGATAAACACCCGCAACGTTTGTGGCGGGGCAAGCACCAGATAGCGATATCGCTATCGATACGGAGTGTGATACCAGTTTGAAGAAGTCGCGCTCCTCTATCTTTTGCTTTGAAAAAGTCAACGCTTTTCTCCTTCATCAAACTCGTGACTTGCAATCGCATATATGAAGCGACCATGATGATTATCAACCCATTCTACGCGCACAAAAATCCGTGACGATATCTCACTGAAACTGATGATCATTTTATAGTGGTAAGGCGGGGCTGCAAATTGGTGGGGTATCTTTGTACCTTGGACTAACACTTCAAACTTTTAGCTGCTGTTACTCATTTTTCTCCTCTGCCATCTCGACAAACTCCCGCAAGCTGTCGAGCTGCCGCTCATTATACCAAACGATAGCTTCACACGGCTTTTTGAAATCCCTTCACCGATTTCGAAAATGAGCTCGAAACCCGTCATTGGCCTTCTCGGAGGCGGCCAGCTGGGCCGAATGCTGTGCCAGGCCGCCGCTCCCCTCGATGTCGAAATCGCGATTCTCGATGCCGAAAACGCTCCCGCGAAGCAGATCAACCACAACAGCCACAACATCAATGGCTCATACAAGGACGCAGAGAAGATTAGGGAGCTAGCCTCTCACTGCAGCGTCCTCAGCGTCGAGACGGAGCACGTCGACACGACCGTATTGGAAGAGATTGCCACGACTACAAAGGTTGCCGTCTGCCCGTCTTGGAAGACGCTGCGTCTGATCCAGGACAAGTACGAGCAAAAGACATATTTCGCCGGCCAGGGAATCCCTGTTGCGGAGTCGGTGGCCATTGAGGGATCTGGTGACGCCATGCTCGCCTCTCTCAAGGCTGTCTCTGCCAAGTTTGGGTATCCCTGGATGCTGAAATCTAGGAAGGATTCTTATGACGGCAGAGGAAATCTCAAAATCTCCAACGAAGCCGATCTGGGGCGTGCTGTTGCCGAGTTTGGCAACTTTAGCTGCTATGCGGAAAAGTTTGTTCCTTTCCAATGCGAGCTGTCTGTGCTCGTCATCCGCACTGAAGACGAGGAGGGTCAGACAAAGCGCCTGCTACCATATCCTGCAGTAGAGACGGTGCACGAAGACAACATCTGCTCGCGAGTCTATCTGCCGCCTCGAACAACTCCCGCTGCTGCTTGTGAGCGAGCCCAGCAGGTTGCCAGCGACGTTGTTGGCAAGCTGTGGGGAAGAGGCATTTTTGCTGTTGAGATGTTTGTCACCCAAGATAACCAAATTCTGGTCAACGAGATTGCGCCTCGACCGCACAACTCGGGACATCTTTTTATTGAAGCAGTGCCGTACATGTAAGCAACTCTCCCGTCACTCTGACCATCTCTGTGCCTATCACTTTCATGTGTTTCTATGAAGCCTAACGGTCCACCCCAGGTCACAGTACAAGGCACAGCTCACCTCGATTCTCGACCAAACTCTTCCCGCCAAGATTGAGCCTTACGTCTCTTCCAGTATCATGATCAATATCCTTGGGGGCGCTAACCCCGATTCCCATCTGGATCTTGTCGAGAAAGCCAAGTCCATGTACGGAAACAAGATGGCTGTCTATGTCCATCTCTACGGCAAAGAGTCAAAGCCCAGTCGAAAGATTGGCCACATCACAGTTACTGGTCTGGTGGCCAGCATAACAGAGCTCGAGGAGTTTGCAAAGCCCCTTGTTGACATGGCTAGCGACATTCGACAAGAGAGACTGCAGGCACGCACCAAGGCTCTTCGACCAGAGCAAGCCGTTTCCAAGGCCACACAGGCACCTCTCGTCCTCGTAACCATGGGCTCAGACTCCGACCTCCCAGTGCTCAAGGCCGGCATCGACATTCTCAACCAATTTGGCGTGCCGTGGGAAGTCGACATCACATCGGCGCACCGCACGCCGGCCAAGATGGCTGACGTCGCCACAAAGGCAGCTGGTCGTGGCATCAAGGTCATCATCGCGGCAGCTGGAGGAGCCGCTCATCTGCCCGGAATGGTGTCTGCTTACACACCACTGCCCGTGATCGGTGTCCCCGTCAAAGCCACACATCTCGACGGTGTTGATTCTCTGTATTCGATTGTTCAGATGCCTGTAAGTTCAAGTTCACCCGGTTCCCTTCATAGAACTCTCTCTTCGGTTATCATATAACCCTCTCCTCGCTCTTGATGATGCTAACAAACTCCCAGCGAGGCGTACCGACGGCCACGGTTGGCATCAACAACTCGACCAACGCGGCTCTCCTCGCCATTCGATGCCTGGGTGCTTTCATTCCCGAATACCTCAACAAGATGAAGGCGTATCAGCTCGAGAATGAAAAGCAGGTGGAGGAAAAGGCGATCAAGTTACGGGAGATCAACGTTGAGGCATACCTCGCGCAAATGAAGAAGGCATAACTTGCTTCTCTGAAATTGTGCGTTCAACTACCAAGTACGCTCATATGCTTCAGTCATGCAGTGTTGGCCGTGAAATGTGTTCATGAGCTTTGTTTATGAAGGCGCATCGAATTTTATACCATGATTACAACATGTGTGATATACCACAGTGTTTCAGCAGTTTCGCTTAAAGCTGTGGCGCAATATTTAGATGCAAAGATCGCGAGGGGAAACACATACAGAAATTATCACGCAAAGAAGCCAGTGTTGTCGAATGTCTACTGATATTGACAGCCGAGTGATTTTATGAGAAATGAGCTACTATCAGCTGCCATAATTAATACCAGCTACAATCATTACCATCAGCTACCATCAGCTAGTTGTGCTACTATCAGCTACTAGTGATCGTCTTTTGAATGCCTCCGGGTGTGATAGCCCTCTTTCACCTGGCTTTTATTGGCATTCTCGCTCAAGGCGTATGAAATTTCACACTTCAACGGCATGTGAACATTCTTCCATCTAGCTTTTATTGTGCAGTCTCGTTAAACACGCTTGGCCTTTTTGCAATCCAAGGGCATCTTATATCAGCTGAACACCGAGCAATACATAACTGGTGCCTTAGTGGTCACCGTGGAGGTCGAAATCTTCATCGCCCTTTGAGTCTTCCTCACCATACAATGGTTCAATACCCTGGAATACGTGCGTTAAGTCGTGCAAACTTGATCGGTGATCATAACATTTGAAGCAAAGCGAGAAGTTATTTGGGCAATCGACGCACTTCCACTGGCAACCTATAATTGCCTATATGTTATGGTATTGTTAACAACTGGTTCGGCTCATGGAAGAGGCGGCTCGCTTACCATAAAACAGCTTTTGCCATAATATGAGGTCCAGTCTCCCGGTTCAATCTTGTGGAAGTTATCACCCACTCCTCTATGCCCTCAGAGGTGATTCTGACGCGCTCCTTGGGCTCCAGTAAATGCCTCAAGTCTGTCTGATTGTCTGAAAAGTTCATCAGCTTCAATGCTGACCACTCTCCTCCGGCGCCATTTGCACGACTTCAGACCCATACGTCAGCACCTCGCTCAACCAACATGGTGATGACATCTGCAGAACCCGATCTTGCTGCCCACATCAGAGGAGTCCAACCATCCTCATCTTCCACATTGATATCCGTATCTTTATACTGGTCCAAAAGATACGCGACGATATGTGTTGAATCCGTTCCCGCCGCAAAGTGTATCGGCAATCGACTATACTTGTCTCTTGTGTCAACATTCGCACCGGCCGCCACCAGGACTCTTACACACTCGGGTGGTGATAAACAGGCAATATGTAGCGCAGTTCTGCCTTGGCTGTCAGCGAGATTGATGTCAGCCTTACGCCTGATGAAGAACTTTATAATTCTGATGATGTTCGTGACATGGTGCCTGACCAAAACCACTGCACGAATGATAGGATAGCCCAGGCTACCACCGAATTTGTTAATTGGTACCCTGACTTCGTCAACGAGATACTTGACCATTTTCTCGAGGCCCCAGTCGTCTTCAATATCGAATGCAGTGTATAATAACGACTTGCCGTACTTGGGATCAACTGCCTCGCGATCGGCCCCAGCATCAACGAGAAATTTAACAATGCTCAGATCGCCGTTAACGACGACTATATGTAAGATGCTGCCAAAATCAGGTCCAAATATGTTGACATTGGCCCCACACCTAACAAGATACCTGGCAGCACTTAGGTTTTGCTCTCTGACGGCGATAGCCAGTGGTGTATATCCATCTTCATCCTGAGTGTCAATTGGGACCACCGCCGAGGCTAGTAGTAGCTCGACGATTGAAACTCTTGTCCTTCTCTGGATGAAATGGAGCAGGGTCTGGCGCTTCTCGTTGACATGACCCGCATTACTACCATTGCGATTAGACAGCAGTAGCCTGAAACACTCTTCAGCTTGTCTGTAGCCTTGGTCCCCGGCTAGCAGGATATCAAGTGCATTGTCGCCGTTATTATTTCGAAAATAGGCATTGGCCCCAGCATCTAGCAGAAGCTTGACGCATTTCGAATGACGGAAGAAGCAGGCTATCTGGAGAGCTGTGTATCCCAGGAAATATCTTTTCCAGGGTGCTGACATTCCAGATCAGGCTTAGCATTATGTTTGATGAGAGCTTCAACTGTCTCGGGCAGATTGAGTTGCGTAGCCCTGGAGAGTGCAGTCCCCAGGATGCTATCGTGGTCGATAGGAAGGCCTTTTGAGAGTAACTCTTGGACGATGGTGGGATATTTGACAGCAGCGATGAGTGCAGTTAGGCCATCAGGACCTACTTGGTTGACATCAACTTTTTCGTCTTGCAGTATGTATTCAGCCGATTCACTGCCGCCATGAAAGAGGGCGGCGATTAGCGGAGGATATGAAACACCGTCGGAGTGATTGATGTCTGCTCCGTTCTGAACTAGGAGCTTCGCGATGTCCAAATGGCATCCATAGAAAGCTCTTGAAAGCGGTGTCTTTATGTTCACAAAATATGTGTCAAGAGCGTTAACCTCGGCGCCGTGTTGGATCAACATTGATACGAACTCAGAGTCTCCAGTCTCGATTGCCACCGTTAAAAGCATAGGCTTGTCAGGAGGTTGCACGTTAAAGTCTTGGTTTGGTTCATACTGGAGCAATATACGGGCAATGTCAGTATATCCGTTCTCAACGGCCCCGTACAGAGCCGAACTGACTGTGCTCAAGATGTCCGGCTTAACCGCATAGCTCAGTAAAATCCGGACACATTCTGTCGCACCGTGTGTAGCGGCGAAGAGTAGATGCGGCCTTACGGAGAGCTTGCCAGCCTCGTTTTCTTCGCCACTCACAAACTCGATACCAGATTTGATGAGCAACGTTAATACTTTGTGTTTGTAGTTATCGATTGCCATTTGAATCAAATCGGACTTTGAGTCGTCCTTCATGGTTGTGCTCTTTTCTAAGATTAGTTTGACTGTTTGAGGGGATCCACAACCGACAGCCAAGGCAATGGCAGAGGCTTTACCCAGATCGCTCCTCGTCAAATCTGGCTTAGAATCGGATGCCAGCAGAATCTCCATGGAAGAAACACGGTTCCATAGCACTGCATTACTGATTGCTGTCGGCATATAGATTTCCCTAAACTCATCAACATCATCACTACATGTAGATTGTAGTATGGTTGTGAGGAGACTATCAAGTCCAATAGAAGAGGCTCGATGGAATAAGTCCTCCGGTCACTCGAAGGTCTTCAAATCCGGTACTTTATCAACAAGAGCTTTGACGGTATCCGGGTTTCCTTGGCTAGAGCTTTGACGGTATCCGGGTTTCCTTGGCTAGCTGCCCAACACAGCGCGTATTTGAGCTCTTCTTGGTCCACTGACACATGACGCAGTAGTGTGCCAAATATGGTGCTGTGGCCCGCCCGAGCTGCCTCTGAGATGGCGAACCAACAATCTGTCTGAAAGAAAGGTTGTCTAATCGTGTCTTACTGTTCCTCGCGGATGGCGAAGTCGAAAATATTCCGCAAGGAGATCTTCCGCATGGAATTCAATGCCACTAGGCTCATAGATCCTTGCGTCTTCATCGATATCGTACCCGTAGTCGACCTCTCTGATCGGTATTTGATCAAGCAAAGTATCCAAGATCCATCGTGTCCCGTCCTCTCTTTTCCAGGCGGTTTTATAATCGTCGCGTATACCGTGAACAGTAATTACACTATATAATATCAGTTTTGCCATTTCTAACATCTCGAAACTGCCATTTGGTATCGTACTCAAATTTGATGTCAGATGGGTCTAATGAAATGGAGATCAGTCTGGATCCGCGCTTTGTTGTTCTGGACTCTGATGACCAGTCACTCCAGGTTTTAGAAGACAGAAAAGTTGACGGATTGTCAGTGTGAGATATTTGATCTTTGTCAACACATCCGGTGTTTAGTTGTATCTCTGAACCATCGTCTGCCATTGCACTAGAAAGAGCTGCTTTGATATGAATGATATTTTAACGTGGAGAATAGGTACTCCGTATGAATTGGAGATTAAGCAATCGTTCGAATGAAAGGCTATGTGATGGTGTTATATAGAATTTTGTTGAATGTGGGTCTTCCTCCGGTTTGTTTGTTACAATACGTCGTACAACGCTGCAAGGCTCATCACAAGCCGCGTGTTTCTTTGTCATCACATAGATACAAGCAGCAGTCGATGAGGCATTTCTTTGTGTGCTATCACAAGGCTCTTTGTAACCTGATTTCTATGCTCCATCTTATTGATCAATCGCTAATTTCTGCAACTCTCTTAAGCACCAGTTACAGATTGCGGCGGCACAAATGGTGTGACACCCCCTCACTGGAAGCCTCGTCCTATGGTGCAAACGCGACAGATCTTACTCAGCCCTTCGAAACTTCTAGCTACGCAACTCTGTAGCACTGTGGTGGAATATATGTTTTGATAAATAAAAGCTGGTTGATGTATTGCTTATTTAGAACTCGATACTAGGTAAACCTATAGTCCCTGCTTAAACGGCTAAGCTATCGTCTAGTGTTTTCGCCACTCGAAATAGTTCGTTCTAAATGTGACGCTGCAGAGGTCGTTTAGATGGATGCTACCCAACTCATCATCGCCATACGTGACATTCTTGTTGGACCTTGCTCCCACATCGTGAGGAGTTGGTTGCAAGATGATGGGATCGTCTCTCGGTATCTTCTTGAAACATCCTTGTATAGCCGTCTTAAGATCTGTCCGACAAGAGAAATCGACTTTACACAGGAATTTTTCCCGACCTTGAGTGAGGCAGGAATACCTGAGGGCTGCGAGGGATTCTCCGAGAGAGTCCACGTCGCAATGCGGTTATGAGGCCGATTATCAATGACATGCATTGCACCGCTCAGGGTAATAGCATTTGACGCAGGGCCAGGTCAAGAAGGATTAAGATGCAAGGTTAGCTTATTGCAATCACACCTTAGCTCATATATTATGGGCCTATGCTATAATCTTGAGAATACATCTTACTTAAATCAGGGCTTTACAAAGATAAGTAACCGTTGTGCTAAACAGAAATGCCATGAAATGCTAGTGTTCAGAGTGCTGTGACAAACATACAGTTAATTGAGCTTGGATAGCGTATGGACTATAAACTATTTCTTGACGGTACTATCAAGCCTTCGTCCACCTATTCTACCTGCTCTTCGAGAAAGATTTATCCCCCCCGTCTTTCTCCCAGATCGATTTATTCTGCACGATAAACTCCTCCATGCTCTGTGATGGGTGGCCAATAATCTTCTCAAACAAATCGTTAGTACCAGCCATAAGACCATCACGATGCATCTCGCCCGCCGCGTTGAAATGCTGCTCCAGGTACGGCATTTCAACGGGCGAGAATGACCCAATCAAGACGCTGGCCTTGACTTGCTCGTAGCGAATTTCTCTTCCAAGCTGCTTCGACAGAACATTGGCAATCTCAGGCGGCGTCAACTCGGTAGGACCAACCACTGGATATGACTGTCCCTCATGGCCGGCAGGGTTCTCAAGCAGCGTGGCGGTCAACTCTCCAATGTCCTCAGTAGAGACTGAAGCAAATTTGCCCGTTGGGCTAAAAGTAACGGCGAAGCGATCTTCTTCCCTGATCAGTTTGCTAGCAAAGATGAGCCATTCGTGGAAAACCGTTGGTTGCAGATGCGTGACAGGCGTGCCAGCCCAGTCAAAAACTCGCTCCGAAAGCCAGTGGTTAGTGGAAGCATTGCTGGGGACTTCGGATCTCGCAACAATTTGAGACATGTTGACGATGTATTCGGCTTCGGCCTCTTTAGCCGCTTGAGCAAAAATAGTAGTTGCATCGATGAGCCCTGGCGCTACAGGATACACAAAATAAGCTCTCTTGACGCCCTTGAATGCGCGTCGGACTGAACGCAAATCAAGGAGATCTCCAACAACGACTTCAGCGCCTTGAGCTTCAAGCTGGCGCGAGCGATCATCCTCTTTGTGGACAAATGCACGCACAGAAAGACCTTTCTGTAACAGACACTTGATTGTAGCGCGTCCAGTAGAGCCCGTGGCGCCAGTGATGAGAATTGGAGCCATTGTGAGACTGATTGCTGTTGGAGTTGCGGGTTTGAAGTTTAAAGTATCTGTAAGTTTATAGCTTGTTGTAAGACAATAAGAGGTGATGATGAGGACATCTGATATCATGTCTCTGGCATTGTATTTATACAACACGAGTATTCAAGAACATGGGTTGGGCGGATGCAACGCCTGGCTCCATCTTTGACAATCTGAGAAACCCCCATGGTAATCTATCTTGCCTATTTGGGTGATTAGTATACGTTTTAATGAACGTCGGATACATTTAAGCCAGAGTTTAACGCTGGATAGTGTGGAGAGACTCAGCCATTGGAACTGAGTTTCAGCCATGTGCGAAGTAATGTGTTACCACTATAGCAATTGACAATTGAGCCTACCATCCGTGCAACCCTGGTTTCTGTTGCTGTTAACAACTGTCTTCTAAGATTAATAAACAGTTTCATCATTCTGTGCATAGGTTGAATCACCTATTGCGTGTTGCTTCCACCAAGAATAGCGTGGTACAGATGATGCATTGCGTGTATTGCTGCCTGTTACTCCTCACAAGTGCCAGAATGGGTAAAGACATGATCCTCAGTAAGAATCAAGCACTCCCCAGTATTTCGTAGATATTTGCTAACAACCACTAACCATCAATCTTTGCTGTAAGATTGCTTTCATACATCACAAAGAGTAAAACACGTTCATCTTCTGCTTCTTTATTCATCACTCACATTACCTAACCTGAATGTTGAAGCTGTAATAGCACACATCTCTCCTATCCCCACCAACACCACAACTCTGTTTATCCTAATGACAAAATGATACGCGCGTTCCATGGAGTTATAAAATTAGCACACCATTTGAAACCACTTTGTAATGTCGCAAGACGCCGATCCAGTATAACTCTGAGAGGCTGAAGAATCCTTCCGAGCTACGTGCCTTGGAAAATGTTTGGATTGGTAATCTTGTTGGACCCATTGAAGCCACCTTGAGGAAGATGACAAAGGAGTTGTGCAAGATACAGTGAGCTCTTATGGAATAACAATACATATAACACGACACACAGTGCTCTTCATTATCGAGGAGAGACAGTATGAGCACAGTGCAAAACCTACCTGAGCTGTTTAGTAATTATTAAATAGCGTTCAGTAATCATGAATGAAGCCACATGTGTCGTCTTGCTGAGTGATATGGTCTAAATATATGTATTGCAGGGGTCACGTATCTGAATTGTACGTCTTATGGATTCGTAAACATATTGCTGCCTCAATAATGGTGTCATATTGAGCTGAGGAAGTAGTTGAACTGGCAACAATAATAACAGTAGCTAAAATTTTGACCAGCATCCTCCGCTAGAGATAAAGATTGCATTAAGTATGCCATCGCCATAGTAACACTTATTATAGTGTAGTCATTCTTGGGAATGGAACAGATTCCAGCCAAATCAACTCATCTTGCCTCTAAAACATGTCTCTTACAAATTATATCTGAAGTGAATGTTCTGCTAATCTGTCATATCAGACTCTCCGTTAATTTTACCTCGGTATATGGATTCTTCCGGCGTCATTCCCATCTCTGCGACCTTTTTGGCCCGTCTTCTGTTCTGGGATACATCTTACTATTACGTTAGTGGATGAACATTGTTATATAAGGAAGAACTTACAGTGTAATCGCCACAGAACGAACATAATGCACTGCACTGCATACATGATGCCGCATATAACAAGTGCAGGGACATATCTGGGCGCCCATTCAGCTCGAAACGTCTGGGACCCAATAGCGTTGCCAATGCAAACTGCAATGAACATGATGGCGCTGGTGACGGACTTTTTAGTTCTCCCGGCAACATTGGATGGTAGCAATGACCAAATGAGCAATGCCGGTAGTCGGCCTGTTGCCATCATAAGATAGAGACCCCATCGAGTCCATAATAAGCCTTCCTTGGGCAACAGTCCCAAGGTCAACGTGCCGACAAATGACGGGATAGTTGAGCCTATCATGAGGAACACTAAGTCATTTTAGTTGGCAGAAGTGTAGCTGTGAATAGGCAATTTTGATCCTACATCTAGTTCGAGGCTTCTTTAGCGACCAAACTCCGCCGAGTAACATCCACGCAATAGCTAGAAGATCTAATGGAATGATGCCCTTGACTATCGTTTCCAGATTTGTAAACCCAAACGAGATAAAGATGAGATTGCCAAATGCCGCCGTTCCACCAAAAGGTATCCCCGGCAGCAATAACTGTAAAAAAGAAGACGTAAGTCTGCGGGTCTTTGAGAGTATCTTGAACCTGGCTCCAACACCATGTACGGTGACTGTCAGATCCGGTCTGGTTATTGGCGATTCTTGTAGCAACAATATGCTTCTCCTTTCTGGATAGCCATCCAACTTCGTTAGGTGTTCCTACAAAGAACAGTGCCACAAGCGATAAGAGCATCGTCCACGATCCCAGAAAAATACTAATCCACCGCCATGAGCCAAGAGTGCTTTCGTGTCTCTTGGCAACGTTACCGATTCCGTACATGGCTAATTGCGCTATAATGTCAAAACCACTGTTCGCCGTTGACCAAATGATGGATCGCATGGTATGCTCTTGACTGACGTAGAAGGATGCCGTGATGAGAAGAAAAGCAGGGGAAATTGTGCATTCGAAAGGCCTTGCAACGACCGCAGAGCTGCAACTTGGGCAAAATCCTGTACAAATGCGATGCAGAGGACAACGACGCTCCAGCAAAACATGCAGATAAATAGTGTCTTGTTCACGCTGAATCGCTGCATCAAGTAGTTCCCGGGAGTTTCGCCGACGAAATAGGCAATATAGAACGCAGTCGTCAACCCTATTAGGAGACATTATCAGCAATCATAGCCACGTACTACAGATTCGTCATTCGTCACGAATACCACTCACACGATAATTGCTGACCGGCCAGTCCCATGTCATTGATCATTCCAAACGTTGCTTGCGTAGAGACGGCCGTTTTATCTGCCTGTTGGGTGCCGTAGCATAGCCACATGAGCGGCAAAAGAATGCGATCAATCTTTTTGAGGACACACTTGTATTCATCTTTGGTATACTTTGCATTGACTGTATCCAATATGCTGTCCTGAGCCCTTGTCACAGCGTGCATGTCAACAATCTCTGTAACCATAGTGCTCTCATCTGGAGGCGCTTGTTTCTCGTCTCCATGCAAAAGTGCTGCCATGGTATCGAATCGCGACATCCAGACGCAATGTCAAGGAAAACGAGGGGATGAATTGTGACACAACTGAGTTGTACAGGACCAGGTAGCACTGATATTAGTCAAAGGCCGCCCTGAAATTATGAGAGTGAGGTCTTGTCTGAGGTCTGAGACAATTCAGTGTTCCCTTCCTATGAGTGGATCTTGAGGAGTAAGAAACGGGACGGGCCATTGGTAACATCGTAATGCTCTTTCTGTCTGACAGATATCCGGAGTTCGGTAGGTTGGGAGCACGTAAGAACACGCAAATAAACATTTTCGAAAGCAGTGGGTAATGATGTCTAGGTTTAAGGAGCTTCGTGTCTTTGTGTGCCGTCATGTAGCATCGAGGTATCAATGAACCATGGACTACAAGAAAGCAACGCCACATAACGGGCAAACGGAACTCAGGTATTAAACCACTATTGAATTAATGAAAAAGAATGAACGTCTGTAGGCAAAGTGACGGAGCCTTCTAACCTATGCCAACAGCGTCATAAGTTGGTAGCTACAGACTTGATATGGCCATGTATAATTGATGAAGCATGATAATCCTCTTCTTGCAATTTTTTTTTCCAATTTAAAGATTCTACCACTCTGTTGCCGAAACATGTTAGCAAAGTCATTTACGTAGATACCATTATTTTTACTCACCGCTGAATCCCCAGCTCAAGCTCTGCCTCGTCAACAGCAAAAGTGATCCGGAACCACCCCGGTCGTTCTGAGCGATATGCCTCTCCAGTAGCTATCCAAACCTTGTTGTCAATCATTCTCCACGCCAAATCTCGCTCGGCCTCTACTGTAGGAGAAGAGAGATGTTTCGATAAGTCGACCCAGATAAACGGCCCAGCGTGCCTGATACCAGTCAGAATTGTGTAAAATTGGCGATGCTCAATTGCAATTGCAGACTTACGCCGGCACATATGGTATGTCGTGCTGCTTCAAGAGCGCAATGCAATGCTCATAAGCGGCGGATAATCTTTGAGTGAGTGTATCAAAATAGGTACTTAGAAAGTCTGCATCGTTCAAAATGCCACACCAAGCTGCGTCGGCCAAGGATGATGGCCAAGCGAATTTCCTGCGAATCGCCAATTCAGTCCATGTATTCTACAAAAAGAAAGGCGTGTAAAATACTCACGATACCGCACGTATGGCAGCATGCAAGTCGGGATTTGCCTGAGATACAAAGGCACCAAGTCTGATCCCATTAGAGCAGAAGTCCTGGGGGTATTGTCAGAGACAGAGATGTAGCAGTCGGAAGGATGAAAACTTGCCTTGCTCATACCATAGAGACAATGAACTAGAGACGGGTCGATGTATTTCTCAATGTCAAAGGTGAGGATGGAAGTGAATCTTGGTGGGGTGGGAAAGTCTCTGCTTGCAAAGATGGAATTTGCATATACTTCGTCACTTGAACATGCTCAGTAAGTGCCCGGTGTACTGTTAATAAATGTTCCACCTACCTGATCAAGTGTATCTTGTACTTTGCGCATAACCTGAGGTAAGCTTCAAGCACATGGGGTTCATAACACACTCCAAAAGGGTTATGCGGATGGCATAACAGCAGCGCTCTCACAGGCGTCCCGTTTTGAATGGACTGTACCAAGGCCTCCTCGTAGCACTTTACAGCCTCTAGTGACGTAGGGTGAGTTGGCTTTGGCTGACACTCGAAATCGACGAGAACAGGCTTCACGCCGGCACGATTGACAAGATCACTAATGAATCCCACGTACGTCGGACGGCCGAGTAAGATTCCCTCGCCAAATTCGCAGAGGCAGAAAGCAAGGCAGTCAATTACTGAGGATACACCTGCGAGGACTGTGACTTGCTTCAGTTCAAGGGGTCTTCTTGGGCGGAAAGCTGTGTTATTCATGAAGTCGGCGATGCTTTGGCGTAATCGGTCTGAGCCAACGGAACCGTCGCCATATGTGAGAGACCTCTTGGTGATGGACAAGTGAGAGTTGATGTGCGAGGCTATTTCGTCGTGCCTGTGATACAGATAAGACAAGGCCAACACAGTGAACCCGTTCAAGTTTGCATAGTCTTACATCAATCTGTTTTCTGCCACCCCTAGAGACACGATTCCCGATGGATTGGTATGCACGTCGTAGGCATTGGATGAACCCTTACCCATGATACTTTGATATCGTTGGGCTGAATGTTGGACATGGCTCGTTGTGACAGCATCTTGGCGGCAGTGTTAGCTTGATGGGAGCTAAGCAAAGAGATACGTATTGAAGATTGTCAGCGTCGTGGATCGCTCTAACCGCTGGTATAGTGTATCTCTCACAAAGAGGATTTCATCTTATTACTGAAAGTCGTAGGTCCTTTAATACAAGTGATCACTGGAAGGCTCATGGCTGTAGCAACTCCACACCACTGCCATCGTGTGTTTACTGCCCAAAATTCATCATCTTCATCCAGTAAATGGCGATTGATGATGTGACGTAAATGGATCTGACCCCGACATGCCAGAGACACAACCAATCATCTTGTCTAGCTCGCTAACATCGCCACCCCACATGGCGCTATCAACACTTGCAACCGAACTACTGAAATTGATGGATTTAGTGTGGAAGAGCGAGAACATGCCCAAGGCTTTCTTCTATTGGAACGGGTGGGATGTCCATGAGAGTATCGGAGATACGATGACTCACTGTTACCTCAGCCTACATGTATAAACTACATCGATATCGACGGTAGCCATTTTCGCTACTTTGCCTGTATAACAAGCGAGTTGGGCGTGTTGTGTTGGGTGCCGATTTTGGCGAGGGCAGCCGCTCTATTGGTGGTTGCAGCATGACTTCGGTTGCTCTCTAGACTGGGCTTGCGAGATACGGAGCTTGAGAAGACTTCATTTGTATATGGAATCATCTGTCTTAATGGCCCAAGATGAACTTGATGCAGTAACTAGCGTCAACGAATGGACTCGCTTAATCTTTCCCCATCGCTTGCCTGCCCGGCAGAGCGCTGCTACTAAAGCTACATGAAGATTTAGCTAAGCACATGGCAAGCGTTGGAGAAGTGAATCCGTTACTTTTTGATCAATAGATGCTATCCCTTATGCTTCTTCTTCGTCTTTTTGGCAACGCGAATACGGTTGAGGCATCGCCAAATATATTTTCTTTGATGAAATGAAGAATAATATGCTTATCACTTGCTTTTAGTAATAAAGGTTGCACGAGAGTCCTTTTATTATCTACATTATAGATAAGTGCAATAGCAGATGCTAAAGACATGGAGCAATAGTAGCTGATACTAGCTGATACTAGCTGATACTAGCTGATACTAGCTAATAGTAATGAAAGTAGCTGAAAGCAGCTGATAGTAGCTGATAGTAGCTGAACGTAGAGAAAGTAGTAATAGTCGTTAATAGTCGTTGATGGTTTGAGGAGCTAACTACCGAGACACTAAAATAAAAGATCTTTCCTCGCATCTCATTCTGACACTTGAACGTCACGCCGCTGGGATGCTGGATGAATAGCTTGCTTCAGAGTAGCGAAATAGTGAATCCCCACCTCAACAGTAGAAACAGCCCCAACGCAAGCAACTCCACAGTAAACATAAGGAACCCTGTGATCTAGTTGGTATAATTATAGAATGACAATTATAGGTTAAAAACTCACATTTTTTGTGTCTAGCCAAAAACAGCTTCATAGCTAATAAGCTCGCATTGTCGTTTTGTAAGCCCATTTTTTTTTTCATTTAGCCATTATATATAAAGGTAAGGTAGGGAAAGCTTCATGTTACTTTATTTCAGTAGAAAGCGGTAGTAATGGGGAGCTAGGAGGTGGTGGCGAGGGAGAGCTGGGAGGCGGGGTATTTATCCGCCTGAGAAGAAATCCTTCTTTCTAAGCGAAGTATAATAAGTTAATACCTACATGTAGGTTTATATAATAATAAGAGTTATAAACCCACCTATTTGCCTCGTCCCAAGCGTTGAGCTGCGGCTGTTGCTGCTGATGTTGATGTTTGGTCCAAGATGGCGCCAGAGCTCGGAATGTTAATGGTGCCACTGCGGAGTATCGTTCGTGTTGATATCGCTATTCGTGTTGATGTTGATGTTCGGTGCAAGGTGGTAGACGTGCCGGGAAAGCTGATGTTGATGTTGCTCTACGCGTTAATGTTGATGTTGATGTTGATGTTGCTCTTCGCGTTGATGTTGATGTTGATGTATTCAATTTTTTGGCTTCTCACTGGTTTTCATCACTCGTCAACGGCTGGGCATCACGTTCCCTTACTATTTGCTGGGCATTACGTTCCCTTACTATTTGTGTTGCTGTCAATTTATTTTGGAAACTCCTGCCAAATTCTCTATCGCTCCCAAAGGGCCTTCCCTCCTATTTCACCCCGTCTCTATTATTGCCGACTACTTACATATACGTATATGACGCGCAGTTGTCATCTCAACGCACAATCAGCTCATGTGTTGATCTACAGATTCACGACGGGGACGTCACAATGCCCCAAGGCGACACCGACACAAAAGTCCAAGGCTTTGGGTATCGGGGGTTTTGAAGCCTGTCTGCGATACTTGCTTGCGACTTTCAGTCCAGTCTAATTCCACCTCTTGGATCTTTTCGTATCTGCCGCTAGTTTGGGTGGCGTACTCATACAGATATCGAGATAGAGACTGTTGCGTCCTTGCCAAGTAGAGGGACTTGAATCTTATTTCATCTACATACTGTCATACATGAGAGATAACTTTGACGCCTGAGATCAATCGCGCCAGTGCATCGCTACATCTAATATAGCCCTTCCTCCGCACCAACCACAAGCATGTCAATTTAATCGTAATGCGCAGAGGCCAACTCTCTTCCTTCCGTGTTCATCAAACGACGTAATCCAGCAAGTCTAGGTGGTAGAGGGTCTTCTGCGTGGATTGGAACAGTATCATGATTTGTGTACGGCAGCCCACCGAATACTGTATCCTTTAGCTCACGATCAGATTCTCGCTTCAGTTCGTAAAATAAATAGGGCGTCTTGATAGGGGCGTCAACTGCATCAACCCATTCCCAGGCACGAATACTAAAACGACGGATATGAAAATGTGTGAGCATTATTTCAGTCAGGATGCAGCGTATGTGATCCAACCACTTACCCGACGAGATTATCGAGAGAAATCAAATCTCTTACATCAGTCTTCTCTATCCACGTAGGATCTGTAGCCCAGATGTAGACTACGGCAAGCCAATCTCCGACAAAAGAGTGTCTTATTTCCGGAGACCAGATCGAGAAGACGTATCGTCGCCCACATGTTATTTCAGGAGGCGCATTGTCCGACTCTACGCGGTTGTGTATCCTATTCGAAACTTTTGGTTGATGGTCTCGCCACGACTTCATCGACCATCTGTCTTTTCCATCTTTCAACTCTTTGGGGAGGTCATGGCAGTATAGGCGCACAAGCATTCGCCATGGCGCCTGCGCATCTTGATATCCTTCGGGAGCGTAATGACATGATACTAACCATCTAAACGACCGTACTGGGGGTGGTCTTTGGTGGGAACGACTTGTGTTGAAGAATAAATGCGTAAAAGCATTTCTGATATCTTTCATCATATATCGCCAGCGCTCCTCCTTCACGATCCTGGCTATCAATTTATTGGGGTCTTCGTCGTCGATAGGCTGTTGAAGCCATGTTGGAGACCATTCATCCCTTCGCAAAGGCCGTTGCGCGTTCTCGGGAAGTGAAGGGCAAGGGCATGGGGAGTAATGTGTGCATCGATACTTGTCGATATTCGTAGCTGCGTCATACGCAGGTAGAGTTGGAGAAATGCTCATGACTGAATTTTCTCTCCAGATGATTCAGATTGTCGGGATAGGTATTCGAAAGAACAAAAATCTGCACTGCTTATTGTTTATCTATTCTCTCTAAATACCTTTCAAGGAATCGGCCCGGCACAAAAGTATATATGCTTTTGTGGCAATGGCGGTCTTGAAGCTTTCGGCGTATCTCATTGTGGCGGGCCTTTGAGGAGTAGCTTTTCCCAAGTGATGACCGCTTATCAGATGCAAATTCCAGCCAAATCATCCCAACGAAGATGACCAGACTACACTGAGTGGGATTCTCTACACGGACAAAGGCCACGTATACATTTGTTGAACATAGACACAGCCCGAATGTGGAAGATACGAGTCCTTGGAAGCGAGAGCCTCTGAACTACTGGGCAAACAACCCAGAACGGACACGAGGCTATCATCAAGTTAGGTATGCTTAGCATACAGAGCCGATGCCAATGCTAACGGTGGTGTTGGTAGTAACTGATAAACTGTTGAGCAAATTTTCAATTGTCATTCTCCTGCTGTTTTTGACTTCCATCTATCAACACGGCCTTCATATTTGCCAGCCGATCGCCCTTGATCTGTGCAATCTCATCTTCCTCCACTTTTCGGAGATGCTTCATATACTGTGTGAAGGCATTACCCAACCTAATCACCGTGTTAAAATGGCTAGCATTTGGCTTGACGCCTTTATCCTCTGCAAGAGCTAGTGCGCTCCGTACGCAATTCCGGATCTGCCGTCCATTCAATGGCTGAGCAGCCCAAGAATCGACAACCTCACGGCCCAACTCACGACACTCATCGTGAGTCAAGATGGCGGAGCCGTCGCTGCGTTTCCGACCTAAATCTTGGATCAATATCTTCCAGACATCCTTGCGACGATGCTCATCGAACTCTGGCATCCCGATTGTGATGTGAATGCGGGACTGAAAGGCTTGATCAAAGGCGCCAACGTGGTTGATAGTGAGAAACATTATTCCATTAAAATATTCGAGAGTGCGGAGGAAAACTAGTGCCAGTACGTTCAGTAATCTCGATGCTGGATGATAGAGAAGTTGTGAAGGCTGATTCTGCGCTTACTGGAGACCAAGGCATTGCGCTGTAGGTTATCATAGTCGCGGTCCTGTAGAAAAATGTCTGCCTCATCCAACAATAAAATAGCATTCCAAGAAACAGCATAGTCGAATATTTTCAAGAGCTTCTCAAGATTCTCTGGATCTGTTCCCAGATCTCCAGCTGTCACCATGTACAACGGCTTTTGGAATGCTTCAGCCGCACATTCTAGGACAATGAACATGATGTAAGTGCAACAAGTCCTACGGTACAATGATGGATAACGGGCTACTTTACCTGCTGTCAAGGTCTTTCCAACGCCCGGAGGACCATGCATGAGTACGACTAAACCGGCACCTTTTCCAGCCACCAAGTCTTGGAACTTGGTCCTACCGGTGAGATAGGACCTGACCATGGCTCAAATGACATCCTTGTACTGATCGTTGAGTACAAGCCGGGACCATGCATTCTCTCGAAATTCCACAGCCTTTAGCTTGCTCACATCGTATTCCTCTATTTCCACACTTTAGAAGACTTGTACCTTTCGCACAAAAGTATCAAGATTTATGCTCGTAGGACTTACTCCAAGATTTGTCCCGCAAGCAGAAGGCATGTACTCTCTTCGGACATAGAAGCAGGATTAAATCGTCCGGCTGCCCTAATAGATCAATGTCGTCATACTCGCTGTACCAGGTCGATGAAACTCTGGGCTCGGATGTGATACGTCGTGAGACGGGAACATTAAACAGAACCTGGTCGCTATAAACACCAACAGAGTCGTTGTCATCATCATCGTTGTCCCCGCGATCCAACTTCGACTGATCTGGAGATAAAGACCATCCCCCAAACAAGCTGCGGTGAGTTTTTCTATCAACCACCACCCTTTCGGATTCGTCTTTGGTTGATCCTGCGCGCGCGTCGCTCGCAACCTGGCGAAAGCTGGGTCCTTGCATCTCCCAGAATGCTTGCCCTCTGGCCTTTAGAATAGCCTTTACCTTTATTGCGTCTTCGAGAAACTTTTCGGGCACGTAGCGCAACTTGGAGATTTCAAGGCTTCCAGGAAAATACTACAACTCAAGTGTATATGCTCGGCGGCCGAATCTCACACCGTCATAATCAATTGCCCAGCAGTGTAACTTCAAGGGTGGCAAGGTCGACATTTGAGTGTACACATCGAGACTTGGTTTCTCGAATGTTGCTGAGTCTACCATGTAGCAGGAAAGCTCAGCATTTCTTGGTTGTTCGAAAATAAGTGTTCCGGGTGGATACATAATCCAAAGATCAATGAATTGAATCATTCCTGACGAGGTACCAGAAGCAATCTCTTCCAGTCTTCGTCCGATATCCATAGCGTCGTGATCAAGGAAATGCAGAATTTTACCCGCGATGGAGATGTTGTGTTTTGCATCACCGTCCTGATCAAACGCGTTCTGGCCGACATTATCGCGTAGCAGTTCCACAAAAGGATCGGCTCAACTGCCGACTTTTTGGAGATTTCCCTCCGCTGGCTTCGGAGTAGTTGGCTTGGTGAGCCTCCAACAACATAATTGTTAACCCGTCCTAACGTAGTAATCTTCTAGTAAGAACTGTAAAAGCAGCAGCCTTTCCTTTCGAAACTGGCTTAGGTCCAATTCTTGAGATAATCGACCAAAGTTACGCTGTTCTGAAGGAGCATGTGGAAGTGCAATGGCTGATAAGCGATTTTGAGCAACATCTACAAACCCAGAGTGAATTGTCCACGCTTGGAAAGTCCATGGGTCGCGTTCTAGAGATTCTAGAAGGTGAGTCTTCCAAGCACAAGCGAATGCGATCATCGCTGTTGACAAAAGCAAAGATTTCGTCAAGCAGGATCAATTTCGAAGAGAACGTGAATCGAAGGCCATGCAAGGTAAATACCAGCCTCACAAAAGACTTTGATATGAGTCTAATATGAGCTCCCAGCATCTCAAGCACTCGACCGCTCACTCTTCCATGCTCCTACATTAGACATATGCAAGGAATTCTTCCCAGAACTGCTTCCAATATAGCAGAATCTTGAAAGAGCCCAAGCTCTGATGGACTTGATACCAATAACCCAAATTAGTGAAAGCATCAACATGGTCCATCGCAAAGAGTTTCGCGTCTGGATGGAGACAGAAGCTTCTTGTCTCTTGTGGATTGACGGCTACCAAGTTCCCCACCGTCCTAGCTGGACAACGGGCTTTGCACTTAATGTCATTCGAGCCGCCATGGTAAACGGTCACGATACCCTGTACTATTTCGGAAGCCTCCATCAAGACAAAATGCAACCTCGTGCCCTTGTTCAGAGCCTCTTGTTCCATTTACTGCAGCGGTTTCCTACAATTCTCTCGCATGGCGATCCCGAACTTTTTAGTGCAGAGATTTTCTTGGCAGCAAAGTCCAGCCTCGACTTATCCTGGAGAATATTTCTGGAGTGCCTTCGCCTGCTCCCATCAACTGTTGTGTATCTTATCGTGGAAGGCATTGATCACGTTCACATGTCGGATGTTGGAAATGACTTTCAAAGTCTACTAACCCAGTTTAAATCACTTTCAACCTCTGGCGACTTTGAAGACAAACTGGTCAAGGTGTTTTTAACCTCGGTACGGCCAAATGCCGGTTTCGACATAGTGTTCCCAAGTCATGAGATGAAGGTAAACCAGGTCGACAATAACGTTCTAATTCGTGTACCGCATGCTGTTTCTCGAAGTCGTAAGGTATACACAAAACAAAGGCCCAGAAAGACTCCATCTGCTTGTGAAATCCCCCCAGCACCGGACCTGCATCTCCCGGGGGTATCTAATTCCGAGGTACCCAGGATGGACGATTTTGCCCCCAGTGATGACGATCGAAGTGAACGGCCAACTGAAATTGACTCTGACAGCGATTTTGACATATTCAGTGAAAAGCCTAGAAATATGAAACAAGCGGCTGGAGGCAGAGATGCAATACCACAGGAAATTTGGAAGAGTGAAAATAAATCTTTCGGATTTCCAAACTCACATGCAAATACACTGCTGACCGAAGATGTGGATGGATCAGATTCTGGAAGCTCATTCGTCATTTTTGACACGCAATCGCCATCGGCCAAGATGAAGCTATCTGGGAGTCAATCATCAGACTTTGCTCCATCCGACAGTGATATAATATAGTTAAAAACGACTTCCTGTTTCCTTATGGCTATGGCTTTATTATATATATAAATCAAGAGCTATGTTCGTTATTCCAGTATCTATCATGCATAGCTAACTTGATGAACTAGAGCAATAGCTCTTTATGCATTTGACCTAGCAAGTGGGAGACAGAAACCGAGACTGAGAAGATTTCGAACACCCACACGACAAATATTATACCATATCTTCAAGTATCTGCTACTATATCTATATTTCTCTAATACGTACTACAATATTCATATTTCTCTAGTAACTGCTGCTCTGTCTATATTTCTGAATGCAACTATAAGGGGAATAAAAGTGATCTTTTATATACAACGTAAATGAAAAGTTGCATTTTTTCTAGCCTACTTGATTTGAAAGTGCATGTTCTGTCTCAGTCCAGCTATCGATATGCGCTGGGCGAACGGGCTTCATCATCTATCGAATCTCTTCTCTCCCTTTCCACTTTTTTTGAGCGTAATTTATCCGCCTTTCGCTTGGCTCTGCCAATTGTATCACGAACTCATTTGTGAATCCAACATTTTCCTTGACAATGCGTTGAAGCAACTTTGCTTGTGTTGTGATGTGAGATCGTTTGATCAGTGGTACCGCCAGAGCAGCTGACTTCATTATTCATCTGCCTCATCATCATCCGTATTGATAAGTCTTGTGTATTATATGGGTGCGCATAACTGTTCGTATCGTATATCAAGCTCCTTGCAATTGTTACAAATACAGCAAAAAAATATACTTGCAGACTCCCTAGACATCATTCATCATTCATCAAGTATCATTGTCCAGTTATTCAACTTGGTAACTCAGTTATTCCCCTTGATTCAGATGACAACTCTTGCAGCATCACATCGGATTTCTTTTGAGGAAAATTCTGATAGACAGACAAAGGCTGCTCTTGTAGGGCGGATGTCGTTGTATCTGCCTTTGACTTTCGACGCAACATCAGACGCCACCCAAGAATGGCGAAACCGATAGCAATTATTGCGACACAACCAATGGCAATACCAATAATTGTAATAGTGGAGGGTGAAGACACGGATTTTGAAGATTTATAGCTGACATCTGGGTCTCGTCCATTGTCAGTTCCCGAGCCTGGCACTGACGATGCTGATGGCAGTGATGATGCCGGTGGCAATGATGACGCAGGTGGTAATGATGATGTTGGTGGCAGCGATGTTGCTGCTATATTTGCGCAGTTTTGAGACGTCTCAAAAACTTCGTTCTTCTCATTCACAGAGACTAAATGCTCAGCTGATGTTGGATTTGCCTTCCAGAGTGTAAATTCGTTGGCATCCCGATTGAACAGCAAGTATGCGGCTGTGAAGAAATATCGCCCAAGAATAGGAGGAGCATGTGATGTTGTGGACTGGAGGGAATTGATGCGTATGACTGGCAGAGAGGAGTTGATAACCACATTTCCATTATTGTCGATATAACGCTTAGGCACAATGAGTTGGCGGTTGGGAATCGTAATATCCATGTTGTTATCCAATCTGAAAGTGATATCGCCAGTGAACCTAGGAGGGTTAGCTTATACGAAACCACCGTTTACTGCATACTAACATGGGTCTTGATGGGTCCAAAATGACATTCCAGAAGTCGATTCCTGTACTTCGACTGAATTCATCGTTGTCGATTGCTTGGAGTAGGTTTTCAAAATAAGGGTCGCGAGGCATATCGATAAGCACTGGATGCTCTGGGTCCAAGCAAGCTGTCAGAATAGTGCCTTTGCTATCCGGAAGTAGAGAAACATCAGTGCCATCAGCAAAATTGAGGACAATGTCTGCAAGAGATACCATCATTCCGGTCGCGCAATCGGAAGTATATGAAAGTGGTTTTGTATAACCATCCCCAAATGTCTTGGCCCTATCATATCCTCCTAAGACAAAGGAGCCTTTCGTTTGATCCTTATCAAGAACCCCGTCTAATCCCCAGTAAAAGCCGATAGAGTCTGAAGCGATACTTCCAGCCTTACGGCAAGCATCCATGATGGTAGACCCAGAGCCTATTCCGATAATGTTTTGAGGAAGGTAACCTTGCGTATTCCAGCTCGTGGTGTCGGTTGGGCTTGCCAGGGGAAAAGCATGCAAGCTTTTGTTGGCGTTTATATCCACGTTTTCTGTAAACATTTCGTATGTTGTTGAACTCCACAAGTCTTCAGGTGGCCTAAAAGATGAGGCAGGGACACCCTTTGACTTTGACTTGCCTCCGTATACACCGCCTCGGAACGTAACGCAAGCTTCATCAGTATGGGTGAGATCCTGAGAATCACACTTAGGACCATACAGAAATGTATTGTTAATATTCCTGAGATGCGTTAGCTTTGATTAGTCTCATCATAATAAGGAGATTTGTTGATTACCATTTTGGTAGGAAACTGAACTCTTGCTGTGGAGTCCTGATTTTTAGAGACACTCCACGCTGGATTTTGCCAGTTGACAATGTGATATTGCCAAGAGACAGAGATATCGGGCCAGGAACACAGTTTTCGGCGGTGACACATAGTTGAAGCGAAATGAATACATAAACCACCCATAGTAGAAACATGTTGTTTTGCGAGGGGAGTAGATTCCCCTCTGCTTGAGCTCAGTCGAAATTGTGTAGGTAAGGGTTGTTGTAGTGACTGAAATCTGATACAAATTGATACAAATTCGTAAATAACATGTAATGGAATTGAAAGGAGTGATCAATTTTGGAGAGTTTGGGGGATGTTTGGTTTATCCTATATAGTTGACACTTTATTACGCCACTCTCTCTCGTGTTGGTCGACCATGTTCTGTTTTTGGCTTTCCACGACAGCTACGCAGGATTGAACTTGTGTAGTACAGGATGAAGACTAACTTTGTTTACGACGAGGTGCATTATATCTCAAACGTGATTCGGCAAGCTTATTGCTTATCAAATACGCGCCATCGGGAACTCTATTGGCTATGGATAACTTGTTGGGCACACTTTAGGAAGCCTGCATTATCGTGACGACAACCCACCCAGAAGAACCCTGCTTCTATTATTATAGATACTCCAATAGGCTGCTACTTTTTCCCGATGAGTTGCACAACGCCCCGCTACTGGGGATGTTCATGAATCTTAATCGCCGAGTAAGCGATGCGGGTTGCCATCAAAAGGGGCTGTTGCCAGAATGTGGTTTCAGCTGGCTTGTGTAACTGAGAAAATATTTCCGTCTGCTATGGTCATATCATTAGGAGAGTAGTATGCTCCTTTCTATTCTGTGGCTCTCCATCTTTTTTTCCCCCATCATTTGTTTAACCATGCTTCTGCTTTCCTATCGACGCTACATTGCGTTGTTAATAGTCGTCTTCGTAACCTGTTTTATCCTTCTTTTGCACGATTTAGACCACTTACGCAGATATAATCTCGTTCACTTATCTCCCAGCCCCCGAGTTGAGTCTCCTCCCGCAGTTCTCAGCCTTCCTCATGATTATGACCTTGTTGGCACTTCTGAGACGGTCTGGTGTCAAGAAAGATTCGGCACGCGGTACCTCGAAAATGCCCGTGATTTCTCTGCGTCTTTCTGCACGGATGAATCGACTTCAAGGTTCACTTGCTTCTTCTCTCATACTGCTGCGGATAACCCTCCGCGCATTGATTCAATGTGTTATGGGCACCGTGCCGTATTTGATGAATCGCTACACCGGTTTCGGTTAGGATGTGACATCCAGTCGCCCACATCGGACGAGATGGCAAGGGGAGTGCCAATGCCGACAGAACTGTCTAGGTATTGGTACGAGACAGGGCCCGGGTTCGTCATGAATGAGGCTGTCCTGTTGGATAGCGCCGTGTCTAAAGGACCTTCGCAAATCACGACGATCCTTGTAAAACGCGAGGGGTCAAGTAACGTCTGGCATTCGCTAATGGAAATCATGAGCCTTTCTTGGAGTCTCGATGTGCTTCAAATAGGTGCCGATACGGAAACAGGCAATCCTTTTCTCTCACCAGAGGCTGGGCCGACGACGCAGGTTGTTCTTCTAGACAATCATGAAGACGGTCCATTCATCGATATGTGGAAACTCTTCTCCAAAATGCCAATTCGCCGTATTCAAGAGCTCAACGAATCAGAACCCTTGTCCGATATTATTATACCATTTGCTGGAGGGAGTAATCCCCTTTGGCAAGGCGACTGGGAGGATATTGTATGTCGAGATTCTACCCTTGTTAAAACATTCTCATCGCGAGTCCTCTCGTTATATGGCGTGGCCACGCCTATTAAAGAGAACAACAAAGTGATTGTCACATATATACGTCGCGCAAACACTCGAAAGCTTATCAACGAAGACGCACATATGGAAGCTCTAAGAAACGAAATACCTAATATGATTCTCAATGTTGTCGATTTCGCAGCCATCTCATTCGCTGAACAGCTTAAAATTGTGCGAGAGACAGATTTGTTGGTTGGAGTTCATGGAGCCGGACTCACACACCTCATGTTCCTCCAACCCGGGTCAGCCGTTCTCGAGATATTGCCAGAAGGTTTCCAGCACAAAGGCTTCCGCAATCTTGCACAGATGCTTGGCATAAGCTTCTTCCGTGCTCATGCTAAAATGCATGGGGATGCTTCAGGTAATAATCAGTGGCAGTTTGATGCTGTTGAGTTGGACCAACAGCGGTTTGTGGAACTGGTCGACTTTGGGGTGAGAAGTTTGTCTAATAATGGGAAGAAGAGTTATGATATTCTGTAGAGAAACTGATTTACTTTGCTTTGTTGCTCTTATCACTTTACATGAATTAAAGAAAGAACATACCCTAGATCTTATAGTAATTCACATTCTGCATCATCATCACTCGCTCCAGATAAGTTGACAAAAATTTCGCTTAAAGTAGACGACTATCTATCATCTAACAGTTTAATTATGGACATTATCATAGATGGATCGGAGAACAACATCGTTGATCCAAGCACCGTGAGACCAGTCATCCCACACAGTAAACGTAATTGTGCGGCTCTCGCCTTTGTTCAACCAGAAGCCGTTTTGGTCAAAATATCCTCGCACGGTGGTAGGGTAGTCAACCCAGACCCATGCCGCAACACCCTTGGTCGCGGTAATCTTGAATTGGGCAGTCTTTCCGTGAAGTGATTTGGTAATGACCAGACCCGGATCGGCAATGCTGCTCAATCGAAGGCTCTGCTGGTGGAAGAACTTGGTGTGAGTGTATTCTCCTGCCTTGATGGAGATGGAGAGCAAAGCGTTAGATGTTGGGTTCTTGCAAGAGAAGAAGGTGGTCAGAGCAGGATAAGTGACCAGGCGGGTGGCATTGATCGGTTGAACATCAAAGTTGACCTTGTATGAACCATCGTGGGCAAGCTTGACACCGACAGGAGGATCAACATCCAGAGGGTTGCCGTGCCAGTCCACCCACTGGAGCGTGGCAGTTCCCGAAACCTTGTCCCACAAGTCAGAGACGACCCAGACTTCCAAGACATCGGTGGCTTCGTCGTAAAAGGGCCAGACGATGACGGGGTTAAAGATGTCTTTGGCGGCATAGTAAGCCACCTTCTGGCGCAGGTTGTGCTCGGTGCTGGACCAAGTCGGGCCAACCCAGATGTCGTTGAACTGCCAGTACAAAGCACCCATCTGGCGGTTGGAAAGACCAGATCCACGGCGGTAAAAGGCAATCTGGGCCTGGTAGTAGTCGGCCTGGAACACCTGCGAGGTCCAAGTCCAGGCGGTGAAGTTGGCCACGGGATCCGCAAGTTCAGGCAACGGGTACCACAGCTTGATACTGTCGGTGAACTGGTTGATGCCAGCTGCCGATTGCGCGAACCAGTCACTGCCGCTGCTCAGATGACGGTTGTGGTGACGGACGTATGAAGAGTCAAAGTTGAACTCGCTCTCGGGAATGGCCTCTTGCCAAGAGTACACAGAAGGCATGGAAGGGAATCCGAATTCGTCAGCGAAACGACCAACAGGGTAGCCACTGTACTGGAAGGCAATGGTTCCGTCATAGTTGTAAAAGTCAGTGTCGAGGTAGACGGCATCTGGGCTCTCCATATAGTCATATCGAGATGTCTGAGGGCTGACCGAGTTGAAGTCGAGCTTGGTATAGCCGTGATATGTGGAGGAAGGAATGTAACTGATGGAGTGGGTGTTGGCATAGACACACTTGGCAAGATGCTGCTGGAAGATGGTCTCATAGTCCTCCAACTGGGTGTTGTTTCTGGGGTTGAGCCACCAGCCATAGATGAGGTACTCGAGCTCATTGCCTCCCGCCCACAGAGCAAGACTGGGATGGTGGTTCACACGGCGGGTGTTGTAGTAGGCCTCAGCTTCATACTCGGCGAGGAAATCAGGAGTGGCAGGGAAATAGGCCACGGAGAACTGGAACTCGGACCAGAGCAGCAGTCCCATCTCATCAGCCAAATCATATGCCCAATCGGGGAGATAGGCACCGGATGCCCAGATTCGCAACATGTTGAAGTGAGAGTTGACAGCCAGCTCGAAAGTCTGTTGGATCTTGGTCTGGTTGACGCGAGGCCAGAAGACATCGGGAGGAACAAAGTTGGAGCCCTTGGCATACAGCCCATGGCCGTTGATCTCAAACTTCCAGCTGGCTCCGGGAGCGACACCCTTGGCCCTATCTTCGGGAGTAATGGCGTTAAGGTTGAGAACAATGGTACGGAAACCAACGCGTTTGGTCACGGTGGCGTGCTTGGGGGTGCCTGGGCTGATGAGAGACAGAGTTGCAGTGTACAGGGGCTGCTCGCCATAGCCAGAAGGCCACCACAGGTCAACCTTGCTATTGATGACGGTGTTTCCGGTAATGGTGCCGGCAGACTGGCTGATGTCGACGAGGTTAGCCTCCTTGAGAGTGTGGCCCTTGCTGTCGACAATCTTCAAGTGAAACTGCGAGCCCTTGGGAAGATCGCCGATGTAGTCGATACTGGCGTTAAAAACCCAAGGCTTGGACTGATCAGGCGAAAGATTGGGCATCTGTCCCTGGCGGAAAATGTCAATGGCCGTGTTGGTGATGTACACGGGATCTGTCTTGGCCTTTTGGACAATGTATGCCGGGCGCCATGGTCCAGCTGGTCCAAACACTGGGCCCCAATCCCAGCCGAAATCACTCTCTTGCTTTCGCATGTAAGTGCGGCCCTGGAACTCCTGTCCATTGTAGCCGTTGGCAGAGTTGACCGTGGCTACGCATCAGAAACTGTTAGCAGAAGGGCTGTCTCCGCAGGGATATGGACTGGGGTATCCATTAGGGTTGCAACTCACCAAGATCGCTTCTCTGCGAAACATCGAGCACAATCTTGCTCGCAGAACCAAAATTCAAGCTGAGAACTGGGTCACCCTTGCACTGAGGGAGAATGCTGCTGACGTCGAATGTGTATTTGCGGAACTGGTTCTTTGTGTCGCCAACTTTCTGGCCGCAAAGCTTGATCTCACAAAAGGTGTCGAGGCCTTCAAAGACAAGCCATGAAGTGAGCCCACTTCCAGACTTGCTGTTTGTGAATGCTCCAGTTAGCCTCACTCACAACTTGTAACTCATTGGCGTTGAAACAAACTAAGGTGCTTACAGTCCCTTGAGGGGCCCAGACGTATATGTCCAGTTCATTCGCTGGACCCAAAACTGGTTCCACTCATTGAAGCCGTAGATGGGATCGTCGATAACGCCCGCGGCCAACAAGTCGAGATGCGCATGTGAAGGCAGTTTGCCAGGCACGGTGGCGTTGACGCCGTTGCTCACCGTCCACGAAACATCACTAAGGTTAAAGACGCTTTGTGCGCTAACGCAGCTCGCCACGAGGGAGAGGGCTGCCAAGAACCGGCCCATTGTGCCAAGTTTCTTGCAACTGGACTCTAGACAATGAGAGTTGTCGGCAATGGTTGTTGTTTCGGGGTTTCAACCAAGACAGCGAAACGCCGAGCATATATACAAATAAACAATATCAAGACCTCAAGACCGGATAAAGAAGAGCACAAGAACGGCACAGTTTCCGTCACGTAAGAGAAACCTGCAGACAGCTGTCATGCCTTGGAGAATCCACGTCATGTCACATCGTCACAGTTTGAACCTCGCACAGTTTCCGTGTGAGTAAACAAAACAAATCAGAAATAAACTAAACGACAAAGTTGGGGAAACATGCATCTCGTTTCGGTGCTTTCCTGATACCGATTTTCTCTCCGCCAGGGGGTGTCTCAATCTCAATCCCTGCTCTCACACTACCGCAGCCAATGACCGACGACGAGGATGAACAGCTCAGCTACACATAAGCATAGACATAACGCTAGCCCCCCGCCTCCACACTTTACCATTATGGTTATATTTACGAAATCAGGAAAACGGAAAACATGACGCTCACTTTCGCCTTTGGAGATGTCGCTCTTCGGCTTTCGGGTAACTCTGCTAGGCTCTCACCTTCCAGCCCAATTACCCGTTGAACCTCGTTTCTCTTGGCCTTGTGAGCTTTTCCGAAATTGTGAGTCCACTTTTTACGGAGTTGACCAAGGCTAAGTTGGGCTTATGAGAGCTTCTGTGGGGGAGTAGCTCCAGTGGAACTCGAATGACAAAGGCTGAAGCGACAGCCAGCTAGAGGATTGTTGGTTAGAAGCGCATGTCATCGGCGAATAAGGCGATTCGAGGCTCCAGTTGAAGCCAGGAACTAGACATGAAAACAGCAATCTACCCCTGGCTTCAGTCATACCACTAGCAGCGTTACGAGCCCAAGCTTGCGAAGAAAAAAAAGCTTTCAATCATGGGGTACTCCATGGGGTACTCAATTCATTCGTGGGGTCTCCATGGGGGAGAATTAGTGATTCACGGATGGCTTCTTGAGGGGTAGACTGGGCCAATGCTCCATTAGGAAGGTTGCTGAACGCGGGGAAGACGACAAAGGGAAAAGCGGACGAGACAACTATACGAGTGGACGAGGATTTGCTCGGCATTGGTGACAGGGCAGCCGAATATGGGACATAATTCGGGCGGAAGTGGTTGATGGAGCTTCATTCGGAAGCATTTGAGGGGGGAAAAGCTGGGGAATTGAGCCCTGTCCAGATGCCATTGAGTCTTCCCCCCCAGCAAATGGGAGATATATCCGTGGACACTAGGTAAGGTTGTGCCGTGGAGAAACATGGCACTAGCACTGACACGGCGGAAGTGGAGGAACAGATATCTACTTGAGTTTTGCCTGGCAAAAGTTGCGGAGAGCTTTTCGCACCTTGTGAGGTTCGGGACAAGTCGAGCAAGACTATTTACTCTGCTCCGTCCGCTAGTCTGAGAGCCCTTCTCCGTGCCTTTTGCCGTCAGTCTCGCCGGCTTCCGAGAGTAAGAGGCGCGTCGGAGCAGCAGTTGTTATAAATAATAGTCTTCGCGGGGAGACGATCCCACTTGTTCAAGAGTTTTACAACTCTGACAAAGACAGGACAAGACAGGACAAGAAGAGGCTTTCAACGGCAGAGCGTGCAAGCGCAACAGAGTCTTTACAACACCATGGCATCGGCCATAGCTCTCTCTCTCGCGGCGGCCGCGCTGCTGCAGCCGGTCGTCGGAACAAACACCGGCACGGCGCATTGTTCTGACGCCTCTTACACGCCTGGTTCCGTCTACTTCACGGAGCAGTGCTACAACGACATCCAGAACTGCATCACCAAGCTATCAGCCAGTCCCTCAACAGTCGACTGCAGTGGCGACAACATCAGCATGCAGCAGCAGGCCAACACGGGAGCCGTTGGTTCGGCCCAGAACAGCGACGTCAGCGTCTCTTTCAAGAGCATGGTTGACCTCTGTCTCTTGAGCGGCTCGACAAGTGCAACCTGGGGCTGGAGCGACAACCAATGGTACTGGCTCTGGACCAGCGGTGCCTGCTACACCAGCGAGGCTGGAAACGGTGCCATCAAGACTCGCCCTGCTCCTTACTGTGTGCAGGACCGTGACTCTTCGCTGCCAGACTGCTATCCTCAGCCCAAGCCTGCTGGAGGCCCATTGAAGGTTCTCAAGACGGTGAAGACGAAGAATGGCTTCACCAAGTCCGCTCGAGGCTGGAACACGTATGGAGCTCAGGCCCTGACCAATGGCTCCACGCTCATCCCGTCTTTTGCTGGCCAGTCCGGCCTGTACTACACGCAAAAGTTTGTCGAAACCCAGTGCGGTGTTTTGGCCAACCCCAAGTTCAAGGCTGCTGGCTATGACATGTGCAGTCTTGACTCTGGCTGGCAGTCGTTCGACGAGGTCGACAGCCACGGCCGCATCACCTACAACACGACTCGTTTCAACATGCCCCAGCTCGGCCCATGGCTGCACAACAAGGGCTTGAAGTTTGGTCTTTACATTACTCCCGGTGTGCCCTGCCAGGCTGCCAACAAGACCATCCTAGGCACTGATATTACAGTCGGATCCGTCTTCAACGGCAACTTTGACCAGATTCTGTGCCAGTTTGACTACAGCAAGAATGGTGTTCAGCAGTGGCACGATTCTACCGTGGCTCTGTGGGCCTCTTGGGGTGTTGACATGATCAAGGTGAGTACGAGTACTCAAAGATGGAGAATCACATGATGGGATGACAACTGATAAACTCGGCAGCTCGACTACATCACCCCTGGCTCTCCCCAAAACGGTGCCATGCTGGGATGTCAAAACTCTGACGCCGTCGTGGCTTACCAAAAGGCCATTGCCAAGACGGGTAAGAATATCCGCCTCAACATCTCGTGGAAGCTTTGCCGTAACGAGACCTGGCTGCCTGTCTGGAATGGATTGGCCGAGTCCATGCGTACCGACCAGGATATCAACAACTATGGCCACGAGACGTTTTTGGCCTGGCAGGTTGCTCAGCGCGCCATAGACAACTATCGTCAATACATTGGCCTGCAGCTACAGCGAAACCAGCCTCTCACCATCTACCCTGACATGGACAACCTGTTCGCTGCTGGCCCTACAAAGCTGGTCGGCGTCAACGACACCATGCGGACGACCGTCATGAACCACTGGCTCGGTGCTGGAGCCAACCTGATTCTCGGCAACGATCTTACTCAGACTGACGAGCTTGGCTGGAAGCTTCTGACGAGCCGCCAATCCATCGCCGCCGCTGACTTTTTCGCCAAGTACCCCATGCAACCCCGAAACCCTCGTACTGGTAACAACCTTGCTCAGCAGCTGCAGGCCTGGATCGGTGGACCTAGCGACAACGGCAAGGAGGCTTACGTCTTGATTGCCAACCTGGGACCCGATCAGGGCTCTGGAGGCTTCAACACTAAGCTGTATGGAAGACAGACGGTCACTGTTTCCCTGGCGGCTCTTGGTCTGAGCTGCTCACAGTGGAGGTTTACTGATGTGTGGTCGGGCAACTCGACAAAGGTGGACAACTACTACACTGCTTACCTGACTGAGGGTGAGTCACAGCTACTGCATTTGACCAAGAACTAGGTCATGGGATGATAGGGATGATTAGAATGTTTGAGTAGTAATATATAACCAATTTATTGCCTGCATTACTATTGCTAATTGTCAAGTGAACAAAGTCGCGCTATAGTGCGAAGGAATGTGACGCAGTTGGCGTCAATATTTACTGGGCGGAAGAGTCCAGGTTCTGAGTCGCCTGGATCTTGGGAACCGCACCGAATCGCTGGTTTCCCTGGTCGAAGATCTAGTTTTTCATTAGCATGCCTATTATCCGAAAACGAAGGTGCAGGGATCTTGACTCACCGCGTAAACAGACTTCAGGAACACGTCGCCCAGAATGTCAAAGGGGTTGCTTCCCCTAGACTGAACGCCGCCATACCAGTTGTTTTCGTCTGCTGGGGCAAAGGCCAAGTCTTCGGGCTGAATCACAAACTGGACATCTCCAACGGAAACCTTGAAATCGGGAAGGCTTGATACGTCTGTGCTCATGGGGAAGACGTAGCCCTGCTGTTGGTCGTCGTAGGTGGCTCCGGGAATGGCCTTGTACAGAGCATCGCAGACTTCGTCCGAGACGAGAGCGAGGGTGGTTCCGGTATCGGCGATGGCGCTGTTGCCGGACTGTGAGATCTCCTTGCCATTGACCGAGGAGCTGGTTGAGGGGAACATCCAGAAGCCTTGGGAGTTGTCGACGTCAGTCCAGGCAATGTCTTGGCCAGAGGCTGAGACAAGATCCTGGTCGATGTAGCCAAAGGTATAGAAGGACTCTGCATTTGCATCACGCTCGCTGTAGAAGGCAGCGGTGAACAGTTCTGCATCGCTAGGGACATCATCCTGAGTGATCATGTTTGCAACAGGCGTGTTGGCAGGGGTAGATCGCCCATTCGTAGCAACGGTGTTGATTGACGGCCAAGCAAGACCGAGAAGACCATCGCCAGTGCCCTGGGCGAATTGAGCGGCGAGCTTGGAGGCGAGCTCGACGGTCTGGTTCTTGATGGTGAGGCCGCCGATGGTGACGTTGTCGGAGCCGCAGTCACCAGAGGCGGAGGAGCCGTCGCCGTAGGAGATTTGCCAGGTCTGGTTGGACAGCTTCTTGAATGTGGAGGAGTTGGCTGGGTTGAAGACGGTGTGGTTCTTCTGGAGACTCTTGCTGAGTTCTGTGGAGAAGACCTGATTACTGTTGTTAACTTGTATCACATGTTGAAGAGTATAGGGATCAACTCACCCAGAGATCTGATGATCCAGTGTCAAAGTCGAGCAGCAGCTTCTGTCCGGGAGTTCCAATAGTAACCTCGCACAGATACTCAGAGTCATTCTGCTGGTCCTCGGCACCGACCTCTCCCTTCTCTGTTCCGTTGGCATCAACAGCTCCATGGTGGTTGCGCTTCTTGTGAAGCGCCTTTGTGATATGAACCCTGCCACCGACGGGGGCGTTGTAGTCTGGGTGTACGAGGCCCCGCTGGTGAACTCGGTGCTCCTGGAAGTACGGGCCGGGCTTGGTGGGCTCAAAGCCGAAGCGGTTGAGGAGATAGACGTAAGACTTTGTGCCGTGGCGCTTGTAGTTTTTGTTGCGGATGGCGGTGATTTTGTGGAGGCCGCGGTCGAGGCGGAACTTGGCCTGGGCTTGGAAGATGGCCTCCATGTTGCGAGTGAATAAGATGGGACAGCGAGTGAGATGGTTTGAGTAAGTTTAGTGAGAATGAGACAATGTATGAGTGAGATGTCTACAAAGTGAGTGAGTGCTATGACAGACTGACTGATGGACTGAACTTGTTTATACCCTGGACCAGCCCGCGGGGAATGTGGATTTATTTATATCACTCGAGGCTTCGTCCTCTTCAAACCATTGACGCTCAAGAGTTATATCCAAAATACGCAGTGCTCCGTCAGTGCATATCAGATCGTCACATTGGCCCTCCGCCTTATCAGGCGCATGACAAGCGTCCGATATGTCGTTGCTTCACTCTAACGCGCGTTTTACCGTAGCATCACCAGGTTCCGGCCCATCTGACTGGCTGCGTGTGTTGTCGCACCGCATGATGCGGGCTCTCCTGGCCTTCTCCTGTTTCGTCATCCATCTCTTCCGTCAGTGTGACGCTGCAGACTCAATGCGGGCATGCCATAACCTATAAGAGAAGCTGAACGAGAAACAAGACCAGGACTCTCGTGGCCGTGATTCGAAAGGCGCATAAAGTGCGTGCGGAGACAGCAGTGCCGAGTGCCGAGTAGCGGCAAAGGCGTTGCACCATTTGGTATCAAGGCCCGGCCCGGGTGTTCCACAGTCCGCTGGAGTCTCGCAGACTTTAGCCAGCCAATGGTGAGGCCTCTCTGGAGTTCTAGATGCTGTATTGGGTTCCAGAGTCGCCCGTGAGTTGAGCCCGTGGCTGTATCGCAGCTTGTTTTCAGCTGTCTACGTTCATCACGGACATGACGCTATTCCGAGAACGTCATATCCGTCTCTCACAATCTGTCCTTGTTGTCTGCCGTCATCATTGTTTCCAGCATAGATATCCGAAAGTGGAGATGACTTCATCCGGGACAAGCGGCTTCGCACTAACACCAACAGACGAAACAGATGCATGTCTGAGCACCAGCGCACCCCGCAGGTATCTTGTCTTGTTAGTTCGCGACTTATCGCCACTTGAATCATAGCTTATGCGGCCCCTGTTTCAGTATGCGATGAGATGGGCGTCTAGCATCAAGGCTTTGTTTCTCAGTATAGTAAGGTTGTTCACTAAGTTGTCATAGTTGGTTCACTAAGGTGTCATAGCCGGCCGTGGGACTGAGTGATTGGTATCGCATCCTATGCTGGACCATAATGAACGCGAGAATGAATGAACATGACAATGTATTCATAGCAGGTAAACTGCCATAGTATGTATGCGCGATGATGTTGTTAAGGTTTTTCCATGAAGGAGACGAAATTATTGTTGCTGTGATATCTGACAAGTTCGTTTTTCCGACTTTGGTAGTTTCTAGCCTATCTGTTACATGTCTCTTGGCACATAGTTCTTCTTGATTTTGTCAATCAAGAACAAGAATCCAGCGGCTGAGATCTTGGTAGATGACGCGTCATACAAGAAACGATGCCTGAGTACCGGCATGGGGATGAACTTCAAACTGGGGGCCGAGTAATGAAACATCCGTCAGGATCTATCATGTCTTTGAGATGCCACTATTGAATATTATATGCTGCGGAGGGAATACTATCGGCATCGTTGACATGATGACATATCAAAACGCGCGGCCTCTAGCTTGATTATCTCATCGCCGGAATCTGGAATCTCGGTATCTACTCTCACTAACATGTGCCTCATATTCAGCGACCTGTACGTTGAACAGTGTGAAAGATGGGCTACGATTACTACCGCATTCAAACTCAGCAAGCTTTCAAGGATAAGAAATAAGTTGAACATCAGGCAGCGTTTGGGATCAATTCGTACCGAGGGCAAAAGTGCCACCGTTATCAGCCTTTCCACCATTGGTATTCATATGCGGTTCCCACTTCCTGGGTGGTCAGGATATGCGACAAGTAAAATAGGTCAAGCACGAGTCTTTGAGCTGCTGCGTTTCGAGCATCCCGAGGTTCGGTTCATCAACGTCCACCCTGGCAGCGTCGAGACCGATGGATATGCAAAGACAGGTCTCCTGGCCCCCCTAATGGTATGACGGATGGAAAGCTCACAGGTCAATTTTTCGCCTGGCTTGCTTCTGATGAAGCGGGGTTTTTGAGTGGGCGATTTGTTTGGGCAGACTGGGACGTGGACGAGCTCAAGGCCAAGAGAGAGCAGATTATCAGCAATGACTTGTTGCTCACAACAATCGATGGATTGGTCAAGGGCTTCTAAAATACATGGTGCATAATACATGATGAATCTGACGCCTTTCCATCAACTCTTCAAATCCTCTTTGATAAAAGGACCCTCATTAGGAAAATGGTCGGCTTTGTTAATCACAATATCAGGAGCCCCAAACTCTTTGAAGACAGAGGTAATCTTTGCTTCATCCGCGATATCGGCCGAATACGCGTCAAACACAGTTCCAGGAAAAGCCTCTTGAAAATTCTTGTTAGCCTTGTTGATGCGCTCAAGGTCGCGGCCGACGAGAGCAATTCGAGATACACCTGCGGCCGCAAGCGCGTGCGATGTGTTCTCCTACGCCTCGACCGGCGCCTGTGATAAGGGCAGACTTGCTGGTTAGTAGGTTGGCCGCCACGGCCTTGGTGAGTGCCTCGTAAGGCTTGACGCGAGTGGTGGCAAATGAGGTCATGGTTTTTGAGTCAATTAGGACCATAAAGATGTAGGAGAGTCGGAAGCTTTCACCTTCATTGGGGTTTGGTTTCTTATAGTGTATTATCTCATTTTAATGTCAAGGCAGCCTAGCTTATATGAAGGCGGCTAATAAATATCGAATTCAACATGGGCAACTCTTCCAGAAACAACCAAGATCTTGAGAAACGGCGTCTAATCTCATTGTGGGAGATTTCATAGGATTAATCTTTTGAATGTCGAATGTGTTGGAATTACCCTCTCGCAACATACCACGGCGACATATGTCCATGTTGGCATATAGTATACCAAGAGCACGCCGAGCCAACATCTGTCGACAATGTCTGCAAGATAAGAGATGATTGTACGAATCTGCTACACCCGTGTGCGAATGTCATCGAGCAATCTTGCATAGATGGCACCATCGCATAGAATGAAGCCAGATGCGTCCTTGTTGATGTCGATGAAATTACATATTGAAACCATGTTATAAGCTTATCATCCTAGTGCTGATCATGAGTGGGTGGAGGAGGTGTGGCACTATCGGTGATTTTCGAGATCTTTCTGGAGGGATTTTCACTTGCCGTTGGCACTTTATAAAGTAATTTCTGCTCCTTATGGTTAGCGGTTGAGAGTTTGGCGACTATCTGCTGGCATGTGGAATTATTCCTGCTGGTGTATCTTGTAAAATGGTCAAACTAGGTGTAATCCGTGGTTGTAAGCTGCAGATCCCCGAGTGACTCCGATTCGGGGATTATTGGGGGAGATCTTGTGAGGAAGGTGGAATATATCTTCAAGCATGATTATTATTTCTCCATATGGTTTCTTGTCTGGTTTGATTGAACTTGGCACCCGTCGTCAAAGGCATTATGGGGTAGTGTTTCTGTTGAGTCGTGCCAAATTTCCCTAGTCGCGGTGCATCAGCCGTGCTGCATGGAGTTTATTATTCATCTAGAATCCTTCATACCATAATGGTGATTTGCTAATCCTTCCAACATCTGCTGCTGTGTATCATTGCCATGTCACTGCAGCCTTGATCTGCTCGCCCGACCCACCTCACAGCGGATTTCGGCCTCGACCAAGTCCGCGCCGCTGTTGAAGATCTCTGGCAGTCGAATTCCTCTGATAGGAGCGCTATAGGCTAGAGCTGTTTCAGCTTCGTTCCCTGCATTGTATATAATAACAGGATCAAACGATGAGCGCGATATATAAATAATAGAGAGCTCAGGATTAGAGGTATATCGAAATGGGCATACGGGGGACGATTACGTAGTACAGCATACTACCCTACGATGACTCCGTTATGCTTACCACACAAGCACGCTTACGATGCTACGTTCACCATATCACTTTATAATACTCGTGAATAGATGACACTATTCCTTTCTCATTGAACTCTGTGAATTCGAGTGATACCCAACCTGGGGATTTGCACGATACAGCTGATTGCTTGATATAATGCATACCATCTACGGTGTTGGTATTGGAACACCGAGAGACACAGGCATCCGACCAGGGCCTCGCGTGGTTTGGTGGGTACGTCGTTTACTGTAATTATTCATATACCTAATGAAGTATCATTCTGCGAGCACGGAGTATTCAAGCCATTTTTTGTGAATGGGACGCCGAATGACATCCTGCGGCCAAAGTACACCCCGCAAGATAAAGAAAAGATGTTGCGAGAGGCCGAAGACAAACTATATTATGAGAGATTGAATGCCGCGTCACCTCGTGCGATTTCTGATAGGGGCGACAGACTTACCCAAATATCCCCTGTCGCCGATACACTAGGCCATGAATGATGAATCCTACAGACTCCTTTATCGACTGACCCACTAGTAACAGCTCCTTCAGTGTGATAATTGGTTACTGCATGTGGTTAGAAATACGAGAGGTAATCACAGATTGCTCTTCGGCATCTTTTGTTACTTTCAAAGCTCAGTGTCATTTCTCGAGGAGCTTGATATGAGTTTATGCAGACTGGCTTAGCGTCTCCATGTTCGCTTCGCTGTACGTATAATATCAGATTGTGGAGAAGAGTTCATGATGTGAAGATTCTATAGGCAAGTATGGGATTGAGTAGAAATTTATAAACACTTGATCCTTCCAGCCAAACACCGAATTTGAACAAAATATTCATATCAACTCGGAAGCCCCTGTTCCGTCACCATTTGTTCCCACTGCAACCACTGATTCGGATCAGTTTCAAAAGAAAACAAGTTTGGGAAATACTGTGATTCCGAAAACCCCGTATCAAGATAGTCTGCATACGAGAATTTCTCATAAACATTCGAATGCCGAGTCACGGGCCTCGCCTCTGCCTTGTCCTTCTTCGCCGCGGCTTCAGATTCCATCTTGAGCCTCTGCCACTCCCGAATCTCATTGATATAGTCGGGCGTCGCTGGCTCTGGAAGGCCCTCTGCTTTCGAAGCTGCGATGTAACTATCCCAGACCTCGATTGTCCATTTACCCAGCGCCACATAGACGGACCCGGTGAATTCCTCCAACACTTCGGGGCACCGTGTAAACACGATTGCAATCAGCTGCCAGGCTCTTTCGACATCAGGTCCCGTTTTGCGGCTGCGAACTTCGATGAGAAGGTAGAGCATCGTGTTCCATAGGTAACTGGTGCCAATCTGCCACATGTACTTGTCGACACCCATGTGGCCGCCCTGTATCAGATTCGCGTATTCTAATAGTTTCATGGCGTTGAAGAATGATATGTCATGGTCTTTTTGGGTGGCCTTGGCGGAATGATGGGCGAATTGCCGAAGATTGTGAGCAAAAAGCCTCATCTTGCATATTGCTGATCGGATCATGACAGAAATGAAGGTGTGTAGTGAATTCGCGAGATCGCAGTACCGCAGGTACTTCTTTTCCAGATGATCTTCAACAGCGTCTATGAGGTTGTCCTTTCTGGCAACCGAAATATCGGGGTTGTAGAGCATTTCCCAGCGCAAATCAGTGGGATACGGGCTTGCAAACTTGCACAAAGTCTCCATAATCTCGCATTTGAGCAGGCAAAGAGAAATTCCAGTAATGCCGTTGCGCTCGGCTGGCAGACTCTTCATGTCTGGGTAGAGTTCTTCGTCGTCCACGTTGATGGGCTTCTGTGTATCACCGCTGGATATTTCTGGAGACGGCTTGGTGCCCATCACATCAGCCGTGCGACAGTCAACATGAGCAAGGTGCCACCAAAGGCGCCTTCGCATTTCTGTTTCAAAGGGAGAGAGTCCGAGGAACGTGCCATCTCGATGAAGGCCCATTTTTCGAGCGAGGCGAATAGCCACGCCTGATAGGATGTAGAGAGTGTCGCATCGATACGTGTTTCTGACGCAAACCTGTACAAAGTTAGCTCCAAGAGGCTCTTGAAACGAGTGCATGAAATTCAAGGACATACTGTAAAGATACTAAACGCTTGGAGTGTCATGAGATTCGATGTAGACACGAACCTGGCATTTATCAAGGCTTGTCGAGTCGCAACGCGATAGCGAGACATCATGGCCGACAGTGACGTCCCAAACAAAGTCTGGCATTCATCCTCCTTCAACGAGCTGATGGTAACCAGGTAAAAGGCAAAGATGAGCGACTCCAGGCTCTTGGGCATGTTGTCAGGGTGTCGAAGCGCATTCGTCACTGCAACCCAAAACGTAGGAAGATGCAGGATTTTCATCATAGGATCCACCCGATCAGCATAAATCTCTTTCAATTTTGAGAGAAGCTGCGGGGTTGCGTGCAGCTTCGAAAGGTTTTCAATCTTGTCAGTGTGTTCCTGTTCAAAGAATAACCCGCCTTCATCGATGTGGTTGTCTTGCTCGATAGGCACGGCCTCTCCCACATCGTTGAAATTAGTGGACTCTGGATGTTGAAACTGTAGATGGATCAAAGTCAGCAAACGGCCTGTTGGGATATAAAGGAATATTTTCAATCACATCGTCTGACAAGTTGGACCAGAGGGCACTAAACAGCATGTAAGAGTCCGTCTTGATGGAATGTGCGTTCACTGCTGACCGACCATACCTATCAAAGTATCTCGATGCACCCTCTTTCATGATAAACTTTGGTTTGATATCTTCAGGCATTATGCAACACCCTTGTATCCTCATCGCCGACATGCCTTCACTCGACTCGGGCGTAATGGTTCGAGGCTCTGTTTCCGATTCAGACACATCAGAGTCATCACAAGGCTCAATCTTGGCGCCGTACGCCCTGAGCATCTCCTCGTATCGTTTCACCCGCGCATGGAGCGTCTCTCGCGGAGGCTTCGTCCGCTTCCTCTTGCCACGAACCGGGGCAACGAAGCTGCATTGCCTCTCCGCTTTCACGCAGTTGAGACACGGAGTTCGCCTGTCACATCTGACTTTGCGCTGGCGGCAACTTAGACAGGAGAATCCTTTCAAGTTTGTTTCTGACCGCTGCGGGGTGTCGGTCATTACAACCTGCTGCATGTCCATAACTGTTGCTATTCTCTCGGTGTTAAAACTAAGTCCACAACTCCGAAAGTTCAAAATTAAGGAGCGAGAAATGGCGTCTGTTCTGCCTAGTTTTATGTTGCCAGGAGGAGAGTTCGTGTAGGTTTCTTCGGGGTTCGGGCGTGAAATTCTGCGTTTTTGAGCCCCGAGAGGCGGATCGGTTCTAGCGCCACACGGTATAAGATTGCATGAAATCCTCCTTATGGGTTCAACAATGGCATGTTTCCACAGGCTTCCAAGTTGTGGGAAGTTGAAGTTTCGACTTTTATAGAATCTTCTTGTAAGAATTGACAAGTTCTCTTGAAGCCATCATGTCGAAATCATCGTTTGATGCGGACGAAAAGCCTCCCACGGCAACCACCGAGACAAGCACCGTGAAGATGGAGGCGCCTCCGGAGTATCCCTCCAATCAGAAGCGAGTCCTGGTCATGGTGGCCCTTTACTTGGCAATCTTCTTGGTAACCCTGGTATGGCAGATCGATCGACGGAAGCTTCTCAGCACTCAGCTTTCTAGTGCTTATTTCAAGATTCAGTCCGATCGCTAACTTGCTGTTTTTTTCCAGGATCAAAACATCCTATCGACCGCTATCCCTCGCATCACGGACGAGTTCCATTCGCTAAACGACGTTGGCTGGTATGGCACGGCATATCTCCTTACCATGTGCGGCTTCCAGCTGGTCATGGGCAAGGTCTACAAGTACTATCCTGCAAAGCCCGTGTTTCTCGGCGGCGTTGTTCTCTTCGAAGTTGGTTCAGCCATTTGCGGTGCAGCTCCTAGCTCTGTTGCCTTTATCATTGGCCGTGCAATTGCCGGCTTGGGGTCTTCTGGCATGTTTTCGGGGCTCATGGTTATTATGTTCAACGTTATTCCGCTACAGCAGAGACCGATATACCAGGGCCTTTTCGGAGCCGTCTTCGCCGTTGCATCGGTCGTCGGACCCGTGATTGGAGGTACTTTTACAGACAAGGTGACGTGGAGATGGTGCTTCTACATTAACCTGCCAATCGGAGCCGTGTCCATCATCGTCACTCTCTTCATCTTACACCTGCCCAGCCAGAAACTCGACGCACCAGCAGAGACGTTGTTGGGCAAGATTCAGCAGCTGGACCCTATCGGCAACCTCGTCTTTCTACCGGGAATCATCTGCTTGGTTCTGGCGCTTCAGTGGGGAGGCACCCAATATCCCTGGAGCGATGCCCGAATCATTGTTCTCCTGGTGCTTTGCGGCGTCCTCTGTCTTGTATTCATTGGCGTCCAGGCATGGAAGGGAGAGGCTGCAACTCTTCCTCCTCGCATCGTGACGCAGCGCAGCGTCGCAGCGGCTTCCTTCTTCAGTTTCTTCAACGGCGCCAGCATGATGGTTGTCATGTATTATCTTCCCATCTGGTTTCAAGCCATCAAGAACGTCAGCGCTATAAACTCTGGTATTTCCCTGCTGCCCACCATTCTGTCGGTAGTTGTTGGTTCCTTGTCGGCTGGTGCTGCCATTTCTCGCTTCGGCTACTACACTCCGTTTTTCTATGCCAGTTCAGTCTTGTCAGCTATTGGAGCAGGGCTTCTGTCAATGCTTGAGCCGGGCACAGGTCACTCCAAATGGATTGGCTACCAGGTCATCTTCGGACTAGGCCTTGGATTCGGCTCACAGCAAGCAATGAACGTTGTGCAGACGGTTTTGGAGAGAGGTGACATCTCAAGTGGAACTGCCTTTGTCATGTTCACTCGCTTCCTCGGCTCATCAATCTTCCTACCAGTTGCGCAGACCCTCTTCATCACCAACTTGTCCTCCCGACTATCCGACGACATTCCTAATATCGACCCTAAAGAAATCGCGGCTGCTGGCGCTACTGAGATTAAAAACTTGGTTCCGGCAGATGACATGAAAGTACTTCTCCAGGATTATAACGATGCGCTTATGGAAGTCTTTATCATGATGGCGGCCATCTCTGCCGTTACTATCTTTGGCAGTGTGTTTGTCGAATGGCGCAGTCTTAAGGAGCGCGCAAAGAGCGAACAGAGTGGAAGTCCTTCACCGCCAGTTGAGGCAGCATAGACAAGTGGCTCTGACGAATATCTGTACATCTCTGGCAATGATGATGAAAACACGACAATGATGAGCGTATGCGCATTTCGTTGGGTTACTGAGAGAAAAGAACAAAGCAGATGATAGATTAGACAAGGTCCATTAATAAGGTACCGAGTCCGACAGATTGCATTCTGGAGTTGGAATTATTGATTAGACGTTTAATAGATGGAAGAAAAATCTCCATACTGTAAAATAGATTGTATAGACTCTTCTTTGCTTATCTGCGCAGTATGTCAAGCAGGTAGCTTCTACCAATCGACATTCTGTGCAATAAATATATTTCATGACTTATCAACCTTTCAATAATTTCTCAAGCTTGATCACATCCAAAGTAGTTATCACAGTTCTCTTTCACCCTCATCATGCACGTCTCACAACCCCTCTGTTTTCGACGCATCGTCACCAGATCCTGTTCGACCCGCAATCTCTGGCCTCTTCCACCAAGTTTGAGCCCTGGAAGTAGGTATTTACTGATGCGTCACGCCACTTCCGAGGTTTTCTCATTTGACTTTCTGATCTTAGATAAACCTGCACTTAATTCTCACTCGAAACAAGAGTCCCTCGAACTGTCTTCTTTGCAACCAATTGTCGTCGCCTAGTTGCTGACAAGACACAAGCCACGGAATCTTAGGTGAGTACAAGTATAATGCAGCAGCCCACTGTAATTTGCATTGGAACCCACTGACGAAATGCAGGAGACTGGATGCTATATAAACAGAGTCATGCACATCCATTCTTCAACACTCACCGCTTCGAAATCTACCCCTTTCACACACCATTCCATTATTCAATATGCAGTTTGGAACCACCGTCCTTCCAAGCACTCAAGTGCCTCCAGCTTCGGTTACGCGGAGTGATATCGCAGCGGAAATCCCGAGTCTTTTGCCGCTCTACGACGAGTTCCCGGACATTGTATACACCAAGGCCGATCCCGTTTACGCGATAATAAGTCCTGCATTCAAGGCATCGACGACGACTAAACCACTGGCGGTTGTTCGGCCTCTAAATGAAAGCCATGTCCAAGCTGCTGTTAAAATAGCCCGTGCAGCAGGATTACCCCTGGGAATTCGTTCTGGAGGGTTAGAAACGGCGGGACGAAACTTCAATGGAGTTGACAAAGGCATTATACTGGACCTTCGCAGCCTGTGTTCTATCACAGTGTCTGATGACAAGGCATCTGCAGCTATTGGTGGTGGCACTATAGCAGCTGATCTGGCTGTTTCTCTGTCAAAGCAGGGCGTCTTTACACCTATTGGATGGCATCCCAGGATCGGCTATGCAGGATGGGCAATGGGAGGAGGTTATGGTCTTTACTCTTCGCAATACGGTTTTGGTGCCGATAATATCCTCGGCGCCCGTGTGGTCCTTGCTGACGGGTCTGTGGTTGATGTCGATGATAATAACCACTCAGATCTACTCTGGGCACTTCGAGGAGCTGGAAATGGCATCTGGGGTGTTGTGATACAACTCACAATTAGACTCTACCCACCACCAAATCTGTTGATTGGCACTTTGAGATTTCCCAAGAAAGATTGGCCGGCAGCATTGGACGAGTGGGCTAATAACATTGAGCCCAATCTGCCCGATGAGTTTGGAGGAGAACTTTACTTTCGGAATCCCGTACTGGATAGTCCTGAGATGATCATCTTCTTCGCTTGGTGCGCAAAAGAAGGCGAAGATTTACAAAAGGGCTGGGACTATTTTGACAAGATGAAGTCACTACCAGGTGCAGAGGTGCAACGCATTGCAGAATGTGAGTTTCACGGTTCATTATTGTAATGCAGGATAACGACGATTGCAGGCGATTGCTAACAAATGAGCGTCTAGCTGACTTTGCCACCCATCTTACATCGGAACCGAGCGCACAGCCAGCATCGTATCAGGTCCGTGGAGTTATTACAAAAGGCCTGACCAGCAACATAGCTTCAGTCTTGAGCCGTCACTGGACCAATCCCAAGATATACACCGGAATCCCTTGTCACTATGCACACGGAAAGGCCATCAAACCAAACCCGGGCGCCTGCTTCCCCCTGCGATATCGTCACAGGCTGTTCCCTTTTAATTCACGCCACTCGGAATTGATGGGGACAGAAGAGGGCGAGTCCCTTGTAGCGGAATTGTCCGCTCGTATAATGGATGGGATGAAGGCTACGGGGGACGCATATGTGGGGGTTTCTTATCAGAATTTAATTCCTCCTGTCGACACTGACTTGGAGGCCACGTTTGGCAAAGAGACTCTGGAAAGGCTCAAGACGGTGAAGAACAAGTACGACCCGGACAATTTCTTTTCAAGAGGATATCCTGTTTTGGACGTTTAATGGGGGCAATAGAGTCATAAGTAGAGAAGCAGTCTTATAATCTAATCAGTAGTAGACGGAACTCCTTCATTGTCTTCGCTGGTAAATGTCATCTGAACAGGAGGATAAACATCCTTGCCATATGTCGAGTTCAATGTGATCGCTCCAACAGCAGTGCCATCTTCGAGTCGAGTCCAAGTCTTTGTAGACTTTCCAAGATCCTTGATGTCAACCAACACCTGTCGCGATCCTCGAGTCCAAGAGCCGTAGCCTCCATAGCCGGTGTGACGGCCAAAACAGAAGGCAAGACCGTTGCCGGTCAAGTCCAGGAATTTGAGGTCCTTATTCCACTTGAAGCACCAGTCGTCGCCGTGATCGTGACCGCTAAAGACACCCATAAGCTCCTCAGTGTCCAACAGAGCCGTCATGAAAGCCTTGTCTTGGCCAGTGTATACAAAACTTGTAGTGGCGTTCCACAGTGGGGACTGGACTCCTTGCTGAGAGAGAGGATTGTCGGCATTGATTCCGGGCTCTTTGTTTTCGTCGACGTCCTTTTCCTGTTGGAAGCTGAACATGGCGCCTACAGGGATGTGGACAAAGGCGTATGAAGGCAGATTCTTCCTGTAGCGTTTAGTCAGTTGAGTCCTGGTGGATACAAACCAGTCGACAACGCTTTGGTCGACCCAGTTTGGTCGGGCAACATCTGAACCATCGGTCTCTTCTTCTTGGTAGTAGTTTCTGCAGATACTGAATGAGCCCGTGATGAAGCAAACAAATACAGAACTACAATATGGACTTACCCTCCTCGACTGTCAAAGAACCAGAGGATCATGGCCGGCGTAGAATCATGCCTGTTGTTAGACATGACTTCCAGATAATAGTTGGAGACACCGGCGTTTTTGTCTTGAACCATCTTCCTCGTCAGACTATTCTTGTACTTTTTCTCTCTCTCATAAATGTTTTCAGAGGAAAGGTTGTACGCCGAGTCGTGGTCTATGAGAATATGAGCCACCATGGTCATACATTGTTATTGCTCACAATCACGTACTGCCATATGTGGATGCCCAGGGAAGGTGTCGGGCAACCAAAGGCGAGACAACCATGTCAAAGTAGTCGGTCGAGTTCTTCTTGAAAGTGTTCTCGCCAGTGATGAAGTCTCCGTTAATCACGAGGAGCTGGGGAGATTCCTTCTTCAGCACTGTCTCCATCACCAGCAGCGTGTCCACGTCCTGCAGAGGGCCCCAGTCTGTGTCCTCAGCCTCACCGAAATGCAAGTCATTGAAGACTGTCATTTGAAAAGTGCCTTTGGAAGTGAATCGCAACTGAGGCCAGGCGCACGAAGACACGGCCGCAGCCGCAGTCCTGTGGCTCAAGAGCGCTGCCGATACAAGAGCGCCAAGTCGGAACATGGTGAAGATTGCGGTAAGAAGTTGGCGATTGATGAGTAACACGGAGCCCCCAACGCTTCCAAAATCACCTCCGGTTGCATTCTTGGAAACCGTTATTTATACCTGAGGAAATCCATCTTCCCAACCAACGACAATCTTGCCGCATCCCGGCGCCATTGAAAGGTTCCTGCATCTCAAGCGTCGTTTTTCTCCATTCACGATTGTCACCAGCGGGTTGTTACATCCCACGTGAAAGCAGCGCCCAATCGGCAGCAATTGTTTGTCTCTCTTCACTGGAATTAGACAAGGCTCATATAAGCGGCCGGCTGACACGGCCAAGGCCCATTGTGGGGATGACACGCCATGATTGCAACAAGATCCCACGTGGGTGTAACCCAGAATACTGGGCGAACGCCGCCACAAAGCTTAGCAAAGCTTGTGTCGATTGCAGGTAGCATCGGGAATGGAATATGGACACTGCAACGCTTGCTCGGCTGTGCCGTCTATGGCTTAGTGATGCAGACTACTTGTTTATAGAACTAGAAGATGCCATACGGTGAAGAAAGCTGGAATCTCTGGGAGTGAGACTACTGAGCACTATGCATTATCGGTTGCGAGCGAGTTAATATAGGCTAATTGAGTCACCATTTCCTATCTATGGGGATGCAATTGTTGGTACAGCAAGGTCATGATATTGGAAATCGACACAGTTCGCTCTCGTCATTATCTTGCGATTGCACATGTACAAATACCGGCTGCTAAAATGCGTATTGAAGGCACGAAAGCTGGAAGCTAAGCTCTGAAAACAACATCAGAAGCCTCATGATAACAGCTTGAAAGCTGGAAACGACGGATGGTAGAAATGGCAAACTAAAGTTTCATGTCGGACGAGTCAATCGCGTGGTAAGCTATATTCAACCTAATTCAGTTATGAGACAAGCTATAAGATCAAGCAGTTCCGGCATTCGTTAAGTTACATTGGCATCTGAGATTCATCCGTCATGGTGCAGGGTAAGTTGTAGCACTACCTTTCGGATGTACCATCATCACATGTCAGCTTGATATCTCAGTGGGTACAATCTACTGGTCAGCGATCTCAAAAGACAAATCAGTTCTCAGGTAGTAGCTTATTTAGCCCGTGTAACCTCCTTCAGAGGATCCGTGATTTCGTCAGTTGTTAGTGGCCGAAGTGGCCATCACGGCAGCTTAATAAGGTGGTTATCATGCGCTAAATTGTCTTTCAGATATCTTAGTTGTTCATAACCGTTGCAGAGAGCTCTTGTAATGGTGACTCTAAGATTCTGAAAACGAGTTGTAATTGTTATTTTCGCAGTACGGCATTGCGCTAACAGGGAGAAAGAGCTCAACATGCTCTACCACACACTACCATGTACTCTTAGTATGTACGATGGGCTCAATCATGCTACCCTGGGTACATATAAATGACTCAAAGAAGCTTACCAAGCGAGAGGCGAATGTATTGCTTGGGGGTGAATATTTGTCGACTTCCATGTAGTGAATAACTTTTGAACCCCCCAAAACGCTCGACAATAGAAGTTACAATATTTACGACGCCCTTGTAAAAGTCAGGATGCTTCACCTCGTTCATGGGAAAGCAATATCACCCCTAGCGCACGGATGGGGTGGCGGACGGATAATGTGCTTATCCATCGGATCTGTCTACCCCGAAGGGCATGGGATAATTGTCCCCGCGAATGATATGTCAGGAATCGGCTAATATCTGGCTTGGAGATCTTGTTAACAATCGGACTTGTCAACAATACTCCACTGTCAACTACACTAACGCCGAAACCTTGCCAGCCGTTCTACATACGAGTATTAATGCCTTAGTTTATAATAAATCCCATAGGTCTGCATAGATTGATGCTGAGTTTGTATTCGTAATTATTTCTGTCAATCCTTGTCTTCTCAACGAAGATGCCAGGATGCTGTCGAAAAGTATCATCACACAACTCCTAATTCCAAAAGCGGAGTGTGGTGGTGTGCTCTCTATCAGCAGCCCTTTAAACGGGCATATGAATACGGACTAAGAGTAATTACCTAGATCTGGGCTGTTCAACCTCGTGGACGGAGTAAGCGGCAACTCAGTCCCCTCCATGTTTACCAGGGCGAAACGACAGCATCTGTGACTGTTACTTATTGGCTGTGTAGCTAATTAATTTGTTCCCACCACTAGTAATTACTTTATGACTGGCCTTATTATATCTAACATCACGAGAAAGTGGATATTCCGAAACCGAATATCTAATGGAGGCTGACTCCCAGCTGACTTTTATGAACTACTGGTCGATGCATACCTTTTCAAAGAACGCTTCATGGCATAGTGGTTTCCTATTGCATTCTGGGAAATGTTTACCAATGTTCCGCAGAGCTGAGCTGACGACGGCTTACGGGAGGTGCCGATTAACCGCGTCGCTTATATTAGTATGTTTGCATTTCGAGTCCTAAATTATATCACCCTCATCCTGGTGACGAGTTGGTGTCACGAATAAAGATAAGTCTCCTTGTGGCCCTGTTAGTGGTCAAAGTGGCGGAGATTCTTCCGCACAATGCAACCAACATCCATTCAGGTAATGACTTGGAAGATAACTGGATGCTGTGAAAATGTTCGTCTGCAGTATTCGTCACTTCTGAATAACATCATTGTATCATTTATTGAATTCTATATGAAGTTATTTATCTACCTATCGGATAGGGGGAAGATTCAGATGTACGACTCCTCAATACTCTACAGTAAGCCACTAGAGCATTACAATTCAAATATCCGTGAAATAACAACTAGCTGTATGACAACCTTGATAATCGATCTGGAATAGGTTAATGCAAATTCCCAAAACATGTTTAGATATAGGGTAATGGAAAAAGAATACACGGCGCACTTGGGTCTAATGTTGATCCCAGCAAGGAAGTTGGTGTCGTTCTAATGTGTGAGTTACGAGTGCACGACATGTAATGCTCGTTCAATATCTCACCTGATGATAAGAGGACCTCAATAGTTCTGACAGATATGACGAGTATAAAGAGCACCCCTTCGCTACCATCAATATCTCCTTTTACCAGTTCTAATCAACATTGGAAACTTGGCCACCATCTGACTCTAAGCAATAATCGGCAAACTATCTACCACACAACACTCAAACGTCATGAAGGCCAACCAGTTTACCTCTATTCTCCTCCTCAGTATTTCCACCGGGGTACTGGCCGATTTCCAACTCTTGTGCGGGCCGTGCTGTGATGAAGGCGGCGACTTCAGTGACGGATGTTATCCCGACGCAATCATCTCAGCCGAGAACAAGCTGGGCTGCGGCAACCTCGACAATCCAAGCGGCGTTGCCACAAACTCGTTACTCAGCGGTGGTTTTGGAGGTGCTCTGGGCTGGCCATCGGCTACCTCGTTCTTCAGCATGGGCGGTCTCTGTGGAGTTGGGACGTTGAACTTTTATCAAAGTGGCGATACATACTTGGGCTACATCAGTGGTGGAGACGGCACGCAAGTTGCTACATGCTATCCAACATATGGAGGTAAATCTTGTGATTATGGCGCAGCGGTTTGTGACTGGCAACAGACTTGGTACTGCGACTCTTACATTTGCTCGTAGAAGGTGTGCTTGCATGACCATCCTGTGGTTGCTACACTTGGCTGTAATGTACAAATGCATTTGCGGAAACATAAGGCTTCTACTATTAGATAGTTGGTTTAAATAGACCAATGCCAATAAGCTTATATAGATTGCTTCAGAGTAAAGTGCATAAGCGCAGCCACAGCTCTCCGCCTATACTTGATACAACACCTTAACCATAATGAATCTATTGCCTTTTGTAGTATTCTCATAAAGCATTGCTGCAGTCATTACTTAATCGTGCATTCAAAACTGGGGTAGCATTTGTAATGTGCAATCACATACTATATCGCGCCCATTATCAGCCTTATATGTATTCGGTCATTCGGTCGCGACAGTCCGAAGGTGTGTGTATGGCGCCATATCACGACATCAAAACGGAGTTGATCGCCAAGGCAAGAGTACAGTATTTCAAGTCGCTTAAAAGGGCAAACGCCAACATCTCCGCGGGAAACTCATCTCTGTCAAATTATTTGGTTTAATATTCTTGAGTATTTCCGCGCCCAATCTGTTACAGAATGAAGGAGTCTTCAAATGGCGAGAAATGGCGGCTTCGATATTTGTTGTCAAAGTCAAGGATTCCCCACAACTTTCGTCTGGGGTCACGCTTCTCTTTGAAGCGTCAACGTATTTATCCCGGATATAACAAACGTAGCAGCTACTTGGGAATGAATTATATGCTCAAGTTGCGTGGGGAGGACTGCCATGGCTATCCAGTACTCCTATACGTCAAGTTACCGTTTCCCCCCACGTTTCCCCTGCCGCGTGACGGCCTCGGGATTTGCCTCAATCAATGGCGCAATGCGTCTTCACTCTCAGCAAACTGCGGGGAGATGTGCAGATTGCTGCAGCTTTAAACATGAACAAAGATAAGGTATCATCGGCAGCGTCATTGTAGCACGCAATCATAGCCCATAATTCGGGATGTCAAGGATGTGCAGGAAACATATAAATTCAGTGTTGGGATGATTTGCTATCTGGTGTTGAGCTGTGTATCTCATTAGAGTGAAGCCTTAAAGTCAACCTTTACAGCTGCCGAGGCGAGGGCAAGCTTTGGGCAGATTGAGGTTGTATCTCAGCCAGTGAAAAAGGCGTGTCTATTCATCAGGACGCTCGCCTTGCGAAGTCGATAAAAAATGGCCGCGGACGGTAAAACGACCAACATCTCCATCCTCACAGAGGAGGTGACTTCGAGCATCCATGGCTCTTCATCCAGCGACACAGAGCGGCTAAGAGAGCACACTGGATCAGAAGAAAATGGACACAGCGAAGAGAAGAACCCATTCAGAGACCCGGCCGTCGCCCAGCACTGGACAGAGGTGTATGAAAAATCACAATACGAATGTCGTCATGTATTTGATCCATCACTATCATGGACCGAAGAAGAGGAGCGTCGTTTAATCAGAAAATTGGATTGGAGAGTTTGCCTTTGGGCCGTAAGTTTTGTCCTCGTCGAACGAGAATGCGAGAAGGCTTAATAGCTAACCCCATCACGATGCTTGTAGTGTGTCATGTTCTTTGGCCTGCAGGTCGACCGTGGAAACCTTGCACAGGCAGTATCGGATAACATGTTGGACGATCTAGGGCTCGATACAAATGGTATGTATAGAGACACGCGCCATAAGAGACTTGGAGGGAGGTTTACTAACATGAGAGAAGATTACAACTACGGCAACAGCATATTCAGGATTTCCTTCCTGGTCGCCGAGCTTCCTTCACAGCTCATATCGAAAATGGTTGGCCCGGATAGGTGGATTCCCGTTCAGATGGTTCTCTGGTCTGTTGTTGCCGTTTCACAATGCGCATTGACTGGTCGCTCGAGCTTTCTCTGTACACGCAGTCTTCTTGGATTGTTGGAGGTTTGTCTTGGCAATCTCTACTCCATCATCTATACTCAAGCTAACTTGTGATCTTCAGGGGGGATTCATTCCCGATATCGTCCTTTGGCTATCGTACTTTTACACATCTCGCGAGCTACCTGTCCGTCTCAGCTACTTTTGGACTTCTCTCTCCGTGACTGGCATTGTGACATCTCTACTCGCATTCGCGTTATTGCATCTCCGCGGTGCCAACGGCTGGGCTGGCTGGCGGTGGCTGTTCCTCGTCGAGGGCCTGATTACCCTTGTCGTGGGTCTTTCTTCTTTCTTCATGATGCCCGCCTCTGCTGTGCAGACAAAGACATGGTTCCGCCCAAAGGGATGGTTCACGGATCGTGAGGTCGCCATTGTGGTCAACAGAGTCTTGAGGGATGATCCTTCCAAGGGCGACATGCACAACCGGAAAGCTATTACGCCAAAGCGGTTGTACGAGACATTGAAAGACTTTGATCTGTGGCCGCTCTACATACTCGGTATGGTTGTATTTATACCTCCCAGTCCGCCGGGGACGTATATTACACTCACTCTGAGGAAAATTGGCTTTGACCCGTTTACTACCAACTTGCTAACAATCCCATCCGTAAGTCATCTTCACCGTATGCATTGCTGGCTGCCGAAAGCTGACTTTTTTATAGAACATCTTTCACATTATCAATCTTATTCTCATTACACGACTATCGGAATGGCTTAATGAGCGTACACTGGTGTCCATGTTGCAAGCTCTTTGGACACTTCCGTGCATCATTGCCTTGCGTTGGTGGCCTGGCGTCATGGTCAATCAATGGGGGACTTATGCTCTGGTCACTGTCTTGACATCTTACCCTTATTGCCGTAAGTCAAAAGCATGCGATTCTACTTTATGCTTGTAGTTTGTTGTTGCTCACTCATGTTTTGCAGATGCAATCTTGGTAGGCTGGACATCTAAAAACTCCAACAATGTCGGCACCCGGTCCGTCTCCGCAGCAATGTACAACGTAAGATATTACCTATCCAGTGTATTTTACTCTTGCTAATTTGATGCCGCCCTCAGATGTGTGTTCAGGTTGGTAGCGTCATCTCAGCGTATATATACGTCGCCGATGATGCGCCATTGTATCACCGCGGCAACACGAACCTTTTCATCATCAACATTCTCGGCATTGTTCTCTTCCTTCTTGCAAAATTATACTACATTTTTAGAAACAAACAAAAAGACAAGGTGTGGAATGCCATGAGTGAAGAGGCAAAGAAGGAATACACTGCGACTACGAAGCTGCAAGGTAGTGGACGGCTAGATTTCAGGTTTGCACATTAGAATTTGTGTGGAAAAACTGCAGGGCAGGTTGTTTAGATATTAGATACATGAGAGTGATCATATATTCTTAAGGATCACGAATGACGAATTTTGCCCATGGCGCCTCGGTCCATTACCTGATTCAGCACCTGGCGAATTGCAGAGTGTTTTCCAATTCTAGGCACTACCAACCCTTCCAAAGAACCCAAGTGTCTATCATTCTCATCAACGACATAAAAGACATGAAACGCGGCAGCAGTAATGCAAACATGATTGCAATACAAGTAAACTCTCTGTCCAACCTTGAAACCCTCAGCTGCATTGTCAGACGAGTTCTCGGTCCCTAATATTCCATGTTCCTGAGACAGTCTCACAACTGCCCAGTTGGGCTGACCAACAACGTGGCCAAATCCAGGGAAACCGCTTGTTTCTCGAGATAAAGCGACGACTCCTGCAGACTCTGATCAAAAATGTCATGAAAGTAACCCTTGGCTAGAATAGGACGTGACACGCTGTAGCCAAAGTTACTAGCCGTTACGGGTCGCAGGTTCTGTGGTGTGTTGGAAGAGAGATATGCAGCAAGGTTCTGCCGTGCATGCGGAGCGTGATATCCATCTTCGCTGGGAGTCTGAAAGTTGATGAACTCCAGCTCAACTATGAATGAAATATTAGCAATCTATCTTCCTAGGTGACAAGAAATGCGGTCTGATTGATTGCTTACCTCCAGCCATTCCCTGGAAGCCAGACGCAGCCATAGAGTCCGTCTAAGATCTAACGAGGCCACGTCCGTCCGCGACAACAGACTGCTCTGCAAGAAAGAAGCGCAACAAAAAGAAGGGAATATCATCCTCGAACGGCAGTCTTCGCATTGATTCCAGGTCAACAACGGCGTTGAAATCGGCATAGCCCGTCTTGGCGCTGGTCAAGTTGCTTTCTTCTGAATACAGGAGATCGTGCATGTCCCAGCCGAAAATAGCAGAACTCATGCCGCATCCTCCCTTGAGGCTGGAGAGGAACTTGCTCTTGTTCATAATCTTGCCTCGAAGAATGCCATCGCAGTCAATACCTGCGATCTTGACTTTGGTGTCGTTGGCCAGGAGCCTCTTGAACTGACTGATTGTGGCATCTTCATTGTTATCCTCCATGGGGGGCTTGTTGTGATTTTTGAGGGATTCTTGTGGAGACGTTATGTTGTTGATACTCATGGCCTGCTGTTCGCACAAGGTTGGATGATCATAGACGGTGATGAAAAGTCCACGAGTTCTTATCTATTCTTGGTAAAACGATAATGTGCCTTGTTTGAGAAGTATATTTCTTGGGAAGAGGGAACGCCGTGACACTACGTGAGATCCGCGCTCTTTTGAAGAGGCGGTTTGGAAGTTTCTAATGGAGGGTTGATAGGTTTGATCAATATTATGGGCAGTAGAGATTGAATAATTACTGTAATAAATGCCGTTGAACATGAGTACATATTTTCTTCATATTGAAAACTTGCGCAACTCGGGCAATTGTAGGCCAGTCAATCTCCAGCACGATCATAAGCAACAAAATAATATTTCTTTTATATAAAAATATATTGTATCACTTCTTATTGATGACATTGGCATGACACATTGGAGTCAGAAGTTTATCCCTGCTTTTCCTTGACGTGGTAGCTCTTGAGCTTGACGAAAGCATCATACCCGCGTGGCCCCAAGGTGCAGCCCAAGCCAGATCTTTTCCAACCCGTCCATGCAAGGTCCTATAGTATTGAATAATATTAGTACACATGGATTGTAGTTTGTGTAGAGCAGAGATTTTCCAACTTACAGGGTTTGGATAGTCGCAGCGATTCACAAACACGGTACCAGCCTCGAGCAGCTCAATCAGCTCCTCGCCGCGGGCAATGTCCTTTGTCCACACGCTCGCAGTCAAGCCGTACTCGGTATCGTTCATCAATCGCACCGCCTCATCATCATCCTTGACCTTGGCGACGGGAATCACTGGTCCGAATGTTTCCTCACGCATCACTTGCATGTCGTGCGTCACGTTGGTGAGCAGGATAGGCGCAACAAAGTTACCGTCCTTGAAAGCGCTGGTAAATGACATGTTCTCGGGAGTGGCGTTTACGGCGCCCTTGGTAAGGGCGTCGGAGATTTGCGCGTTGATGGTCTTTTCAGCGGCGCGAGAGATGACGGGACCGACCATTGTTCATTCATTGAAGGGATCACCAAGGGTGTACCTGGGTCGAAGTTTAGCAGTGATTCATCAGCGTGTGAATCGTATTCATAGATGACAACATAATCCTTGAGCTCGTCCTGAAGTGCCTTGACAAATTGGTCATGAACATCTTGATGAACGTAAATGCGCTCCACGGCACAGCAACTCTGGCCAGATTAAACACAGCACCATCCACCAACTGCTCAGCAACATACGCCAGATCTGCATGTGGCCGCACATACGCCGGATCATTACCCCCGAGCTCCAAGTTGACAGGAACAATGCCATCGGCCACAGCTTCACGCATGGCAAGACCTCCCGCCGTGGAGCCTGAAGCCATTGAGTCTGTCAACCTGTTGGAGACGTGGTTACAGTCCAACCAGAGATAATGGTCATGATTCAAAAGCGATCAACTTGTGACAATAAATCCGAACTGAAACAGCCTAACTAATTCTTTTTCTTTTTCTTTTTCGCAAGTACATGCAGTCAGCAGAGAAGGCTGTGCATGGGATATCGGTTGGGACGTCTCAAGGCCGTGAGCCCGTCGACCTAACCTGCACTTTAGGGCAATCTGATAATCGCGAATTCAATACCACTTAATGGATTTATCTTTAAACATAATATACATGGTACTAAATACGGAATAAGAACGGCGTCGATTTTTCTCGCCTTGGTTGGGACAGTGCGATGGTGCGATCAATATTGTAAGAGGTCATGAGAAGGGTGAGGTCAAATGTCAAGTTTGTGGAATAAACACAAGTCCCTGTAATAACACGGCTCAAATGGCATTCAACAGCACGAAAAGCTGTTATCCCACCCAAATCCCAAATTTTCCCCTTGAATCATTTCCCACTCAGTTTCAAATTCATCAGAGGTAGATATTTCTGCGACCCATGAACATCATCTTCCATAAAACCACCAGATACCGCAGGCCGTCCATCGCGCATACGAGGAATAGTAGCCTTAAATGCCAAAGCCTGGTCGAAGAAACCACAAAATACAATATTCTCAACCGAAAGGTCGTATAACTCTGCAATTAATTCACGTCGAAGGACGCCAGAATTTTTAACTCTGTCATACGTCTCTTTGTCGTTAAAGATGATGTCGAATGTGATTTCGTATGGGCCCGCGTTTTTCGACCTAATCACCTTTGCTGCCTCTCCGATGGTCTGCAGGAATGGGACAGGGTGCACAATCTCGGGTACTGCATTGGCTGGTGTTGGGTACAAGATTGCATCCTCAAGTTGATCAGTTGTCTCAGCATCTTGATGCCTGCGTCGTAATCGTTCTCCCGTTCCGACCAGGAGAGCTTCAAACGAGAATAGCCGCTTTTGTTTGCTGTCATCATCGTCAAGAATTTCGGAGGCGTCTTCTTCCTCATCTTGCAGGTTCATCAAATGATAGACTGAAAACTCGGCACAGAGACCTGTCTCAATCTCTCCCTTTCCACCCAGCCCAAAGCCAAAATTGCCGCTCGTGGCTTTTTGGCCTTTATATGGTCCATGGACACACCCAACTCGAGCAGTCGAAGCAATGCTCGTAGCTGTTGCTTGTGTCTCGGCGAGTGCTTCAGCGACCAGAAACACATTCTTTGCATGGACCGCCTTGTTAGCCTCGTCGTATCCGTATACATGGAATCCAAGCTCCCATTTCTCCGTGATATGTTCGTGTTGCTTAGCCACGTACGCCTTTATCCTATCCAAGAGGGGGTGCAGCTGAGATATAAGAATCGGATCCACAAAGGATCCCATGAATATCGTCCGGTAACCGATGACTTTGGCACCTTCTAGTTTGACTGTGTAACAACCGCCGTCTCTCTTTGAAGATTGAAATGTCGTTCCTCTGACCCTGACCGAGCAGTTATCTGATAGTGGTGAATAGGTGGAGGACGAAAGATTGATATATCCTCCAGGGCCATGAAGCTGGTCAGGGCGAGATTTCTCGTAGAGCGTATGAGCAGCAACGCTGGTGGGAGTACACAGAGCTCCAGGAAGAAGCGGTCGTACGTCGAATGTCCCGTCTCTGTAGACCGTCGCTTGAGAAGAAGGGCTCTTAGGCGTAGCGCATAAGCCGCCACATTCCATAATCTTGCCCATATGTGTGAACCCGCCCAACACATGACTGTCAAGGGATAGGACGGGGCGATAAGATTGATCAAAGGCTTGGTAGGCGCAAAAGGCAACATACGGCGCTGGGTCGTAGGCACGGCCGCCAATAATAATGTCAAAGTCTGGATGGGCAGACATGGCTCGTACGTAAGGCTCTGGGCCCATTTGTCCAACAATTGTCTTGGTGGCTTCGACGTCTTCAGCCGTCAAGGGGGGCACACAGGGGCCACAGCCAGAGACACTTCCCGTACGCAGCCGTTCCAATACGGTGCTGCCGTCAATCTCGCTGTATATCGCCAACACTTTCAGCTGAGCAGCACTGAAGGGTAACCGGCCTTTATTAGCAATCACCCAAAAGATACGCGACAGACTCATTATGCTTACCTGTTGGTTGAAGATGCCATAATCTCTTTGATAATGTTCACAAGCTCCCTGACATGTTCGTTGCTTCCATCTCCTCCTGCTGATCCAATGAGAACCGGAAGACGGTATTTGGTTACTATGTTGACAAGCTTCCGTAAATCTCTCTCATAGGACGCGCGAGGGCATGTCATTGTTCCTAATGCCAGCTTCATGGGTCCTGAATCGGTAGAGCCAGAGTCCAAAATGATTGCAGTGGGTATTTTACTGATCGATGAGTGTTCCAAAGCGTCCTTGATGTCGGACTCGTCAAAACCATAGCCCAGCATCCCAATCGGTGTAATAATGCGGCAAAGCGGCTCAAGGCCTGGTGTGAGAGTGGCAACGGAACCCATCTTGTCGAGGTAGTCCAGACTGCAATGTGCAAAAGGTTCAAATGACTCTCCATAAACTCGTGTATTTGACTTGATTATCAGAACTTTACATCTTATATATCTGACACAATGTTGCTGGCATAGAGACAAGATCTTGCTTCACTACGGCGTTCATGCGAATGCCGCTCCGACTTCCCGCACGCCGAATCAGCCACACTCGGCCCGACAAGCGATATTCGGCTACAGAGCGAATTTCGGATGCCCAACTTGCCTCTTGTCATGGCGAATTCGAGGCCGCTTCAAGTCTCCTCATGACCACACAGCATATGCTCGGATAATTCTTTGATGGTGCCGAGATGCCGGCCGTAAAGCGAACTTCGATTGCATGCACGACGTGCCGGCAGGTCAAGGTTTGTTTCTCCACGTCTCACTGCATCTCCATGGTTGGAAGAGTCCCAGTTTTATTAACTTGTTTGGTCAAGCTGCGATGTGATGCCCAGCAGCGATTCCCGGCTCCATGTACGAGATGCGAGAAGCAAGTGAAGACGTGCGTTTTTGATCCAAGATTCAAGCGACAGGTAGTCAGAGGGTAGGCAGCACTTCCATTGCCCCGTCTGTAAATATCTCATTGTTTCTAGGACTCTACAGAAGGTGATTGAGGAAAAAGAAGAACTCGAGAAGCTCATTGATTCGTTGAAGAATGGATCCAGAGCCTCTGATGCCAGTCCATCAACTCATTCCAAGAATACGGAGACGCCTGAAGACATTGGCATTGGGGTACATATTTTGCTCCCTGCCGAGTGTGCAACACCATCCTCTACAACGGTAGTATATGAGCTCGGTGATGTGCATTTCGGGTCTCTTGTGGCCACCGAGCTTTTGGAACAGCAAGTTTCAATCTCATCAAGCAATGAACAAGTATTCTGACTCGATGCAGCTTTTACATCAACTATTTTCATCATGTTCCGTTTATTACCTCCGGGAAATCCGCTGACAGCCTCCACCAACAAAGCGAGCTGCTGTTCTGGACGTTGTTGCTAATATCAGCCCGAAATCACCCCATTCACTCCCAGCAATTTACACGACTCAAATCCGCTTTTCATGGGCTACTTTCCGAATACTTTATTCGATCCATCCGCTGTATTTATACAGTTCAATCCCTCTTGTTGCTTTGTGTCTGGCCTATGCCGGTCATGACCCAAAGTGACGATCCAAGTTGGAATTACTGCAATCTCGCAGTTTCAGCTGTGCAGCAGATAGGGATCCGCGAATCTCTTCAGAACACGGGAGACATATCTCCCGACTCTCTGGTGTATTTCAAATCATGGCTTGGTTGTTTTGTTGTCAGTACAGAGTTAGTGTTACCAAATCCCCTTTCAAATTTGTGAAGCAAGATGGAGGGTTTTGACATGTCTGCTGCTTAGACTGGCAACCGACCATGGTTTCCCACCGCCGATGACTTCCATCGCTGGACGACTCCCAAACATCAAGTCACATATGCAGCAGTACTTTTCTGACGACTTTTGGGCACGGTGCGAACTACAGGAATACTCCATTCGCGTTTCCACGATGCTGTCCGGCATCTCTCCAAGCCAACTGCAAATATCGCTTTTAAGCCTTCTTGAGCGGGATTTGGATTCTCTAGGAGCCAGAGTACAGAGTCCACTGCCTCAGAGATATCAGATTGACTTTTTGGCAGCAAAGTTGCGCCTATGTGCCATACCTTTGTTGGCGTTAAAGTCCAGAGAAATGGCAAAGAGCTCAAGCACTCAAGAGAGAGCAGCTTGGTACAGAGGATTCTATGCAGCCGTGCAACTCGCTAGTATTTATTCAAGTCTCCATCCACACAGTTCGCCGCCCTTGACGGATGAATCATCATCTCACGGAAGTCGCAGACTTGAGAGAACAACCGTGTACTATCCAAAGCACCTTTTCCGCGTATTGTGCATCGCCGGAATGTATCTAACAAAGTTCCTTGCCATGGACCAAGACATTGAACCTCAGGATCGAACTCTGGCCCGCAACAAGATCAAAGAAGTATACGAAACATTCCTCTCTTGGTCCAACGAGGAACTAGACGAGCCTTTTCGCACTGCGAGAATGATTGGTCTTTTATCTCGGCATGCAGAAGACAAGATATCATCCGCATACTTTGGCGATACCAGCGGAGATCCGAGCCCGACGATTGTTGATGACGGCGTCAAGATTGCGAGCAAAATTCGCGAGCGCATAGCGGTGATGCCTTGCACACGGCCGATGAATTCTACGCTACAGCCGTTAACCACAAATCCAGTGGCTTCAGAAAGCCATCTTAGGTCTTTGGTATCTGAGAACTCGCTGTCTGACTGGAATGATTGGCTTCCTAATACGTATGACGACCTCTTGGGATTCTTGGGGTCGCCCTCGAATAACTTTTTTGATGAGCTATGGACACAGCCATAGGAATGTTAATAATGGTGTAGGCTCAAGGCGTTTATGACAATTGGCGCGATACACAATCATATTTAGAAAGTAAAACACTCGTGTTGATAAGAGTCTTATACTAGAGTTGAGACTACCCAGCTTATAGGTCTTGTCATTCGGCAACGTCATCTCCAACTCCATCCACACCTACAACTTCAGAACGGAAGAGTAGCTTCCGCAGACATACCCACTTTGCCTACGGAGCACTCTGTTCCGTTTCTATTTCATTGGAGAGGACTTGAGCATCCGCCCAGAGCTCGCAACGATCTTTGCGATATAAATGCGCACTTTGTTTCAGACGAATTATTCCAAGCATTCATCTTTTGATACTATTTGACCTTGCCAAAGTTCATCCTCCATCACTACCATTCAGACATCATGCATCTGGCAACACATACTTGGATGCGACCAGAGCCTCTGGAAACAACACTCAAGCGAATCAGTCGCCTCGGATACTCGAGCATTGAGCTAGCTGGAGAGCCTGATCTTTACACAGTCGAGCAAGTCCGCCCGCTTCTCGCCAAGTACAACATCAAGTGCTGGGGCGCAGTCACAACTCAACATGGCGCCCGAGACCTCATCGCCTCGGAACCCCAGCAACGAAAGGACACGGTGAAATACGTAAAGGACGTCGTTGCTCTATCGGCTGGGCTTGGCGGCCAAATCGTCACTGTTGTGCCTTCGACGGTTGGCAAGCTGGTTCCTACGTCTACGCCGGAGAACGAATGGAAATGGGCCGTCGAGGGGCTCCGCGAAGTGGCTGCCTTTGCGAAAGAAAAGGGGATCCGAATCGCGCTGGAGCCGTTGAACAGATTCGAGACGTACTTTTTGAACCGTACAGACCAAGCCCTGGCTCTTGCAAAGGAAGTCGGTTACAACTGCGGCATTGCGTTTGACGTCTTCCATCTAGCGATTGAGGAGCCAGACATGTTCGCCGCGATGCGGGCTTGCGGCCCATACATTGCCAATGTCCACGTCGCCGACAACAATCGTCTCGCGCCGGGCGATGGGTCCTTTGACTGGCCGAAAATCATGGCTGCCCTGGCTGATGTCGGCTATGACGGCGGAGTTGCCGTGGAGTTTATGCCGTACATTGACCGCACCCCGGTTGGCAACTTTGGACAGAACCAGCTGGAGAAGGAGATTGTTGATGTGACGCCCGGACAGCTTCAATTCATCCTTGACCACGGATCGGGGTTGCTTTCTGAGAGCTACTACACGGAGTTGATGAAGCGGTCGGCTGAGACTATGTTGCCTTATATGAAGTAGGAAAATGGCGAGGTTATAGCGGTTGATACATGGTAACACGTGCAAAGTGTTGAGTTGTTACGTGGGTTTGTGTGACCACTCTCCTTAGTTAAGCTTACCTTTGTTTTGCTGCTATTTGCAGCCACGTAGGTTTTCCCTCTGATAGATTAGCATATCAAGACACAGAGAGTTTTGCATCTTTGAGCCTCAGGAAGAAATAATAGCCAGTGTTTCAGCTCTGTGCAACTGTTGAACGGATTGAAAAATGTCTCGGCCACATGAATCCTTCTGAATCCTTTGTTCCGTATGCCCCGCTGATCGGCGGAGGAGCGTATTGGCGTATTACCCATCATACAGACTAGCGGAACATCATGTTCCATTATCGCCATTCATCTCCACTGTCCAACTTCCGCGCTTCCGTTTCTTCCTTTGGCCATCTCCAATCACAGCCAGTCTCTCACGATGACTCCGATAGTCGAAGCATCTCATCCAGTGACTAGTTCATCATTCCAGAAGCGGAAGAAGCGAGTGGCTGCTGCTTGCGACTTTTGTCGGCAAAGAAAGGTATCTGATGCCTGCGTCACAGACGCTCTAGTTCATGTCCATACTCTTAGCAACTGAACGCTTCATACTAACTGTTGTACGTGTAGTTGAGATGCAACAATGCCGCGCCGCGGTGCGGCAGTTGCCAGTCTTACCAGAAGCAATGCACCTACGCAGCCAGAGTTAAACAGGCAAGGTGAGCGAGCTGATGCTTTTTGCAGCTGCAGGTTGCGAAAGCGTCCAGCTTATTCAAGTATAGGCCCTCAAATTCGCGGATCAAACAATTGGAGGACGAGAATGCGAGACTTCGCGAATCTTCTCAAGCCTCTAAACTACACAACACCCAACAACCATCGAATACAGAGGGCGCGGAGCAGATACCTGCATGGGGCCACTCATCATCCACGTCCCATGGTGCTGAAAGTGATGCAGTCGAGAGAACATTAACCCTCAACTTACCTAACGAGCTTGAAACGGCAACTTCAGTTCACGATGTCCTCCGACATCCCAGTCCGACGGTGACTCGGCGCTACACGAAGTCAATACCTGATCGCGAGAGCCATTTTCACGGGCCTTCAAGCGCCATGTTTGATGGACTACGCCCGTCAAGTAAACACATTTTTGATTCTGATACGCCTGACGACGTGTACAAGAAATGCCAGCTCTTGGCCGAAGCAACAAGGCAGAGTACATATCCAAGCCCAACTTCTCTTATTCAAAGAAGAAACTGACCTAGTTGTTCAAGGACAAATGGAGATGATCAATTCGAAATCCGGAAAATTAGACTTTGACGGCGTTGAGCCTGAAATGGCCATGAACATGTTATCCATCTTTTGGAATCGTCAACATCACTCGGGCTCCATCGTCTACCGGCCAGCCTTCATGAGAGACATGGCTTGTAACGGGCCGCTGTTTTCGAAGCTGCTGCTGAATGCAATCTATTTCTCTACCTCGGAGTATTTATCCCGAGCGGCGGAATCTGGACTTGAAGGGATCAACGCCACCCAGTGCGACGTTGCGGACAACTGCAACACTGGACTCGAGTTCCGACGAAGGATCGACGACATGTTGCATGATCCGGAGACGCGGCTGCTGTTCAAGAGCCGAGTGACTACCATCCAGGCCCTCCTCATAGTTTCGGATACTCTCTTCTCCTGGTGCGACGAGAAGAGCGCATCGTGGCTTTACTCTGGCATTGCCATCAGCATGATCACTGATCTTGGCCTTCACTCGGAGAGCGTCAACCTGAGCGCCACCTCTGACCGCTCTCCAAATGATATCGAGACCCATCGGCGATTATTCTGGGCTGCTTTTGGTACGCCTTGAACTCCTTTCTCTCCAAGTACTACGCATTGACATCTTCTTCAAATAGCAATGGATAAGCTCCAGTCCATCTATCAGGGTCGTCCCGCCCGTCTACGAGGGCCGGATAACAACGTGCCAATACGTTTCCTTGACGAGTTTGATGAGCTCGAGCCGTTTCACACGATTGGCTACGCTGCGAAGCCGGCGTTTCTTGGCTCCCCGGGGTATGGCGTCTCGATATTCGAGCAGCTCTGCAAGCTGAGTATCATCATGGACCGTGTCCTCTGCAACCTTTATACGGAGAGAAGCTCTCAAAGGAACCCTCAAGATCTCGTTCACACAGCGGCCTGCCTGGATGAGGACTTGAAGAGTTGGAGAGGTGCTTTGCCGCAACACATTTCGGTCCTTCTAGAGGACCTTGCCAGTGCGCCAATTCTACCTCATCTGATCTCATTGCTGTATGTGACGCCACCTCTCCCTATTCTGTGACCGAGATGCTGTGAGCTAACGGAAAACCAAAGTGCATTGTATAACGCGACCATCATACTCCTTCATCGGCCGTTTGTGTCCGATGGGCATCTCCAGTTGGCCGACCAGTCTCGCGTGAGTCAGTCGTTTGCTCTCTGCGCAGCTGCGGCTTCGGACATGAACAACCTCCTGCAGGCATTTCGACCAAACTTTTGTGCCATATCCACACCATACGCCTTGTCCTATGCAATCTACGTGAGTGCAACTATCCACTTACGCATCGCGGCACAAAGGCGAGCTGGCTCTGAGGCTCATACAAGTCTTCGAAACTGCCTCGACGCGCTTTCGGAGCATCAGGTCATGTCCTTTGCGTCACGACGCTGCCTGAATATTCTCAAGGGCCTCATGAAGCGACTCCAGGTGGATATCTCGGACTCAACTGGAGTTACCAGTAGTGATTCAATTGGATCAAGCGGAAGTTCAGCCCAAAGCGAGACACTGATCACACCTTTGGCCTCGAATAACTCACAAGATATGATTGTTGTTGCCGATGGCAGTTACCAAGTTGACCTCCAGACCGGGTCGGAGGCGCCATGGTCTGGTGTTGACATTGCTGAAATCGTCAAATCCTTCAACCTGCCGCCTCCGAGCGTGGTCTATGACGGCCCGGGGCTCGTTGATGGGCAAGCGGGTGGTTGTATAGATGAGACCGTGCAAGACTTGGACATGTTTACGTCGTTTGACACTCTCTTTGGGCTTGAGATGTAATAGATGAATGAAAAAGGCTAGTGTTAAAGTAGATTCAGTTATCAAAGCATCATTGGCAATTTCTCGAGAAGAGGGCGATTTTCGTAAATCACGAGGGCAAGTTATGTGTCTAATGTGGAGTTGGCCAAGCTACACAGGTGGCAACGACGGAACAAATGTGAATCTACCACGCTTCATTTGCTTGGATCAGAAGGATTTGATGATTCTTGTTTCATTCCATTACCTTGCGCATGCAATTTGTCAGTTGATTGTATTATCAAGCATTTCGCATCCATAGACGCCAACGGCAACGGCTTCGCGGATCCGTAACTTACACGGAACATTATCATCCGTCAGCGGAATACTATGATCCGCTGACAGTATACAACAAACTTATCTATCCTAAGACTCACCTGAGAAAACTATAAGAGCCAGCTCAAGGCCTTCTATAGCTACAATTTCGATATTCGCTACTCCCAGTTTACTTTAGTATCAGACTCAACAAAAAGTCAGATTACAAACACTGCACCTCGCAAACATCTTCTTCGATTCGCCCCTAGAACACAATTGGAGTCTTTTTACACTTTCAAGATGAGCAGTTTCAAGTTCGACACCGAGTTCTATGGTGTTATGAAGGCACAGCTCGAAGGCCCTACGCCGCCTCAGCCTCAGGACGCCTACCGAGTCCGGGAAACCAGCACAGTCTTCCTCAAAGCCATCGCCAAGGCATTCCCTGCCGTCGAGGGCATCGAGGAACAAGTCTTTAGCACCACAAGCTATGACGGGGTCGTTGTCAAGGTAACTCGTTTTGCGTCTCAATCCGCCATCGAGTCGAAAACTCCGCTCCCTGCAGTCCTCTGGATCCATGGCGGAGGCATGGTGTCGGGCACCGTCACCATCTATGCACGAATCACTGCCTATCTGGCCGAGCAGCTTGGATACCCCGTCTTTGCTGTTGAGTACCGCTACACGCCCGAGTATTCTGCAAAGGAGAGCTTGGAGGACTGCTATGCCGCGCTGGCTTGGCTGTCTAAGAATGCCAAAGAGGTCAACGTCGATGCGGCCAAACTTTCGGTCATGGGTGACAGTGCAGGAGGACTCATGTCTGCGAGCACTGCGCTGAATGCGCGAGACCGCAAGCTTAACCCGCCTCTGGCAAAGCAAGTTTTGATTTATCCTACCCTCGATGATCGTACACCGAGCACAGATAATGACCCTCGCAAGGACTTGTTGCTGTGGACAGAAAGAAGCACTGTGATTGTCTGGGATGCATATTTGGCCAGAGGTCAATACGAGAAAAAGGATGTCGAAATCCCCCAGAACGCTATTCCAGCACGCGTGGAGGATCTGAGTGGGCTCCCATTAACATATGTTGATTGTGGTACGGTTGATTTGTTCTTGGAAGAGAATCTCACCTATGTTAAGAGGCTTATCAAAGCTGGGGTTGATGTTGAGCTGCACGTTCAACCTGGCCTTCCTCATGGCTGGGAGCTGGCAGGTACTAGTATTGGTTGGTTCAAGGCTGCTCTGGAAACTCGGATCAATTTCATCAAGCGTGATTTTTAGGTTACGCCATTATAATATTTGTGTTCCACATCTCTCCCGGTTTTTGACACTTGTCATCAGGCTACTTACTGTCTGTGACTATGCAGGTAAACTTTTACCAAACAAGTCCTGATAAAGCCATGTTGAGACCAGTTAATAAGACAATTATTGCAGTAGTATAAAGACGAGGATTTTTAAAATAGGTGTATAGAAAGGGTTCAAGGACTTGATCAAACTGAAATGTCCAGACCAGCGTGAAGGACAATATCGTCAAAGAGATGCTCATCAGTTGGGACAGTTGGCGGCGCTGTCCTCTTGGGGCCCAGGCCGAGGAGAGGATGGACGCAAGAGCCCATCTCAAATAGCCTCACACAAAGCCCAGCCTTTCAATTGACAATCGGCGAAGACGCGAGGTTGAAAAAGTGGCTTCCAGTGCCAGTCTGACGGCTACGCGCCACTAACTGCCCCCAGATGACCATGCTAAGAAACTTGAAATCACATGAGCATCCAGCACCATTTAATCCCTGACGCGACCCCGCGGGCACCTTTGGGAACATGAATGCTCCTTGTCCGTGGTCTCGTGGAGCATCTATTCGCAACAAAAGACGCACGAGGGCGATGTCTGTGGAGTTGCCCATCGCAGCAAGATTGTTATCAGTTCCTTAATGGACTCAATTCTTGACGGTAAAGTCACAAGTCCAGGTTGAAGCTATTCCACAGCACTATACACCAAGCATGAGAAGTGACCATGAGTGCCGCCACCGCTGAAACCAGTCGCCGAGAGAATGCTGAGCAGAAAAGACACCAATGCCTAGTCTGCCAGCAAACCTTTGGACGAGTTGAACATTTGACTCGCCATTCAAGAAGCCACTCGGATAAGCGTTCTCTCAAGTGCGATTACTGCCAGAAAGGCTTTTACAGGGGGTCTGTAGATGACATGATTTCAATTCTGTCTCGACTTGTCCCACTCTCTTCCATCCGAATCAGGCCCATGCTTCTAGAAACACACAGCGGCTGACTTATTGGACAGCGATGCTTTACGGCGCCATGAACGGCTTCACAAAGAACCAAAGAGGAGCGCATTCCGTAGGGGTATCCGGGCTTGCGTTGCCTGTGCAAAAGCGCGTCGAAGGTGCAGCGGCGATGATCCGTGTGCTGCTTGTGCAAAGAGGTCAATCAATTGCAATTATCCACATTCAACCAATCCTGGAGCCAGTGCAGATAGAAGCCATGAAGAGCTCGATCCATTTGTTTCCGAGCGCAGTTTCGACTCCGATCGAACTGTCATGACTGCACCTGTCATGGAGCGCAGTCCACAGAGTGCAGCACAACCTCAAACATCTCTCTGCTCTCATGATGATATGCCGAGTCAATCACCCGAGATGATGGCCAATCTACCTCTCCAGCCCTTTCTAACTGATTCGTTGCTACAACTTCAGCAAAGGGCAGGCTCTGAAGCTCAACAAATTTCAAGGCGACCAGATCCCAGATTCTCGCGTCATAACGGTCTTTCGTCAATCAATTGGCTGCCTGACAACTGGATTCCGGATTTCGATTTCAACTCTAGGCAATCACCGCCGCAAGATGCAGGTAGCTACTCTGGTCCGGCACAAATGTCCCAAGACCAATCAATGAGCGACCCTGATATTGGTAGTGCGGTCTTGAATGCGAATGAAAATCCATTTCCATTTAGTAATAACCAAGCGATCATTGCGCCGGAGAATTCCAATAGCAAAGGCGTCGGTTACTACTATGTCGACGGAGATGGCGCACGACTGCCTCGTATACGCAAAGCATTGCATCAATCTGCTCATCCATCCTCAGATACCCATACCCAGCTCACCGACGCAGATGGACCGCAAACTATCTATAGCAAATACAGATTCCCTGGCTGTGAATACACATCTCACGACGGTGCCAATATCTCATCATCGGGAAACCAGCAGATTCCCATCGAGATTTACAGGGATATCTTGCAAGCCTTTAATCAAACGTGTATAATATCACCACATCTTTCCCCTTTTCATTCTGGTGATTTTCCATCACTAGAGTCGCTGGGTTTATTTGTTCGCCTTTATAACGAACATTTCCAGCCTATTCTGCCATTTATTCATCCAGCGACTTTTAATCTCTCGAGTTCTCACTGGCTACTCGTACTGGCAATGGCTGCCATTGGAAGTCACTATGCTAATACTAAACATGCCCAAGTTCTTGTCGTGGCCATGCATGAGTTTCTGCGACGTGCTATAAACATGGTTGTGAGTTTGCTTGTAACATTCCCCAATGATCCAGGCTCTGATGGCAATAAATTCTTTAGTTGGAAACAGGCAATAACGCAAGTATTGAGAGACTTGTCTTTACGCAAATTAGGTTGCTAAACTGTATCGGAATGATGTACTGCGGAGCTCAGCAGTTGATTGAGCGGGCCAAGGCATCCAGGATCGAGTTGGTTGCATTCTGTGAGACAGAATGGGTCAACTATACAGAGCAACAAGACCAATTCGTAAGAAGCGATATAATCGACCAAGCAGCCTCTGACTGGAAGGTGTGGTGTTACGCGGAGAGCCGCCGAAGAACTGGCTACACCATATGGGTATGTTTCAGCATCCCTCTTCGATTTCTCTTGGGCTAAACATAATCATCTCAGCTGCTAGATTGTATGTGGTCGTTTCAATTCCAGATGCGCCCCCTTCTATCTTTGGAGGATGCCAGAGTTCCTGTACCATGTCAAGAGGTTCTGTGGGAAGCAAGCACGGCTCTCGATTGGCGACAGCTCTACAGCGTCTCGACAAGTGAGTTCTCCACCCGCAAGTTGTGGCTGAACCCAATATAACTTTGAATAATCAGAAAATCTCTCATTGCATCAAGTCATTCAGATCTTGTACGTCGAGAAACGACTCCAGTCTTCAACGGGCGAATTCAGTCGAATTCTTTGCATCCACGCTCTTTTTCGGCGAACCTGGGAAGTAGAAGCCTACTTCAAACAGCCACTTACCCTTTGGAGTCCTTCCGCGGAAAAGCAAGCCATCGAGTCCAAACAGATGTCGAGTCCTGTCTGGCTTCCGGGAATTCTGACATATTCCAGATGGAGAAACTCGGCTTGTGACTGCCTCGATGTTCTCCATTGGCACGCGAACAGTGTCATTGGTGCCGCAGGTGGGATGGAGCATCCAACGGTCCTTCATCTTCACCTTGCGCGAGTAGTTTTACTCACGCCGTTCCGACATATAGTGCAATTGGTTCTTTTGATGACCGGGGAACGGGAACCGGAGAGTGCTGAACAAATCACTGAAACGAAAACACATATACGACGATGGGCCGTCGAAGATCAATACAAGGCGAGACTCGCCATGATCCATGCTGGAGTTTCATTTTGGCATGTTCGTCGCTATTCGGTAGATGGCTTCTACGAACCATCAGCTGTGTTTCTTGCTACCCTTGCAATGTGGGCTTACGGCACCTTTGCTCCCCACACATCTAGGCCAACAGAGGATTCCCATTGTCCCCAGAGTGATGAAGACGCCGAATCTCCATTTCCCACCTCGATGCAATTGGACAGGCCTGCTGATGATGAGCTTGTGCAGTTATTTGTGAAGAGAGGAGCATCTATTCGTGCAAATGTCACGGGCGTGGGAAATCTATGCAGCCGAAAGGGTCCTAGTCGTGTGCTACTGGAGGGCAGAAAGCTGCTTATGGATTTACGTTGTTGGGGATATAGTCAATGGAATGTCCGAACTTTGACACTTCTGGTAGAGGTGTGTCAAGAGAACATGTCGTTGGAAATTTAGAAATACATTCGGTAACTAGGAGACAATAGTACCCTACTCCACCTCAATGTGCTCGGTATCACCAATAACATCTGCCTTTTCGCGATACTCGCTTTGGTGGGCAAATTCTGTAGTTTCTGCGTTAGGACTGGGGATCTTTCGTATGAGAATTGTTGCCATGGGTGAAAAAAAAAACTCACGATTAACTTTGGTATGCTTAAACTTCCTCGCGGGAACGTGGTTATCGAACAGAAGATCAATCTCACCAAAAGTGCGGTCTTTTGTCTCGGGAAGACGGAACCAGCACCAGATGAGGCAGAGAAGATTTGTCCCTGCATAGAAAAGACCAGCTTTGGCTCCCCAATTCCAGGCTATCACATCACCAAAGGTGTCAGTCTAAGTTGCACAATGCTTTACACAGATTCTACCCGGAATGGAAGAAAGGGACAAGACTTACAGGTCGCAGCAATCATACGAGGGGTCACAGAATTATTGAAAATGCCCGTCAGGTTATACACAAAACGGCCAATGACAATAGTCTTGTACCTTAGGCGTCCAGACGGCGTTTCTGCCACAATGGGATAGCAAGCAGGACCGACGGTGATCATGTTAATCAGCGTCGAAAAGACCAACAAGATACCAATGGCCATCTCAGCGCCCTTGCCTGAGGCGAAACCGAGGCCACCGATCGCGATGAGGCAGCAGAACATAAGCGCCAACCCGCCCATGTATATGGTTGCTCGGCCCACGTGCGGGAACATGAACCAGCAGATGATACCACCAACGATGTAACAAGCAGAGAGAGAGATGTTAAGGTCGAATGCTTGAAGTTCGGAAAAGCCTGCAGCTTCAAGGAAGATAACGGAGTAGCCCAGGATAGCGTTACCACAGAGGATCTGTGCCGCCCAAACGACGCAATTCTACATGGTAGACGTCAGCTTTATGTTGCAAAACATGAGGACGGGATGGATGCCTACAATTTCAGTACGGCGAAGATTTGTTCCCTGAAAACACTCGACGAAGCTTGCCGAGGCGGTCTCTGCCCTTTCGATGGCTGTCGTGTGCTGGATGTAGGCCAGTGTGGCTTCGATCTCAAAGTTGCTTTCGGGGGATGGGGTACGGAGACGCTTGAGTGCTTTCTTTGCTTCTTCAAACTTGTCTCTTCGAACGGCGTTCCATGGAGATTCGGGAGCGAGGTAGGCGCCTATGAAGAGTGGGATCGGCCAGACCCATTGAAGGGCGAAAGGCAATCGCCAAGCGATGTTGCCACTGAGACCTGCCACGGCTCGGACGACACCTGAGGAGAGCAGAATCCCTGCGCCCCAGCACATACAGACGTATGCAGTAACGTAGGGTCTCAGTACGGTGGGGACGACTTCGGAGGCATATGTTGTGGACAGAGTCTGGCAACGGTTGCGTCAGCTAAGATCCCCTTTCTTTTTAGAGGCAAAACTGAGAGATTTACCTGGAAAACACCCCATGAAACACCACACATGGCCTCTCCCCAAGCCAGAACGGGCAACGACGGTGCAAACACGGGAATAAAAATCATCACTGCCATCCATGCCATGAAAGCCATCATGGTCACTCTGCATCCGAAGCGATCTTGAGCGTATGCGTTGAGTATCAGACCGGCCAGCTGGCCGACAAGCGACGAGTTGGACAGGCCAGACTGCCAGGGGGCAGAGATATACTTTTTCCCCGTAGAAGGATCAACCTGACCAAACCGGTCCTGAAACTGAGTCTGGCCGTAGAAGGAGGTAATCTAGGTAGGTTCTGAATGTCAGCGGAGCCCTCCCTCCTAAGCTGGAACGGTAAGACAAGTTGATTCAGAAATACTACATGTACTCACAATGACCAAGTCGTAGCCTTCCATGATCAAGCTGGTGGACAAAAACATGGCCCAGAACACGGCTCGTTTGTACTTGCTCAGAGCCTCACGAATCGTCAACAGGCGATCTGCAGCGTCGCTCTGCTGTGCGTGATGGATGAGCTGGACAATGTCGGGGTTTTCGAGGTCAAAGCCTTTGAGCTCCTCTGCGGTGGGAGCGACAGACTCCATCTTGAGGTCGTTACCCGATGTCATAGTGAAAAAGTCGCTGGAACTGAAACTTGACCACTCTACGTTCTCTGTTAATCAAGAGTCGATTGGAAGAGTCGATTGGAACGCTTCTCCATAATATACATATACTTACCGAATCCCCGTAACATCTCCAATAATGCACAATGTAGAAGGGCATGCAGAGTCTCCGGTGGGGGAGACCCGGGGAAGCTGGGGAAAGACTTGGGGAACCCGGCATGTGTGGGGGATGGCCAGGGGCACTGGGGCTATCATGACTAGCGGCAGGCTACCGGGACTTGAGACTATCGAACTCTCTGTTCTCATGACAACTTGCTGGCTCTCAGCAAATTAACCGGTCTAGGTCGGCTGGGCCATCAACGAACGATTATAATCAAGAAATTCTCAAACTAGCAATGAAAGCCTTGGATGAAGAGACACGGTACATGGCATAATGCCATCCAGACCATGGTCCGTCGAGGACCCTCTCATGCCTGTCCAGGTACAATGGTCCCCAGCGGCTCAATCACACATAATAACAACATACCTACATATGTCTATAAAGTCGGTCTTCTGCTCTGCTCTCAACCGGTGCCTCAGTATCTTCCTTGAGCGTAGATTCTGACTAGAAGCTCTCAGCATACCCCTCACGGCAGCTAAGATTGAATGGAGATGGTCGATTGCCACACCGGTGGGGGTGGACAACTACCCACCATAATAGTGTCATGCCATGGGCCAGCCGGGAATTTGTTACCAGTTCCTTGCATAAGCATAAGAGAGCTTAGGATTAAATAGATACAAGATTGTATTTGTTGAGCAACTGGACGTCTTGGCTGAACATCGTTCGACACGGCCAAAGCCTGCATGAGTCGCTGAATAAATCACACAATTAATTGAGACATGGCGTATCCACAGCAAGTGTTCGTCAGCACGACCTTTTCCTCGCCATCGTTTATATCTCGAAGGCGACAAGTTGTGTATGAAAACACATTACTGTACCAATTAAACGTCTTGAAGAAAACAGGTCGATACGAAGCATTCAAGTTGAAATGGCACCCTTCGTACTCGGACAAGCCAAACGTGTGGCCTGTACCAAATCATTTATTTTGGGACTCTGATGTTGCCAAGTGGATAGAGGGGGCTTGCTATTTCCTACGCGGGAAAGACAATGCTGAGATTGATGCGGCTGTCAAAGAGCTGGTCGAAATGATCAGATCTGCTCAGCAGGAGGATGGCTATCTGAACATCCACTTTACGGTCGTTGATCCCAAGGGGCGATTCACCAATCTGAGGGATCTTCATGAGCTGTAACGTTTTCCGACGCCTTCCAGGTTCAACCTGGGGTAGAAAATTACATACTAACGGCAAGCCAAAAGGTACAATGCAGGACATTTGATCGAAGCCGCGCTCGCGCACCAAGAATACTACGGAAACGACTTATTTCTACAACCAATCCTCAAATACGTCGACTTATTATGCAGAACCTTTGGCCCCGGCCCAGATCAGAAGCATGGCTACCCCGGCCATCCAGAGATCGAGCTTGCTCTCCTTCGTCTTTTTGGGAAGACGAAAGATACTCGACATCGAGCGTTGGCGCAGTATTTTATCGAGGAGCGCGGAAACCCGCACGGACAAGACGGTCGTCATTATTACGATGTGGAAGCAGAACTCCGAGGAGAGGGCGAGCACGAACGCCCCGCGTATTGGACAGAAGAAAGAAGTTTCTGGTGAGATGACATGCACTGCCCTTTTTCACAGAACTGCAAATGGCTGAAGTGAATACCAGGTATCAACAAGCCCATAAGCCAATCATCGAACAAGAAACAATCGAGGGGCACAGCGTGCGAGCCATGTATCTTCTGACAGCCGTAGCTGACCTTGTCCGGATTGACAATACAGGCAACAACACCGGTGCCCTAGGGAATGCGCTGGCGCGATTATGGACCAACATGGTGGACAAGAAAATGTATCTGACGGGAGGAATAGGTGCGATGAAACAATGGGAAGGGTTCGGAATTGATTATTTCCTGCCGTCTGGCACCGATGAGGGCGGATGCTACGCTGAGACATGTGCCGGAATTGGCGTCATGATGCTTGCCGAGCGAATGCTTCAAGTAGGTAAAATCGGTCAACGTCTTGCCATGCAAATACTGACCGGAACCAGCTGGATCTAGACGTCAAGTTCGCCGACGTGATGGAACTATGCTTCTACAATGCCGTGCTGACTGGCATGTCGGCGAATGGAAAGCAGTTTACTTATGTTAACCAGCTAGCATCTACCGACACGGATCTGTCGAAACGCGCCGAGTGGTTCACATGTGCTTGCTGCCCTCCAAACATGGCCCGGCTTCTGGGCTACATCGGAGGTTACTTGTGGTCTCAGAAAACAGACGAAAACAGTAAATCGGTTGAGGTTGCCGTGCATTTGTACTCTTCGGCAACCATTAAGATTCCCGTTGGCGATACTACCGTGGAACTGGAGCAAAAGTCCAACTGGCCGTGGGATGGCAAAATCGACTTTACTATTCGAAATGCTTCTAAAGTGGCGACTACTATCAAACTAAGGGTCCCAGGTTGGGCAACAGACTGGAAGGTAAGCAGACCCAGGCCATCCATCATTGGCGAAGTATATCTAACGAGGGGAAAAACAGCTCTCGCCGAGCGCGCCTGAAACTGTACTTGAGAAGGGATATCTGACCCTTTCTCCGGATTGGCTTAAGAAACACGATACGTTTGAACTTGATATTCCCCTCAAACCACGGTTCATTACACCTCATACATACACCAACCAAGATGTCGTGGCGCTTGCCAGAGGCCCGCTTATATACTGCCTCGAAGACTTTGATAACCCATGGGTAGAAGACCATTTCAAGAGCCTTGTCTTGGATTCTACTGGGAACATCACTGAGGAAGTAACTTCTGACTCTGCACTTGGAGAGCCATGCATTACTTTGACTGCACATAATTCGGCGTCGTTCCTTGGAGTAGAGGAGTCTCTTGGTCCCCTCGTTCCCCTCGGTAAAGCGACTGTCAAGGAAAGGCCAGCTGTTCAACAACTCATGTTTATTCCGTACTGCCTTCGCGATAATCGCGGAGGGAAGGGCCATATGAGAGTAGGTATTCGCAGAAAACATTAAAGAGGTTTTGAATCACGCCATCAGTTCGGGACATACCCTGGAAGTAGTTGGGTACTGTAGAATGATGTTACCGAACAGACCTAGCAATCTAGTCTATTTACCATATCTTCCAATGTTCAGTTAAAATGCTAGGTGAATTTTAACCAAAGTTGTCTACTTTCTAGACCTCGGACACATAGATGGGAATTGGACGCATAAACATGTAGGCAGTCTCTTGTCCCGTATAATTGATTATCCATGCAGCGCGTCTTCTTTATTGGTATTGGGTGTAATCATATAATCCACGTAATCTTGTAACCGCTCCAATGATACTCAGTTTGGCATCGTAAGATCAGGACCCAGAAGCAAACTTGGAGCTTCTCCGCACTTTTGTCGTCAACCGACCTCCACAGTTCCGGTGGGGGTTGGAGCCTGTCTGTTTACGACAAGAGTTGAAACTATACCACCACAACCAATGCCGAGTTTATAACTTTTGCCGTGCGCCATAGTTTAGTTAGACCCAGCAGTGCTGGGCTGCGTCCGTATTGGAGCGCTTCTATCTCGATTCTTCAGAGGACTTGAACTCCCGGAGAAGTTGTAAGTAACCATATCCCACCGGCCCCCTCTCATGTTAAGCAGGCTATGATTACCCCAGATCTAAACCCCGCACCATCCATTAGCTCAACGATCGTTGCAATGGTTTTTTTATTCGTTGCCTATTCAGGGATCTACCGGCAGAATAACTCAAGCAGATGGATGCATCAGGAGAGCGATCTGGCGAGCAAGCTCGGCTAACCGTATAAATTCTATCCATGCGAATACCCTCAATTGCTTTTCTCTTCCACCTAGAAAGCATTGTGCCCAACCGAATTCAGTGTTGCTTTGCGCTACAAAATACTCCCAGCTGCTTTTCTATCCCCAGTGTTCATCACTGGAACCCTCGCGGCAACTGCAGCGGTGGTCAACTTTGCCAATGATACTGGAGCTCCAGAGCACCTCGCTTCAGGAACCCTATACGGCCTTCCTGAAAACGGGAACCAGATTCCAGTAAGCCGAGTTCGAATTTGCCATCATGGAGAGAGAGCTGCTTGTCAAACTTCGGAATAGGATGAGTTCTTCAGAGACATTGGTTGGCGATATGAACGAGCCGGTGGAGCTCAGTTGCCTGCTCCCGCACTTGGATGGATCTGGGGCTTGACCAACTACAAGGTATGAGCACACGTATGGTAAAAGTGACGAACGGCTATTACTAACCCAAAGCTTTGGGCAGAATCGGTTCAAGTCAGCACTATCAAATTACCAAACCACTCTCAAACATGGAGGCCAGTTTGTGTTTCTCATCCATGACCTTTGGGGAGCAGATGGAACACAAAACTCATCCGCGCCGTATCCTGGAGACAACGGGGATTGGACAAGCTGGGATTCCTATCTCGCTACGCTCTTCTCTGATATGAACGCCAATGACATGACTAAGGATGTAATTGTTGACATTTGGAATGAGCCAGACCTCGCTGCTTTCTGGGCGCGTACACAACAACAGTACTTGGAGATGTGGGGGCGCACGTATTACAAATTCCGGTGAGTGAATGGAAAACATATCAGAGACAGATCTTGATGCAACTTGAAAGTTCTAATATAATTCTCCTCCCGTGGCAGTGCAGAATTTGGAACCAAGGTGCTACTATCTGGCCCTGCAAGTGCTGGAGAACCGCTTAATAATAGTTGGTTTGCGAATTGGTGCTCTTACATTTCTCGCAACGGCAGCATTCCAGACCAGTATGCATGGCACATGGAAGGCGGAGGCGGCGATTTGCTGTCTGCACACGCTGGTTTGCTTGGTTACCTTGAAGAATACAACCTCCCTACTCGCGCCATCAACATTAACGAATATGGAGTCTTCAAAGAACAGGTTCCCTCTGGATCCGCTTGGTGGATTGCTCAGCTTGAAAGAATCAACGCCTTTGGCCTGCGAGGTAACTGGCTCAGCGGTTATCAACTTCATGATTTCATGGCCAGTCTCATTGGCAAGCCCGATTCCCTGAGCAATTACAGTGCAACCTCCACGGGCTATTTCCCTGTCGGTGACTATCAGGTTTACAAATATTACAACCTCAACATGACTGGAAGTCGGTATGGAACCACGCCGTCTTCAGATCTTGCATTGGACGTCTATGCTACAGCTGACCGAGGCCTCGCACGCGTTCTTGTGGGTGTACGTGTCAAGACAGGGACCTGGCAATTAACTCTGGATAGTCTGACTTCCCTTGGCCTTGCAGCCAGCGGCAGTTTGGATGTTCACACTTTTGCATTTCCTGCGGTTGAGCAGTATCAGCAGTGGGCCAAAGTTGACAGCCCAATCGACCTGGGATGGTATTCCCACCCCTACTCTGATGGATCTGTCACGTTTCCTATTAACCAGGTTACTACGGATACTGCCTTTGCTTTTGAATTTGCTTACTAGCCTTTTGGCTGATGTATTTACGTCCAGTGTATGGTGTGCTAGGTTAGCTAGCAAGAAATAGGACGGTATTAGAATTGGAGATGGACAGCCTGAAAAAGAGAATTGAGCACTGGTATGTGTTAAGGAAATTTGATGGATATTAACAGTTTGTACTACAGTTCTAATTACTACCTAGTATGTAAATCTGGTTCATCACACCTACTTGGTTTACAAAGGTGAGAAATTTATCTTGGCTAAAGAAGACTACGTTAATCGCGTTAGTAAAGAAATAAATCCAAATCCCTCCGACGGCCGGAAGTTACGTGTACGTGGGTGGCTGGCGTGCCGATTTAGCCGTCCAGCCACGATACTGTAAGATTGCGCAACTGGATTCAAGTCGCGCATGTTGAGACTCTTGAATGTCTTTTCAATCGAGCATCTTCCTAGAGCTTTTGGTCCAAATTCCACAGTTAATCCTTGTTACACCATGATGCCTTCTGAAGATGCGATATCCAAGTTCATGTCCTGCGTCCCAGATGCCGACGAGGGCAAGGCGTGGGTCTTTCTAGAGGTAACTAACTGCTCAAATTTCAAAGTCAGCACTCAATCACAGCTGCTGATTCTGTGGCAAGGGCGCGGCGAGCATAAATGAAGCGGTGGAGGAATACCTCGATAACCCGGGGAAATATTCACAACCCGAAACCAAGTCTCTCAAACAAGCCAACGTCGTCCCTGGCTCAGTCGACGAAGAGCCTCCGGCGTACCATGCGCCATCACATAGTTTCTCCAACAACGGCGGAGGACACACCGTCCGTCAATATTCACAAACTCACACGAATAAAGTAATTGAGGCAGCGAGGATACGTGCCAGAGATGAGGTTTGCGTGTGCAACCCCCCAAGTTACTGAACTCTAGTCTCATGAGTCACAGCAAGAAATGCAAAATCTTCTCCAAAAGGTGCAACTGGCACACCGCATATTCAATACGGACATTGAGCCAGAGCATGATGTGGACAACTTCATATGCGGGTGTGACATCCACCAATACAAGAGTCTAAAGATGCGACGACTTGACGTGCAGAAGAAGTGGTCAGAAGCCGTCATGTACCCAGGTAAGAGACGCCGAATACTCTCAGGAGCCTTCGACTGCTCATCGGCTCGACTGACGGATTTGTAGGTGAAAAGTCATATCATGACTGTTACCAAACAACGTTGGGTTACTATTCCAGGAATCCGTATACACTGCGCGTCACCTCGCCGTATGGCAACTTTAGTTCGAGCTACATGTATATAAATATGGCGCGTCCCATAGCCCGATATTACAGTGTTTCAGTTCATCAGACTATAAGTTTGAATGCGCAGCTTAACGAGGAGGCCCAGTCGGCCATCGATGCAAGGGAGCCAAGGATGAATATCTGGGACCTTGAGAACCCTGATATCTCACGGTCAATCTTAGCCACCGAAGCTTCTTCAACATCAACAAAAAAGGGCGATGAAGGACGACCTTACGGCAAGTCCGAGAAAACGGGAGAACAAAGCCCAGCGGGTGCAACGGCTAATAGCGCCGGCGAAGCATCTTCATCCAGCAAACCATCAAGATTCGCATCGCTAAAGAAGGCCTTTTCAACCAAGTCTGCCGAAGAGAGAGCAGCCATTAAGCTGGAAGAAGCACTGAGCCAATGCAGACAGTTATGTTCCGACATTCTACAGGAGGAAAATGGCAGATGGCCAGACGCCGAGTGGCGACAGATCGTGGCAACCTACCAAAACCACGTTGGGATGGCCGATACAATCTCCCAAATCCGTCAATTCAAACCCATCCAATACCTTCATATGCTACGAGCAGGCTACTTCGAGCCCATTCCCGTGGCGTGGGCGAACCAGATCTCCAACCCACTCAAGTTCACGGTTGACGCAAGTGCAGGGTGGAGAGGCATTACCCCAGCCTGGAGGGGCTACGACGATACAGCAGAGGAGAGACTATACTGGGTGTTGAATCACAGAGCCGGAGCCGGACAGAGGCTCAAGCCCGACATGATTTCCGCGCTGGACATGGCCCGACGAAGGATGGCATCTGCCGTAGAGCCTCCCCCGGCGTATTTTGCAGCAGACGACACTTGCCACCTACAGCATACCTCCGAAGGCTATTCCAAACAAGTTATGCCTCCGCCGTTTCGACCTTGTGGCGTTCCGGAGACTGCGTCAGACGATAGCGTGATATTGCTAGACGTGTCCGGCTCGATGGACTTTGAGCCAATGCGCCCATTATACGACGAGTATCTCATAACGGGATACGCTCGATCTACTCAACCCAAGAATAAAGGTAAAAGCGTTCCGTCTCATTAAACAAGTAAGTGATCGCTAACCACATTGGTTTCTGTTTCAGATACTGCGAAAGCCATCATCCGCCGATTCACAGACGCCCTGGCCAACCGCGATCACAACTTTGGGGGCTACCAGCTAACCACATTTGCCAACCATGCAGAAGATATTGGCATTCTTAACCACCAAAACTTTGAAAAAGTCTGGAGAACGGTCAGGTTCGGAGGCGGCACACGCGTCATGACGGGGTGGCAAAGGGTCAAAGAGCTCCATTTTCAGAAGCACTCAGCATCAGCAACCCACCACCCGGTATACGGCTGGCAAGCAGGGCCAGAGACTCCCATTCTAAGAGTCCTCCTGCTGCTAGATGGAGAGGCCCAAGACATTGACGAGTTTGAACTTGATCTGCTGGGTCTCTCGTGGGTTCACGTCACTATATTTTTGGTCGGAGTGGACGGCTGCCCTCATCACCATAGGCATGCAAATGAGTTGCAAAGAATAAGCGAAGTTAACCCACGCGTGTCATTTGTCGACGCACAAGGGAATACGCCAGAGAGATTTGTGACTCATGAGCTACTAAAGAGGCACCTGGGCTACGATTTGTCTATGGAGGAGTTTGAGAGAATAGAGCACCTACCTGCGTATACAGTGTAATTTTGAGCTATTAATATAGTCAACATTGTTGTATGCATTTGAAGCTACATGCTAGAGCTAGAGCATTATGATACATCATTTACGCATCAGCGAGTCCAAAAACTTTAACGAATGACCTTGACATTTATGACCCTCATGCTTCGCACCCTCTACAATGTCAAATTGGACATTAATCCCATCTTCTCTCCACAGAGTCTGCAGTCTTTTCAGAGTATCCAGCCTATTCTTCACCATCTCTTTGTGTTGTAGTCCATTCGACGCTGTGCGCGGCTGTACGCCTTCCAACAACTTGGCACTGGAAGCTATTCGCAACTTCCGTAGCCAGGTCCAAAATTCTTCTCCGCCGTGAATCTCGGTATCAGAGTCACCTACGACGAGTTGAATCTGTACCTGCTTGATCAAATCCTTATTGATACAGACGCCGAAGAGCTGTTCCACATCTGCCGTGCCTGCAGGCCACTTCATTGAGGTGTCTAGGACAGTCACGCTCCCTGGAGCTCCAATGCTGGCTGCTGCCAGACGTTCAGGGTGAAGATAGAGGAATCGATGCACAAACTGAGCACCGCCCGAGTATCCCATGAGAAATATTTTAGTTGCGTCGATTCCCGGCCAGCGATGAGCCACCTCATCTAGCATGCCCAAGAGCGCCAAATCCGATCGCAGTGTTCGAGATCGAAGTAACTTGTATGAGTCCAAGTCAAATGGGCCGTCAAGTCCGGCTGGGAAAAGCGGCGCCATGACGGCACAGGGCGTGGATTCAGCAAAGGGAACAAGTCCTCTATCGACATAGCAATCATCACGCAGAGTGCCATGTATGAATACCAATAACGGAAGCTTTTGAGGAGGAGTGTGCGACCCGTCTTTGCTTTGGGCTATCGAGATGAACCTGTAAGGATCAGGCGGGATGTAGAGATCGTAAGAGACACGAGGTTCTGATGCCAAGGCTCGTCTTGGGACTTTCCCTACAAGGTATGCAGACTTTAGGAATTCCGGCGGAACATCAGCGGTGCTTGTTAGAGTATCCATGTCGAAGAGTCGAATATGTTGAGTGAATCGTTCCGATACAACTGGGTCCAACCCGTGGTGACATTATCCAAATGTCACAGTGGCTTTTATTTGTTCGTAGTAGAAAGTAAACATCAAGCGAAGCTCGCTTCATCATGTCTTTGAGGCTCAGACAGATTCGGCAGTGGATCACATCTCAGTTTGATCATCGAACTCGGTATAACCCGAGAAGCGAAATTCGCTCCAGATGTCAATTACATGTGATTCCAGTTTCCCCCGGCATGCTTCCTAATGAACTAAACTACAAAGCAGGTAGCGCTAGTGAATTTAGATTCACAGCTCCATCGAGTTCTCATCAATTTGCCGATTTCCCAGCCCAAAATGGCAATAATCCTAGGGAAGTCTTTAACGTCAAAGACCGCTACGTAATTGGCGGCTAAAAGAAATCACATAGTTTGGTTGACTGATCAAAACTACTAGTATGACTAGAATGCCCGTGTTGTAGTCAGTTGTGATGCAACAATGCTGCTGCATGTTAACTCAATCTCGACTCATACGATACCACGGGGCAGTGCAAGGCCGCGTACGCTCTCAGTCGTAACCTCAGATACTCCTTTTCATCGTTGACATGAAGAAAGAGGAAAAAAGAGGAAAAGATGTGCATTTTTGTTGGAAAACTGAGAGATCTCAGCCCCTTCGGCAACGCCAGCTGTGCCAATCGGAGCATTCCGCTTATGGCTCCGAGTTTCGCTCTACCCCGGGCTACTTCGGTCACTCCACTTTACCCCAGGTTTTGGAACCGCAGACAATAATTGCTGGACAGTTGACATCTTGAGAATGATACAAATACTGGTTAACAGCGAATACAGTTCCAATGAGTTCTCAAAGACTCGTTGAACACGCCATCATTGTGGCCTATATCATCCATCCCACATACTCCAATCCCAAGCTACATTATCACTTCTCCCAAAATGTCAAAGAACAATCCAGACCCGAGTATTACCACAGAAGTCGAACTGGGCAAGACGGATACCTCGCATGTTGAATTTCCCATCAACTCGAACCTCGATGAGAAACAACGTCGCAAGCTGAAATGGAAGCTCGACTGGTTCATCTTGCCGCTCATTTCAGCCGTCTACTTCTTTGGCTCTATGGTAATCAAAGTCATTATTCGCCTATATAGTTTCCAGCTGACGCCACGAGAATAGGATCGCTCTGATTTGGCAAATGCTCTAATTGCCGGCTTGGAAGACGAACTACAGCTTACACCACAAGATTACTCAAATGCTTCCTCCATGTTTTTGGTGTCTTATGTTGTGTTCCAGCTACCGGGAACGTTGTTGATCAAGAAAATACGAGCACCAGTACAGTTTTGCGGCGCAATGATACTTGTAGGCTGATATTTTTCTCACGTTTGACGAATTGTTCCGGCTAATAACTCTTCAATATTAGTGGGGTTTATTCACAGTTCTCACGGTTCTAGTCAAAACCAGCGGTCAATTGATAGCCATGCGATTCCTCATCGGAGCTGCAGAAGCCTTTGTACAAGGCGGTGCATTCTGTAAGGATTCCAAAAGCAAGCCCATTTTATTTCATACAAGAGACACGATACTAATACGTTACACTTTTCGACAGATCTTTCATTTTGGTACGAATACCACGAGCTTGCCACCCGGAGCGCAGTTTTCTTTTCGACCTCAACCCTCGCTGGTGCCTTCAATGGATTACTTGCCTACGGAATCAGCAAGAACTTGGACGGAACAAATGGATGGAGAGCTTGGAAATGGATCTTTTTGATTGAAGGAGTCCTGCCGATCGGGTTCGCCTTTGTCGTTCTCTTCCTTCTTCCAGCTTCGCCTTCAGAAGTTCGCTACGGCTTCAGTGAGGTGGAGAAAGAAGAGTTGGTTCAAAGAAGCGAGCGAGCCCACAACTCATCCGAAGCGCGCCTCCAACCAAAGAAAATCTTGAAGCTATTGATGAGCATTCACTTTTGGCTATTTACTGCTTTATACTGCGTTTCTCTTTTCACAATATCCTCCTTGTCCAACTTCCTACCTGCACTTGTTCGTGTAAGTCGTCTGTCGATTCACCTCACGAGAAGCTCCATATTCCGCATACTGACTATTGACAGGGCTTCGGATACAGCTCAATCGGAGCTCAATTGTTCACAGTGATTGTATACGTCTGCGCTTGCTTGGGCATTCTATTCTTCTCCAGGATTGCAGATAAGACAAATGCCCGCGGCCTCACGGTTGCAATCTCCTCGATCGGGGGGATTGTAGGGTATGCAATGCTGATTGGACTCGAAAATCGTGATGCTAGATTTGCCGCCACTTGCCTAGTGGCATTTTGCATGTTTTCCAAAGTCGTTTTAGTTCTGTCCTGGGCGGCCATGAACTTTATCGGTTATACAAGAAGGTAAGCCTTTGTCTATTGTCATCAAATTACGTGCATTCCATCAGCAAGCAGAAATCATCTAACTTGTATTGCAAAGAGGTGCCGCTTTAGCTTTGTTCAACATGTTTGCACAGTCGTTCTCGATAGCAGGCAACCAACTTTACACCGACCCACCGTACTGTAAGTAAAAAATCCATTCAAAGGGGGAAAATAATTTGTCTAACATCATCAGACAAAAAGGGAAATGCAGCGTCATTGGGAATGTCAATTGCAGTGGTCGTGATATCTCTAATTCTTCGATGGTATCTTGGGTATATGAATGACAAGAAGAAGCGCGTACAATTCTTGGAGGAGAGCTCTGCTTCCAGGCAACAAAGTCTAGAAGAGATTGGAGACACACATCCAGGTATAGCTCCCAGTCTATGCAACGCATTTTTTGACTCGTTTGGTCTGCTAACCTTGACAACAGACTTCTTTTATACGACATGAGAAATATCGTACGCGGCCATAAAAGGGCTAGTGAGATATGAGCTTCATCATCCTTCAGAACAATTATACCCGTTGCATCGTCTATACTAGAAACCTGCGGGGGACCATCTGCACCCAAGCTGGGGTTTGCGGCTCATAAAATGGGTAAAAAGAAACAAGCTTCCCTTCTTTTTCAAATAGGCTCAGAGATGAATAAAGCCAATGACGCATACCTAACTGCAACACAATAGCCAACTATGTGCTCCTTTCTCTCTTTGACAGCCTCACTATCTTGAATCTTCGGTCCCTCAGACTCCTGACAGTCTAGTCTTGTGCTGTTTTATTTTGTGCCTGGGGGCAGATACATTGTAATTAGGGGGCATTCAATGGCCTCAGCTTCTTTATGTGATATCTAGGTTTACTCAGGGATCAACATTACTTGTTGGTGCTTCCGGGTTAAAATAGCTACTGTGCTCTTTTCCGCTTTACACTAAAACTGCAGTTGTTTTCAGCTGGCATAGAAATCAATTAAACCCGCGATATCTATACTATATTCAACAATCTCATTGACTCATGAACCCCCTGTGTTATGGTAGGGAGTTGCTCCCTGCTCGATTGAAAAGACTGAATGCGGCTTTGCAGGTGATTAACCCCCCTCATAACAGTTCCCATCGGAATACCCGACTGACCATAATCACTATCCTTTATGCTTTTAAAAAATATTATCTGAAGCTTATCACGGACTTCGTTCATGGAGTAGCGCTTGCTAGGCGACGGGACTAGCATGTGGTGATGGATGAGGGTCAGAAACTCGTGAATGGCTTGAGAGCACTGCCCGTGCTTATGCAGCATGCTTATCCACTGGTCACTTTTAGCCAAAGCACTGTCATATCCAGGAGTATAACTCACCGTGCCGACGGATTTTTTGACCTCGGGAAGTCGCCCGGGGACATGGCTAAAGTATGTGACATTTGATCCTCCGTGATCATTCTGCCTCATTGTTTGAAAACTATCTGCTGTATGTCCAGATGAAGTTTTGTAAGATCTTCCACGAATCGCATCGTAGCCGAGCAAATACCAAGTAATAAACTCCAAGTAGACGCATCCTAACGTCCAGATGTCATATTTCTGATCAACAAAGGTATTTGATCCATGCTGGACTTCGGGGGGACAATATGCTGTCGAAAAGCCTACTCTGTTTGCGAGAGTTCTGTTAATGGTATTATCAGAGTGAAAGCGCATCAAAGTGAAGTCAGAAACAACCAAGTGGCCTCTGTCTGATTCCGGTTCACGGAAGAAGAGTATGTTTTCTGGCTTGATATCGCCGTGTCGCCCGCGGTTTGCAGCATCCATATCAACCATGCCTCCTATATGATTGTATCTCGGTAGACACTGGTTGTAACCGTGAATTTTACCAAGTCCATCAGATAGGCCAAAGCATTGGTGAATGAGCCAGAATGAGTCGTTTTCTGACGGGTTGCTCGGATGTTTCTTCCAGAACTCCGCGAGGTTTCCATCTGCCCATGGAAATATCATATATAAACTGTTTTCTATCTGATAAGACAGCAGTAGCTTGATGAGATGTTTGTGGCCATTGTTTTCTTTACTAAACTTTAGCAATGCTGCCCTCTCTTTGTTGAAAAGAGCAACACCTTGGGCGTCTTTAGCGAGAAATTTCTTTATGGCAAAGCAGGACGTTTGAGTGCCAGAATCCTATAAAGTGTGAGCCAATATTCGTGCATGTTTCAAATAGTGAAGCCTTACCAAAGGAGTTTCCCAAGCCTGATGCCGGGGATGAATCTTGACTTTGGATACTTGTCCGTGGGCGCCCCCATTCTTCCAGTTGAATGGTTCCAGAAAGGGCATGCGCAACAGTCTACCCCATTGAGAATGCTGCATCGTCTTGAAGTCAAATATAGGGGCCATAAACGTGTACTGTCTTTCACAGAATACTTCAATCTCTGATGTTTTCCAGTTCTGAAATAACTCCGCATTTGACTTGGGCGTGAAAGGCAACATTCCATCGTGTACCTTAAGTCGTAACAGTTGGGTTATATGTTCGACCTGTTCAATGAGTACAAGGGTTGCAAAAATCTTTAGACTTGGCTTGCATCCGCTGCCTATTATTTTGTGAGTTATATCTGATATCGACTCGTCGTCCGGCAAGACATCCTGCAGTACGTTGTCGATGCTAACTTGAGATAGGATGGCCTCTAGATCACCGAGTGGGAGGAACTGTTTCCGTATAGGTTCGTTCTCGGGCAGTAGCTTTGAGCGAATTTTCTTCCCGACCAGGGCTGTCCGGGATCCTCCCCCTTCGTCGATCCCTCTGGTATAGGGTTCCATAATGGACAACGTCTCTTATATGCCATAGACACTCTCTGTTAGCATTTCAACACTGAAAAATATGCCTTGTATTCATTAAAATGCTGTACCTGCTAGGTCACGGAATTTTCTGTGGATGAAAATGAGAAACTTCAAAGTGTGGGTTTTCAGTATTCCGGAAAATCGTTAAATACTATTGATATAGAGAATCAACTCTGATGGAGAGTGTAGGGTGATTTGACTGATGGAGAGGATTTTAAAGAGGTGTTCAAGTGGGCACAGTCGTGACTTATATAATGAGATGTTTCACTCAACACATTGAGACTATTGATAATACAATCTACTAGCTCTTGGCTCTACCGTTATTTTCCGAAAGCTATCAAAACGCCAGCACCATAACAAACGGGTGCCCAAGGGTGGTTGTTAATAACTTTTCGGTGAGTCTCAATGACACTAGTCTTGGATAACATGTATCCGGTAGGATTCAAATGTTAGTATATAGTAATGAATAATCCTGACTAACATAGGATTGTTTAACCATGGAGTTATGATGGTTGCACAACGCACACTTTCGTTATGCATCCCTCTCACCGGTGTGGGTTTGTGGTCACACGCCTTTGTTGCCTCTTTTTCAGCATACATGATTCGCCAAAATCTATTGCAAGGCAACCAATCAATTGCTATATTCGGTGACGAAATTGCAGCAGAGCCTCGTTGCTTGGCAAAGCCTGATGGAGAGCCTGATGGCTGCACACATATCCTGTACAGCTTATTTGCTGGGTTTCATTCATGCCCAACCTCCAGATGCAATGACACGTGTCATGCATCGGGTTACAACAGGCAAAATCGTGACACCAGAAACTGATCATGGTAATTGCGCGGCCGTGGCGTGCCTTTCAAAGATCCAAATGTGTTATATCTTCCCTGACATGGACGCAACGATAGTAAATATCACATGAATATAGTTTCTGAACAGCAAGCAAGAAAAATCTTATCGCATCGATATTACTATTATCATAGGTCTCATTGGTTATTGAGCGAAATTATTAAGCCATGCCCGCCCGAACGGTGGCAACGAACGACGCAATTATTACCTATGATGACATAAAAAACAAGTGTATCAATAATCAACAGAGGGGAGATGTACCTGAAGGATGCTCAGTATTCTTACCAAAGGACATGGCCGAGTCCTTGATGCTGCCGGGAAGAGTCAAATCAACTTTGCGTGAACATATTAAAGAGACAACCCCTGAAAATATTGAAGATCTAGCAAAATATGTTATGACGCACGCAAAGCAAGTATTTCTCATTTTGGTGTTTTCAAGCACCGTAAAAGCAATGAAAAATCTCCAAAATAGTGGATTCAAGGATGAAGATCTTCCTGTATGCACCAACTCGTCTGGCAAAATATGCAAAACGGATTCGGATTCGCCCCTGGATTTTTTTGCGGATTGGAACTCCAGCGATATTGACCATTTCTATGACAAACAATGGACTTTCTTGGCTCCAGTTTTTCATGAGAACAAATTCGTATATGAGTTTGATGGGCAGCATCGGCTCCCATATCTACCAGCAGAGCAAGCTGGTAATGCTTCAGGGCATTTCGGTGTAGTCCGGAAGCTAACCCTCCATTACGCGCATTACCAACATGGAGAACAGGTAAGTTTTAATTTCTACATTGATCGGCGGCTCGCTGACATTACCTAGACTAAGGGAAGTGTCGATGTTCCTGCAGATGCATCTTTTCATGTAGCTCTAAAGCGCCTGTTACAGAATGACCAGCAGACAGACGTGAAAAAGTTTTATGAGAAGGAAAAGCATACGCTAGAGATGATGAAAAAGTTGGACAACAAACATTTGATCAAGGCCATTGCGACATATACCAAAGGGAATGACAGGTATTTCCTGTTCCCATGGGCTAATGGCGGGAACCTTGAACAGTTGTTGCAGTCCAAACGCGGAACGCTTGACAAAGACCTCGTAGGATGGGTTTTGGACCAGATTGTGGGCCTTTCAGAGGCTATCAAGGCCCTCCATGATAAAAATATTCGGCATGGAGATATTAAGCCGTCCAACGTTCTTTGTTCGAAACCTGAGACTGGAAACGTCGGTCAATCTACTCTGATAATAGCCGATGTTGGTCTCGCGAAGCAGCATATGGATTACACTCGCAATCGGAATAACACGACGACTACCAGGCACGGTAGTATCACATACGAGCCTCCAGAAGTATCGCCAAAGCGGCAACTCAAGTCTTTGTCGCGTAAGTACGATATATGGTCATTAGGTTGCGTCTTCTTGGAGCTCATCATTTGGGCTGTTTACGACGTACATGGGACAAGATCTCTCCATGGTCACCTCGGTCAAAATTCCAATTCCAGGTTTTGGCGAGAAGCTCGCTTTAGAGGTGCCGAAAAGATCCATTCGGCTGTTAGAAGATGGATGAAAAAGCTGAAAGGCGATCTCAAGCGCTCATCTGCATTTCGTGACATAATTGAACTCATCGAGGACAAGTTTTTAATCATATCAGACAAGTGGCGAGCGGATTCCATGACGGTGGTAAATTCACTAGAGGCAATCCGAAAAAGGGCAAAAGAACCTTCAAACGCGGATTATCTGTTCAATCACGAGCTGGAAAGACTGGCAACCGGCAGCCGATTATCCGCATCCAGTGCATCTGCTAAACGGGATGCTGCCGATCCTTCAACACAAGTAAGTTGACCCTGCTATTACGCGTTAAGCCACGATCCAACTGACGAATAAAATCAAGTATGTGAGCTTAGATGAGAATCAACCCTACTTATGGATTTCAAGTTTGCTAATGAGAGCTCGTCGGGCGATTGGAGAATGTTCGTAAGGGCCTCGAGACAACTACATTGCAGATCCTAACAATGAATAGCGGGTGAGTTCTTCACGCACACAATGCCTTCAATCCTCTGTGCCGAACTATATGATGAGATACTAGCAGAGCATGCATAGTGGCCCACTAGCTTTTACGACAGATGGCGCAATGCCCCAGAGAACAATTGGGCCAAATCTTGGATAGCCGGGCTTTGGAGTTCATTCCGTCCACCAAGGCATGTATCGAAGCCTTGTCGATTTGAGCATATATTTGATTTTGGGTCACCATCCCCAGTTTCCCCCCTAAGAATTGACGCTTTAGAACTTGATGCGACCGACTGTTCGCTGTGCCACTTACTAGCCCTCTGTCGTTCAAAAGCCAAACTGAACCTTGGGGAGCCCATGAACCTTGTCCGGGACGACGCTTCTCACGTATTACGAAGCTCACATACCGGTCCTCCTATGATTTCAATATACTCTGATCCAGGTCTGTAGAATCGCTTCCGCGCACTGTAACTACAAGGATAGCTGAACTATTTACAGCATCTGGATTCGTACCAACTTACGCCCAATGTGGGCTGCCGTGCCTTCCAGAACTTCCTAACACACAATTCAAGCTTCTTAACCAATGGATTGACCTTTGTGATGAATCACATGATTGCATGTCCCCAAAAACAATTACAGCTACCCGTAAGAATATGCCTACGAGAGTCATAGATGTTAGGAACGAATCCATTCGCCTTGTCGAAACCAGCGACAATACTAATGATCATTACGTTGCATTGAGTCATTGTTGGGGAAAACTCAAGAAAGAAGAAAGATTTTGCACCTATGCTCACAACATTGATGCTCTGAAGAGGAATATTCCCTATAAAGCGTTGCCAAAGACCTTCCAGGATGCAGTGACAGTTACTCGTGCTTTAGGCGTTTCGTATCTCTGGATCGACTCACTTTGCATTATTCAAGAAGATGAAAAAGACTGGGAATCAGAAGCCACTAGGATGGAAGAAGTCTTTAGCTCTGCATACTGTACTGTCGCCGCGAGCCGCGGTACCTCTTCCCTTAGTGGGTTCCTTGGCGAGCGAAAGCCCAGGGCCTACGCCAAAGTTCAGACATCAGGCGGGCCGTTATATCTTGCCGAAGCTATCGATGATTTCCATGCACACGTTGAGGAGAGCGAATTGAGCAAACGAGGTTGGGTACTACAAGAGAGAGCGCTTTCCCGGCGTACAATATACTTCACAGAAACCCAAATATATTGGGAATGTGGCCAAGGCATATTTTGCGAAACCTTGGCTGCTCTACGCAAGTATGGATACGAAAAGTGTTTTATCGCATATTATTGCTAATGGATATTTGACACAGCCCTCAATCGCAAGTCTTGAGTGACTCCAACTTTCCAGTTTCCAGTCTGAAATACCACAAAGATGAACGTATACGACTCATTCAAGACATAAATCATAAGTACAGCAAACTTGGCCTTACAATGGCGACCGATCGTCCAAAGGCAATACTTGGCTTGCAAACTCGACTGGCTCGCACATTCGAGTCCAACGTCATCTACGGTATCTATGAAGCATATCTAGCAAGGACGCTGCTTTGGCAAGCTGAAGAGCCCGGTGGCCTTTCTCGTATATCATTTAAAGACGACAAATCTATACCTTCCTGGTCATGGATGGCATACACTGGAGGAATACAATATATGGAAATCCCCTTTCAACAAGTCCATTGGACTGGAAACCTCCAGAGCCCTTTCAATTCCCCAGCTCCTAATGGTGGATGCAAGCGCGGGCTACGTGCGAAAGCAAACAACTTCATCAACAGGCCTATGCTTTTGAAAGGAGTAGCCATTGATTCCAAAGATTACGTCTTTGATCAGCATAGTTGGAAATGCATTGTGATTGGTATCAACCAGGTTGCGAACATGCATAAGTTACTTATTTATGTTTTGCTAGTACGTCCGGTATCAGACGATCCTCGGACTTACCAGAGAGGGGGTGTTGGCGCTCTTTTTTTGAATGATATCTCGCCAGTCGCTGAGAACATCTTTGTAGTCTAGTGTCGATTTGTGAGCGCTGTACTTGGAATTTTTCAAGTAAGATGGAAGATGTGAAATTGTGTTCGCTAATTAGGACGTGGATAAATTCACCACCATCTCAACCAAATTACTACCCTGCGAACCGCACAGGCGTGAGTAATCTTGATTGCTCGAGTTTAATAAGTAATACTCCTACATCAAATTAAGATTTCTCTACTCTTATTGACATTTCCAATATCATAATAGTAACAACAATGTGATGATAATGATGGCCATCGAGAGCATCTCTGGATGACTAATAAACGCGCGCAGCATATGGAATCTTGCGTTCCTCGTCGCAAAGTAGTTTGTTTGGGCTAGATGACGCAGTGGGGCAGAGGAAAACAGACGGTGTCATTGAGGATCGTTTGTGTTAGACCGCTAATTATAAGACGTGTAGTGTAACCATAATGCCTCCCTATTGTGGACAAACATTGGTAATCTTCCCACAATTCAAGAGCCGCTATATTTCTGTATGTATAAGCCTAAACGATGGTATTTCAATTTGTAAGTTTATCGTAAGAAGCAATTAGTCAGTCAGGTAGATGTAGTCAATGTTGTAGAACTGCTTCAAAGGACAATTGTATAAAGAGCTTGACGTTTGCAGTTATTCGATGACTTTCGCTCTTCAAATTAGTTGTATCCAAACAGTCCAGCACAATGCGTTTCGATATTCTGTCTTGTCTGTTCGTTGCTTCTGCAAGCGCCTCGGTGCTCTCGAGCGGAAGATATCGACTAAAGCCCTATACGCTTAACCTGGAGAGCCAAGTCCCTCGAATGCTTCAACTGATCAGTAACACTCATCTACCTGATGCTCCTGAATACCCTGGCCTCTCCTCTGACGCTGGAATCTCACTGAGTACTCTGAAGTCACTGCGTACACAGTGGCTGACTCAATTTGATTGGAAAAAGGAGCAAGCTAGCATCAACAAGTGAGTTGCTGGGTGATTGGTCCTTCGCTCAAGCACTGCTAAACATTGTGCAAGATACCCACAGTTTACGGCCGAGATTGAAGGCCTTACGGTGCATTTCGTACACAAGAAATCCACCGCGCGGAACGCTATTCCCCTGATCTTGGTCCACGGGTGGCCTGGATCGTTTCTGGAGTTTCTCCCGTTGATTGACAATCTCACCAAGGAGGGGAAGACTTCAAATGGGAAATCCATCTCCTTTGATGTTATCATTCCCAATCTTCCTGGCTTTGGGGTGTCTTCGGCTCCTCCAGGCAACTGGACAAACGAAGACACGGCGAGGGTTTTCAACACCCTCATGACGGATGTTCTTGGCTATAAGAAATATGCTACTCATGGAACAGATTGGGGCTGTGCGATTGCGTACGGCCTTTATGATTCATACAATAGTACCGTCCGCGCAGCTCATCTAGCCTCACTGCCCTTTGTTCCGCTTAGCCCAGACCAACTTGCTGCCGAAGGCATTGCACTAAATGCACTTGAGACGTTTGAAGAGCAATCATTTGTGGAGTGGTCTACCAACGGCTATGCCTATTTTCAACAAGAGACAACCAAGGTAAGCGGCGATCAGTCGTCCCACCAAAACGGACAATCAGCTTACGGTTGCACCCAGCCAAATACCATAGGTCTCGCTCTATATGATAACCCTGTCGGTCAATTGGCATACATGGGTGAAAAGTTTCTCATCTGTGAGTAGCCCTAATCCAACGTCGTCATCGTCGCCTTTTCTTTTACTAAGATTGTCGAACGTCTAGGGTCTGATCCTCGAGCCGGCACTGGCCCTTCGGTCTTGACACACAATGAAATCTTAAGATCCGTCTCCCTTTATTACCTCACTAAATCGTTCAACTCGGCCGGATTCATCTACTACCAGAATCGATTCGCCACCGACTACACGAAAGCCAAGACGGATGCGCCACTACTGTTCAGCTCCTTCAAGTATAACATACTCTTCTGGCCACAAGCATTGGTGAAACAGACTGGCAATCTTGTCGTCTATAAGAGTAAGTGCCGGATTGCGCTATTTGATTACCAACCTCTGACTCCGCTATAGATCATGATTTTGGTGGACATTTCCCTGCTTTGGACAATCCTCCTGCGTTGATATCTGACCTCCGAGAAATCGGATGCTATTGGAAATAGAAGCTGCCAGTATAAGTTCATTCAGCAGCGGCTATTGCGATGATCACTACATCTGCAAGAGAAGGGCTCTGTTCGTAATCTCTTCTGTTGGAATCCGCCACATCGCTCTTGGGAGAGATTCCATATACAATATCACAATAATCTACCATTCATCATTTAATTATTTATAACTTGAGTTACTAGAAAATAAGACCTATAATCAGTCAGATTTAATTACCAGATATCTTATTGCAGCTAAATAATTTTTAACACTCTAACAGCGAGTATCTATTGTGACACTTATACCCATTGTTGGTCATTGTACTCTGAGATTAATGTTCCTCCATTTACTTCAAGATCCAAGTGGTTTACAATAACATCAGTTACTTTAGCAGCCGATTCGTCGGGGGTATAGGGCCCCTTGAATCTATTAGACGCTTGGGTAGGCGGCCCAAAAGATTTCTGCACGCGCTGATAATTCAGATCTACTTGGGTCGTCAGCATGATTTCGTAGGAGTGGAGTTGATTTTGTGGCATCGAGTACATGTAAGCAGCGTTGACGCTATGTGCCTTGGGAAGTAAATGCCACTCACCATCGGGTTTGGGGGTGTTGAACTCGGTCTTGATGATCCCCGGGCTGATTGCAGAAATTGTAACGCCTTCATAAGCGTATTGAGCATGGAATGCGGCCACAACTTGGTTGACGGCGGCTTTGCTGATGCCATAGGGCGCGTGGCCAAATATTCGCCATTTTGCTGTCCAATGAGGGTCGCCAGCGCCACTGCTAATTACGACTCCTTTCTTGGCAGTGCCGTTGAGAAGAAGCGGTGCAAAGAGACCAAGAGCGTGGGCAACACCCAAGCAGTTGGTCTTGAAGGTGCGGATCATGTCTTTGTCAAATTGTTCGCGGTCATTGAGAATGCTAAAACGGAGCGAAGCCAGTGCATCGTTAGTTCCCTCTCTGGTTTTGTATTATAATAACGCGGGGACATCCAGAGATGGTATTAAACAATCACATTGTACTCACGCATTGCCAATATCATCAACAATACTGTCACTGACAGCAGCGTTGACAATGAGATAGTCTAGTTTGTTATCCAGTATCTTGCGTGTCTCTTCCAAAGCTGCCTAATTCTCGAGTTAGTCAAATAAGATTGCTGGACAGTGCAAAGCAAAACACGCAAAGGCCCCAGTCTGACCTTTAACGACTCAAAGTCCTCTAAATCAGCAGTAAGAATGCGAACATTTGCCCTGCCAGGTAGATCCTTCTCAAAAGTAGCAGTGGCTGCCGCCTTGTCGCGGACCAGCGCAATGACTGTATTGGATGGGGTTTCTGACCAGATCTTTGTCAGAGCAAACTAGGTACCCGTCAGCAATTTGAAGCTGCTTAATTCCTCCAACAATGCTAAACCCATGGAATAGCTGTAGAATCGAAGGTATATCACAACATAAGTCGTTTGGTGCATACCCCAAGTCCTCGAGAGGCACCGACAATGACGACGGAGGACATTGTCAGAGAAATAAGTCGATCCCTGACTATGGAAATCTAGATTAAACCAATCAAAGTACTCTCGCCTCTGTATAACCAATGACAAATGTTCAGGGAGTTTCGAAAAAAGACATTTTAGGAATACGATGGAGCACTGGATCTTATATCTATGCATCTACAATATTATTGCTGAGTCACATCCATCGAGGCCTCAAATAAGTGACACCAGCAGCATTCAGCTCTATTATTAATTAACCTGTATTTGTAAGAACATACTCACGGAGTTTAGGTAGTTAAGCCATTCTTCCATGAGTGATTCTCAAAAAATGCCAGTGTGATCCATCCTCAATATGAGTCAATTGATATGGAGGCTTCTCCTCCCTGAGCATCCGAACAACCTTCCATAAGTGGGCGTCAACTTCAAGTGATGGAGATTCTGGTTGGGCTAGAGTAAGCTTGCTGTTTAATCACCCGTCTAATTATGGAGAAAAGCTAGTCTAAGATTGCCTCACCGCTGATACGCGATTCGGAAATAGTTTCTGCAGATGAGTAATAGTCAATGTGGAGTAAAGCTCGGGAATTCTTGCATTTTGTCCTAGAGAAGATTGACGCTGGAGATATGTCGCGGTATCTTCAGCTAATTCCGGAGCAGAGGAAACACATACAATATAGTATCCTGGCCACATCATCTTAACGGCTTCGGAACATGGTATTCTATATATAATAATCGAGTCCTGGCTTGGTCAATAGTCGAGAAATTGGGTCTGATAACCAACTCTTGCGACTTTTAACCTGGCAACACTACTCTTCACCTGGTGAGGCTACGCTCAGATAAGCCAAAAACTAGTAACCAATATGGCCCCCATTACGCAGATCCTGCTCCTGTCGCTTCGGGTCTCGGTCGAGGCCGAAGGAGTCATCAAAGAAACCGTTACCTTGCTGCGAGAACAAGAAAGCATTCGGCATTTCCGATGGAGTATGATACTGGAGGAAGACAACAAACTCTGTATATTTGTTGACTGGGACGAGAATTCCGCACTGGACAGATATGTACAATCTGATGCATATCAGCGATTGCTACAAATCATGAGTGCCCAAACCAATGAGCCCGTCACTGCTCATAAAGTTGTATTTGATCCACATGGTACTACAGTACTCGATAACAAAGGTGGCCAGGGTACATCGCCTGTAGCAGAAGTACTCTATCTATACTTTGATGGTGCTCAAAGCGAATCTGAGAACTTCCAAGACACCGCAACTAGAATCATTCAACAGTTTCTACAGACAATCAGTCTAACAGCAACTGGAATGACGGGAGAATATTCCGTTGGTTGGATGCTGGATCAAGCTGTATTTAAGGATGAGATGTGTAGGGCTTATGTTTTAGTTGTCGGGTGGCAGAGTGTTGAGAGCCAACTACAGTTCCTGGCTACGAAAGATTTCCACAGCGCTTTCCCCATCATTGGCGGCATGCAAGGATTTAGAGGTGCATCAAAAACTTTTGTTTCCAATTATACCATAGACTTCTAATAGTTGTCGAAAGAGCTATCATATTCAAACTTGGCCTTCTAAGCCTTCATCGCCTAGACGATATCATTCATCGTTTTGAGTTCAAGGGTAAACTCGCCGTTGACATAGTTGGCCAAGTGAAGCTAGTCTGGGAATTCCTTCGTAGTTTGTCTGATCTCAGCTCTATACAAAACTTTGAGTGCCTTGGAAATTTTTTAGCCTGCAAAAGCCCCATCAATCTTTCGGGATTTATTGCCCAGTGTCCTATTTGGGCTTGAGAATCGCATACGACTGGACGGCTAGCGAATACGCAGAGCGGCGTATTTCTTACTCAAGTAAAGACCCAGTTTTGCAGCTTGCTGCTTTGTCGCCATAGCATAAAAAGTCACCTACGAAGCAGCAGTTATTACCCACTCCCTATCTCTACCCGTAGCATACCCTCTGATGACATGATTCGAATCAAGGTGTCAAGCTGTCAAATGTGCAAAAGTAAGACCAACACCCAATGTCTCTTCAGTTCAAATCGGCGATTTTATCGACCTGTCTTTGCTGAGAAGCAACAACTTGTTTCGCGGCTCTTTACCCTGCATCATTTTACATCGCTCTTCTCCCCCTGTTTAGATTTCACTGCTAGCGCTGAATAGCTATTAGATTGCAAAATCCGGTGTAGCAAAGAGCAACCGACCTGTTACAAATGCATCACATCCGGCAAGATTTGCCGATATGGACAGGCTCAACTTTCTTGGCCTCCAGAAGGTAGTAACGGACGATTGATTGTGGGTGGTACGGACCACTCTCAAACCCACGTTGTTGAACTACGTTTTATAAATGTGTCTCTGCAAGATGTTGAAAGGATTGCGAGCCTAAATCAAGGTGCGATGGAATGATGGAATCAAGCTCCGTCCATCGTTTGAAGCATGTGCTGACATTAAGCCACTAAGGATTCTGGCATGATGAATCACAAGGCGATGAAGGGAAGACACAGCATCTGAGGGTGGCTAGTTTCGTGCCCAGCTACGTCCAGAATGCAACCGAGGCCGAGTTGCTCGATTATTGTAAGTTCATAATAGTACTAATAAGTCCTTGTGCAGATTTGACATGTTTTATTTTGGGCGGAAGATTCAGCGCAGAGTCTCAGACCATTGGGGATGAAGGTGGGGGGGAGTTGGTGCAGAGATTTTGGATATTGAGAGACTTACACGACTCTTCCGAGGGCTACTTTGATTACAACAGCAGCCTCCATCAAGTAGTCTCTCATGATGAGGGACTACCTTCGCTTTTATAGTATTTTTTAGTAACGACAGCCATCGCGTCTTAGAGCTAGACCGCTGCCGTGTACACAATGCGTGCTTGCTGTAGCCATGCATAGTCTTTCAGGCGCAGTATCCAGGTTCTCGGCTGTGGAATTTGCAGTAAAGGCGATGGCTCACCACGATCCTTGTCTTTCTCCTGCCGTGGCAAGACGACGGCAGTTAGAACCTCTAATAAAAAGGTAGTCTTGTGGTGAAATTTGCCAACATGTAAGTTCCATTGTTGGTGGAGATTGGTCAGAAAGGGGCTCAGCTTAGCGCGGAGTGCAGGGCCTCGGATTGGACAACTTGCGATGATGTGCAAGTAAATGCGAATTAATAAATGGCTCTGCCTGCCTTGATGTTCTTACTAATGCCTCTTGACTGATCAGTGGGCCTAAGTGCGTGCTTCATACGGAGCATTTGGAATCATTTCATTACTGCATGGACACTTTGACAACTCTTGTGTACTATTATCTGGCGATGGCCAACATGGGTGGTTCGCAACCGCTCAGCTTCCTTTGTGACTAATTGAAGTGCGTTAGACAAAGGTCGGTCAATATTGCTACTTTTCCTCGGTAAAGCTAACCCGCTGTCGTCATTTTGCGATGTTCAAGTCTGCGAAAAGACTGCACTGACAGGTTTGCTGGCACTCTGGAAGTATTGCCTCAGCATAGTAGGAAGCAACTGCTGGTGAACCAAAACCGCTCTGCTAGCGATTACCCTCGTTGGATCACATGGAATAGAACTACAACAAACAACATCGATAACCAAGAGTCATTAACAACTTGTTCTGATGGATCATATTAGCAGTTGGCAGAGTAGCTTTATCTTTTCCCAAGTGGACTACATGCTATTTATCTGTGGTGACGATGAGTTGGAACTATTATATCAAGGCCAAAGAGAGCTCTAGCGAGCTCAAATCGACTGGAAGCAAGAGTATATTGCCAGCCATAGAATTTTCATCACTAGATACCTTGAACATTTAGTCACTCTCACCTTTTGTATATCGCGTACTATATCTCGCAAAGTTGTCCTCATCCTCGATCCTGATTCTCATATCGGAGGTCTGTCTGCAAAGGCCTTTGCGATGCAGAGATGGAAAATAGCCATGGTACCTAGACGTCTCAAGGACGGCTTCAGTTCTGAAGGCTATTTACAGATCTCTGGTGACCTCTCTGAGCCCCAGAAAGTGCCCTACTTGTTCGATAAGGCATCTAAGCCTTACCCATTCCGAGTGTTGTCATTTCTAATAGCACGAAATGCGTTTTCTTCATGTTCTTCATCGTCGGCATTGTCGAGAGTTATCTACTGAAGTCACGTTAGGAGCGGTGAGGTGCGTCGCGAACGCAAAATATTCGCCATCAGCACTGTCCGTCTCTCAGATTGAGCTTGAAATGGCCGTCAACTGTACCACCGCCATCGCAGCAGCCAGCAGGCGGTAGTTAGTTTCAATCGCTTACCAGAAGACGCATCAAAGAACTTTGTCTATACCGGAAACAAGCTTCACTTGGCAACGTTGGAGAAGGTCTCTCTTCAATGTCGGGAAATCGGCGGCCGCAAGCCTCATCCACACAGGAACCAAATCGTATCGAGACGCAGGTTTCAAGTGAGTCAGAGAAAATATGAGAACACTGATACTTGGAGAAACATCTCATTTCTGTCATGGTGATGCCGAACAGTTTCTATGACAAAAATGAGCCATTGGAAGACGGGTCGCAGGCGGGAGCAGACTTTGATGGTCCAACTCGAGCTGCTCTACATGTACAACTGGCAAATGATCCCAAACAGGGGACTTGTAACTACTCATTCGTAAAGGGGAAAGGATATGTAGAAGTTGGCAACTTGGTCGAAGAAAGATTTGAGAGCAACAGCTGATATATCTTCATCAAATATCTCTGCCTCAAGTCCGTCAAGAGTCATTGGCCTTAGCTAGCAATAGTCACGTATAAAAGGGATAGCTACACCTGGTATACCTAGAAAGAGACAGTTGAGTACAATCATTCGCTGCTGCACACCTGTGAGTTACCTACAAAACAGCACTCCCTAAACAACAACTCATCGACCCGACTATAGCCGTGTCACTCCGTATAAGTGTTCTCCACGATCTTGATAGCTTTCTTGACCATATCACGATCCATCTGAAACGTCAGCTTGTTCAGAACCTCTGTATAGCTGTAAAATTCCACCACGCATCTGTCCTCCATGGTTTCCTTTGGTGAAACGTCCTCGTCCACAACAGCGACGAACCACCAAATAAGCTTGACGTTGTTATGCTTAAAGCGGCGGATTTGCAAAGTAAACGGCTCGCAAATATTCGTGTAAAAACGCGCTAGGTCGTCTAACTGTTCCGTTTCTATCGCTGGCGGGGCGCGAGTATGCATATTTACCGGAAGAAGGCGACAAGCAAAGCCTGTCTCTTCGGTAACCTCGCGCAGGGCGGTTTCACGCCGAGATTCGCCGCAGTTGCGTCGCCCCTTGGCTAACTGCGTACTCATCGCGCTCTAAGAGATGGAGCACACAGATTTCGCGGGAAGATAGACGGAATAACACCCCGCCTGCACTTTCGATGAAACTTTCGGACGTATATTGCTCCGACTGGAAATGAGACTCGGCCATGGTGAAGCGAGAATGCTGGTCAATCATGAGCTGAGATCTACGGTCCGAGGCATATGGATAGCTCTCTCACTTGCAACTCTTTATGATCTAGTCCTGACGCCTTGCTTGGTGCCAGTTGTGAGTGTTAAGTTGGGCGTGCAAAAGTTGGAAAGTGGTGAGTGTCCGAAACAATTGAACGCATCGGAGAAAAAAAAACAAAGCGAAGCAGAATTCAATAGGCGGCATTTACCCGGTCAACAAACCGAGAGATAAACAGATTAAAGAACAAACAAACAAACTTATAGTCGGAATGCCGCTGGAGCGTGCATCAGCTGAGGAGGTGGCAGCAGCTCATCTGTGCCTAGGAGCCAAACTGCTCCTCAGAGTATTTGAGAGATTATGCATAGAATGTGCGCACGATAGAAAAGCTTGAGTTTATCCAATCTTGTGGGAAGAATAATTACAAACTATAAACCGCCCATGGGACCGAGAATTCAATATGTCGATATGCAATAGAGTTTAATCGTTCAAGTTGATCGACCCAGTAAATGTCATTGCTCACAAACATCGCTGTTTTATGATGTTGGCAGTTGTCAAGATCAATCTTCATCCATTACCTTGTCCACCATGGCAAACCGCAACATGTTGCAGCCCAAATGCTGTGTTGCCTCACCAAAGAAGCCTGTGGGAGGCCATCTAAAGACCAAAGCGCTACCGGCCATGAAGTCAAAAAAGTCTTTGCTCTCGTGAGGAAAATATACAATGTCTTGACCGCCGTCTTTAATCCACGCCCTAGTAAATGATATTCCATCGGAGTGACAGTTGGCTGACATTGACGTTTTATATGCAAATACCTTGTCCAGCGAAGCAATATGCTTGTCGTTGAGGGAGAAACATAGACTTGACTCGTTTTTGTCGATACTACCCTTGCGCACTACTGAGCCTGTCTCTAGATCCCATATCAAAACATTGCCCATGGAGTGCAATGCACCAAGGTATTTGTTGTCATCGAAAATGGATAGTTTGACGAGGTTGGGTGGATGACCAGTGAAAGAGTGCACAAACTCTCCCGTTGCCACGTTCAAAACAACGATTCTGTCGCTGAATCGATAGGCAAGCAGCTTGCTATTGGAAGAAAATTGTAACAGACCGTCATACTCTACAGTCACACTGAGATGAGTATATCCATGAAAGTCTCCATTATCATGAACGGACGGCTCCATATCATCAAAATCGGCATCCTCGTCTTCTGATGGAAGCGATGAGACGAGATATTTGCCATTGGGAGAGAATGCAACAGACTCAACTTTTCCCAATAGCGCCTCGGAACAATAAGCCTTGGATCCGGTTTTGGTGTTCCACATGTAAATCTTGTCGCTCAAAGTCGTAATTAGCTTACTGTCCGGCGAGAAGACAACATTATCTGACGTATTCGAGTCCAACTTTCGAGCAAAGAGCATTTTGCCATTTTGAGCGTCCCAAACCTGAAGCTTCTTTGTCTTCCAGACACAAGCAAAGAACTTGCCATCCATTGAGAACGTAATAGACGAAATATTAATCTTCTTTCGGCCCGAATAATTAATGTCTGGGAAAGCTGGCTTCTTGAAACGCCACACGAGTCTCTTTAGCCAACGAGTATTCGAAAGCATATCGACCAAGGGCCGCAGCCTATGTATGCAGAGCTCCCTCTTTGCGCCAGTCTGTCCATCCCATAGTCGAATAGCGTCACTATAAGACGCAGAGGCAAGCTGCTTATCGTCCCGCGCCGCTGCGACAATGCTGGGATATTCAAAGGAAAATTCGGAATCAATATGATTTGACCGGAATCTCGTATCCCATACAATCACTCCGTTGCCCCCCGAAACTGAAGCAATGGCGCTTCCATCAGGCGAAAATGCAAATCTCTGTGGCATGCCGTGACTCCTCAGATCGGGATCTTGTAGGTCGCACCATTTCTTGCCTGAAGCCACATTGAGAATTTGGGTTGCTCCAGAAACGGCTATCGCAATTGTCTTTCCATCTGGCGAGAAAAGGACCTCGTTGACGATGACCTTTGTCGAGATTCGGCGTGTTGCTCCTGTAGCGACATTCCATATCTCAACATTCATGAATAATCCCACTGCCAACAGCTTACTGTCTGGCGAAAAGGTGACAGACGTAACACCTTTGTCGAAACACTTGGCGTTATGCAGAGGTTTTCCATTCTCAGCGTCTAGAAGCCAAACGTTGTTCCGATTATCACGGTCGCCACATGCAATGCATTTGCCGTCAGGGGATATTGTCACATCGCCGTAGCCTTTGGAGCCATCGTCACCAGTACGGCGCGCAACCCACACTTTTTCGTTCTCTATTACATCCCACAAGTAGACGGAGCCTGGAGATTGGACGAAGATGATCTTTTTACCATCGGGCATAAATGCGACACACCTGACTCGATGTCTCTTTCGAAATTTGTCAATCTTTGTGCCCGTAATGGCATTCCAGAATCGAATGGTCATGTCATTGGACGCAGACATGAGAACATTGCTATCTGGTGAGAATGAAAGGCTGACGACCTCTTCAGAGTGGCCTCTCAAAGTACGACGCTTAGCGCCCGTTATCGCATCCCACAAGCATATTTTGCCGCTCAAGTGCCCAGATGCCATGAGTTGGCCATCGGGCGAATATGCTACAACCTCGGCTGAGTCGTTATAATGTAGTTGTCGTAATTGTGGATTCCACGACTGAGATAAAGATGGAACGGACAGGACCCAACTTGGAATGTGATGCTGATAGATGCGCCGGATGAGGCTTGTTCTTGGGCTAAATATGAGTGCAGATATGTATAACTGCATTGGCGCAGCCTCAATGGTGGAACTGTGTGCGTATAGAAACCGAGTTGCATCTTGGACCACGGCTGTTAGTGTCTGATGTGTGACTTTTGTGCCACTACTACCGACATTTCGTCCGATGCCTGCCAGTAGATCCTGGATACCTCTTCGTGTATCTTTAAGAGACTAGGAGAAAGTCAACATCAAGTCCAAAACTTACTTGGTTCGTTGATAGACTTACCAATAACGACTCGAGGAGTCGAATCATGTCAATGCCGTCAGACAGTCGCCCAATAAGCGTGAGAACTTCAATCCAAAAGAGAAATCGGGTCTGGAAGAATTCCAAGGTCCCAGAATGCTCTCTCGGGTTTACGTCACTCTCTTCGAGATGATGTATCCAATATTTACACGCGTATTGAAGGACTTGAGAGACGTGACTATCCACACCCGATTTCGAAATATCTTTGATTCGCTTTCCAGGTTCTCGAATACTGTAAATATTCTTCCGCAGCTCAGTAGCCATAATGTCGAGGCAACATGTCAGGAGATTGGCATGTATCTTTCTCTGGTCGACAGAGAAATACAAGCTTGAACTTCTTGCTGGATCCGAGAGAAAGTCTCTAAACGACGAGTGAAGCACGTAAATCTTGCCAGACGCTTGTTGAGGAACATCTAGAACTGAACTCAGATGTTTGAGTAGCCGCGTGATGTTTTCCACTGGCTCGCCAACCATGGTGGCCAAGTCGATTGGAGATAATCTGTCATAAAGCATGACGACAGATCCAACAACTTTCTGGTAGGACAGCTGCAGAGTTTCCATCTCGCCTGGTCGTAAGGTGGCAAACTTTGCAAACGCATTTTCCAGGATGGTCGCGTAAATCGAATCCAGCTCTCTCTCCGGCTCAAGTTGTGAATCGTGTGAAGCGAGAAAGCTCTCGAGTCTGGTCGCCGCGTAAATCTCGCCTTGTCGAATAAAGCGACACACGGTGGCGGCATGAATGAACAAGCCATCCGACTTCTTGGCTAGAATGTCAATAGTTTCTTCGGTGATGAGAGATTCATCAATGTCCATGCCAGTTAACTCATGCCTGTAATAGAGCCGCAAATCCGCTGCCACAATTGATTCCTCAATGTCATGCAGAGTAAAGTCTTGGCGTAAGTTGGATGTGATCTTGTCAAAGCCTAGATGAATAGTCTTCTCCGGTCGACTCGTGATGAATACACGGAAAGGTATCTCGTCAATTGCTGCCAAATCTGCAAGGCACTGAATCAACACGCCTAAGTCATAGTCGCTGCCACATTCGTCCAAAGCGTCGATGGCTATGAGTATGGGCTGTAAATCATCTTCTAATGACGTCGATCGTAGAGGATCAAGGATGAGCTTTTTCCATTGGTCGTATAAGCTGCGGCTGGTGATGGTTGGAGAAGACTCCAAGGCATCCTGGAGATGTTCTCGGTAGGCGGGCAATGACTCTGCAAGTTCGTTTGCAATCGTCACCACGAACCTTCTCGTAGAAGAAAGATCGCCGCTGCTTCTGGAGAAGAAGAAACTTGCCCCAAGCCGACCTTGTCTATAGTATTCGCGGGCAGTCGTCAGAGTTATGGTCGTCTTGCCGGTACCAGCCATGCCCCTCAGCCAATAGACGCGCTTCTCCTCATCGTCGTCTATCCATGACCTTATCTGGCTCAGGACTTGTACTCGGGTATTTTCGAGACAGCTCGGTGCATGCTGCTTGTTGGTAGCGTTGAACGTGGCTTCGTGTAGATAGTCAAGCTCCAAGAGTTTCTTAGGAGGAAGGACTGGCAGTGCATTAGCAAATGCGGACACGAGGCATCAAGTCAAATAATGGCGGCTGTACCTGAGACGTTGTAGTCGCCTTGGATGATTTGCGCATAATCTCCAAAAGTGTTGTGTAAAACTGAGCGTCCGCCACCATTGCTGGCCATTTTTAGGCTGTACCAAAATAGCGCTCTACAAGGCACATTGATGGCTTCCTAATGTTGGAGTGAAGATGTCAAGTAGGCAAAGAAGGGCAAATCCTTTCGAAAGATCCAAAGATCCAGAGAGACGTCAGGCATTTGATTCAGCTTACGTCGGGCAGCCACGGACAAGCATCTCAATATGGATGTAGTTATCGATACTTTCATTGGGCAAAGAACGAGCTGAAGCGGCATAAATTGCGGGGCAATTGGTATCAATTGCTCATTCGATGCTATTTACAACACGTTGGACGTGGCTAAGTTGTCCCTTAAAGGATGTTGTAGCTGCAGTTCGCTGAGAAGGCGCGAGAGCGTGGCATTGTTCATCCAAGGGAGAAGCCGAATGAGTGACATCGAATCCCTCCGTCGTTGAACATAGCCCTCATGCAACAGAACCCTGGGATGGTGAGTTGAGTCCGGGTCGGTTGTTTCTGAAACATATGTACAAAACAAGAGTGTCAACTACATCAAACATAGAGGTTGTGGCCCCTAGAATACCCAGCTTCATTTAGTCTTTTCGCACCATCTCGGTGAAATCCGAGTACTGATTCAGCCGGACATGCAACGGCCACAGCCGTTCTATCCAAAAAGTTAGCATCAAGATCGGCAGTCAGCCCTTAGACAACTAACCTAGGACAGCTAACACAAACAGCCAATAGGACGCTCGACAACACGGGATGGGAAAATGCCCTGGGGATAAGCTAACGCGGCCTCTCCGTAAAAAGCTAGACTGATGCTCGTTCTCGTTCAGCATTTTACCGCTAACAACTACATGTACCCTTCGTCGCCCGTCGTCATCGTTTAAGCAGCTCGCTTGACGTTGCATCAAGGACAACAATTCTCTACACAAATCACAATGACAGTAACAACAAGACTCTCCCTGGCAGGCGGGCGAGAAGAAAAGTCACAGCACACGCAGCTGCCACGCAAGAAACATGCGAAGCTATTCCACAAAAAGTGTAGGACCGGCTGCCAGCGTTGCCGAGTCCGTCGAGTCAAGGTATGCCGAAGAACCACTCCGAGATTATCGACCCGGTTGTAGATTTGAATCTACATGCAAATAAGTCACATTTTGATCAAGGAGGTTCTAATATCGATTCAGTGTGATGAGGCCAAGCCAACCTGTAACAACTGCACGCGACTTGACTTGGAGTGCGGCTATGGACCTCTTGCCATAGTTGCAAGCAACCTTGTATCGAGTTCAACATCAACTACTCCAGGAGTTGGTGAGAGTCTTGTTGACGTAGAGGGCGTGCCCCCTCTCCCGGAAACAGAGGCTCGACGGAAACTTGAGCTCGAGCTGTTCTATCACTACTTTACAGAGACTGCCCCAACTCTTGGCGGAGACAAGTTCGCCCAAAGCTTCATGGGCCCAGTCATTTGCCGCGCGGCATTGCAATCAGATGCCGTGATGCATGGAGTCTGCATGCTTTCGGCACTTCACAAGGCGTACAAATCCAATTTCACTGATCCGCAGCACATGAAGGATTGTTCCACGTATCTCAATCTAACGCTTCAATCGCATCACAACCACGTGTTGCATCTCGACGCCGATAATGTGGATTTCTCATGTCTGGCATCTACTTCACTTCGGGTGTATGGATACGTTCGACTGCAACGTCGGCCGTTGGTACCATATACTCCCCCTATTGAGTGGCTACGCATGTCCAACACCAGCAATATTGTGTTTCGTCAGGCACTGGCCTTGATTGAGAAGAACCCTGACTCTCTTAGTGGCAACCTGATGCTGGAAATATGTCAGCAATTGGATGAAAAGCAGAGGATGCAAGACACAAACGAACTGCTTTACCTATTGCGACGCCAGGAATCTCACGAGCTAGAAGAGGAATGGGATGATGAAGTCTATTACGTCTACAAGCGCACCCTGAGTTGCCTAGGCTGTATCTGGAAGCACAGATTCGACCATCATCCACCCCCTGGCCTCTCTCGAAGGCTCATTCTCTTTCCCATGATTGTGGACGCTCAGTTTGTGAGCTATGTGGCGCAGAAGCGACCGCGAGCACTGATAATCATGGCTCATTACTTCACGCTCTTGGCTCTTCACCGCAGCCTTTGGTATATCGGAGATACCGGACTACGTGAAGCCAGGGCCATTGCGACTGAGTTGCCGCTGGAGTGGCAGGGCATGTTGATTCAGCCACTGGAGATATTAAAAGATCCGTCATTATTATGCGATGTTTCCCAAGAGAGGAATTGATTTAGATGAAAATATTTTGCTCATCGTCAAAGGCAAGGGTAGACCAACAGTCATGAATGCGACAAGTCCAATGCATCAAGGGCAAGAAACGCTGCTCTCGGTATGTCAGTGCCGTTCCTATACTTGATTCGAACCAGGGGCTTCCGTAACGCTCAAACTAGTTTGCTGTGGGCCATTGAGATTTCCCGTCGTTCTCGTTCAATCCCACCCTAATGTGTGGCGCGGATCATTTTGGGCATGCGTGGAACCCCTTGTAGCATCAAGAGGAGCGGCATTGAAAATGAAATATAGGGGAAAGATTACGTATATATAGTGATTTACCTACAAGTATAAACAGAAAACCATCTTCTCAGCTGCCAAACAACAGTTCTCAACGCAGACTCAACAACTCCATACCCTTCTGCCGAGTCATCGAACCTCACCGCAAGCCCACGCGACCAAAATGACAACTGACGGCCTCTCAGCTGCAAAGCTCGCCATCTACCTCGTTCTTGTTCAACCAGCACTTTTCTGTCTGTGGAAACATGGAAAGACGGGATTCCTTGGTTGGCTCTTCGTCCAGTTATTCTGTGTCCTTCGCATCACCACTGGCGGCATTGGTCTCCATGGAAACCAAAAGGGCGAGGCTGCTGTGATTCTCAATAGCATAGGCCTCTCTCCGTTGCTTCTCGCGATTTCTGGCATCTTGCACGAAGCGTGAGTCTTCCATACCAAAGATTCTTGCAGAACTCCTTCTGACGTGAACCTTTCACCAGTCGACGCGCAGTGAATCCCCGCCTCAATCGAAGACTCGACATAATATTAGAAATCAAGTACCATGCCTTGGTTCAATTAGGAATGATTTTGATCATCTTGGCCCTTGTTAAAATTATGAATGGCGATCCGGTGTCTAAAAGCAAGACTTTGCTCAATGTTGGCTCGGCGCTTTCAGCCATTGCCTGGGGGCTCGTTACATTGTGGGCATTGTGGTCGAACCACATGGTCCGCCAATACTCTTCCTATTCCACGATGCAGACCGTAGACAACGGTAGAATTGTACGTCAGTTCCATATTCTTGCATTTCATGAGCTAATGCTGCATACCATCAGCTGATCAAAGGTGTCTTTGTCGCTCTCCCGTTTGTTGGAATCCGTCTTGTATACGGCCTTGTGTTTCTACACCTCCAAGTCACACACCCGAATTCTGGATTTCTCACGTCCAAGGCCGTTCAGATTTGTCTAAGCCTCGTACCCGAGTTGGTTTGCGTCACCAGTCTTCTTGTTGTTGGTGTTATTACGCGATCTTTACGGCCAGAATTGAAGAAACGCGACCAAGAGGCAGTCAGACTGGTCTCCAACCCAGGCAACGAGCTTCAGCCAAACACAGAATACAAATGAGGATATGGATATAGAATGTTTCTAGTCATTTCTGTTTCTTGGGGCACATTGCCTGCATTTTTGGTAACTATCGCGGCCCATGAACGTTGGAGATGTAATGGCTACCTATCCAGCACCATGTCTTTGTATCGGGTAAATGAGATGGCGCGTTCGTCGGCATAGTATCACTTAAGTAAAAGAATTTCATGATATTGTTATTGTTAATTTCCAATTGTTATTTCGCTTTATTCCTATAGTTTCAATGGTAATATATAAGATCAAATCTACCGAAGCTACATTTCTGCAATAAACATATACCGATATTTTCGTAATTCGCGAAATACCTTTTTAACCTCTCAAAATAGGCCAAACTGCACATAATGCATCATGGCGAGGATGATAATAAGTCGAAGAGCTTGCAGCCGTTAGCAAGATGAACCATTTACAGAGAGGAATAAACAGTCTGCTCATTGTACTAATTGAAGCGAGAGGTGTCGAACTCCATGTAATCGAGATGGCCTACCCTGCAATCAGAGGTAAAATGTGGTAGATGCTCCGGATAACCGCGAGGGATGTAATTAAGTCTAAGTTAATGGGCCTAGGCAAAAGAGTCGACCTCTACCTTGTTCAATCCTTTAGATGGTGTTGTAACTGTTGTTGCTATTGTCTCTGTCTGGAGGCTGCGAAAATCGCTTCCACAAGCGTGTTATGGTACCATGAAACAGAGCATCCGATTAGCGATGAAAAGGAATTCGAGTTCGGCGTTGATATATTTGCGCCATACATATCCGTCGGTCCAAAAGGTTACACCCAAGAATCTCACGCCGAAGCCATTCATGTTATAGGAGAGGTAGCTGCCGTAAGAAGAGCAGGTCGTGCCGGCCCGACAAAGCGCGCTGGACATTGTTAGAGAATGCAACCGAGCGCATTGATGTCCCAGCCGTTCTACGTCTGTTTTGGATACAAGTCAAAATACCGTTTGAATTTTGCCTCTTTTATATGCTCTCTATCTGGTATTTGAAGCTCAAGATTCTCATATGGGGTGGCATCGTGCAACGTGGTACCGACTCCGTTCGTCAATGATAGTCCGTTTGCATCATGCCTGCGCTGTTGTACGAGGTGTTCGGGCCTGGCAAGTTTTGCGAGATGAATCGTTGAAGGCATGTCTACCCATTGCTGTTGGGCCTACGCGCTGCCCAACTCAAAGCCCATTCTATTTGTTGTAACTCGCTAGCTTCATTCTCACAAAGAACATGAGATGCATTAGACCTTGACTTTTCACTATTATAAGAGGACAAAGCATCATGACGCGCAGTTTCTCTTGTTGCCTTTTCTGGTGTTGCCAGCCACTCAAGGTCATCATCGATGTCGAATTTCTAGTCACATCGCACGCATGGTGACTTTGAGGGCGCTTCCTGCTATCGAAATACCCCTGATGTAGCCATGATTCACGAGAGACTTGAAAGCAGAGAGCGAAAGAGAACAAAGGAACAAAGGAACAAAGAATACAACACGGCCATAAACAATAATTTCCGATGGAAACCAAATGAACTTCATCATCTTTACCATCCATAGCTTCGCTTGATCTAGTTCAGATCCCATTATTCGGAGGAGCCCCTCTATGCTTTGACGGTCTTTGGCGGTCCATTTACAGGTCCTGTTATTGGAGGTTTCGTCGCATCTCGTCATCTTGGCTGGAGATGGACGCTGTACGTCCTTTCTATCCTAGCTCTTGTCAATGGCTTCATCTCAGCAGCTTTTCTCCCCGAAACTTACGCTCCACGTATTCTCACTGCGGACGCTGCCGCGATGCGCCGCAAGACAAATAATTGGGCAGTCCACGCGAGACATGAAATGGTGGAAACGGATTTGGCCTGGTTTCTGTCGCGACAGTAAGAGCTGTGTCGTGACAGTAAGAATGAACTTACTATGGGTGATTAATGTATCCGTATCAAAGGCTTTACTAGATAGAGTAGAGATAAGGTGAGGATGGGCTATAGAAAAATAAAAATATACTATTAGTTTATAATATTATCCTTGGTTATTCTAATGCTAATACTTTTGTGTAACACTTTAAACCAATTGAAGTGATAGTTGCCTTTCTGTTTTTTAAAGACGACACAAGGGCCCGTTCTGTGTTTGTAATCCCTGCTCTTTTGTGCGGACTTCCCAATCCTCGCTGCCAACACCTGCTACAGCATAAAACACGCTGGCGGGATCCCACTGGCGTTTAATATTAAGTAGCCTGGGATAATTGGAGCCGAAAAAGTCCTGTTGCCAATTGGGCTCCTTAGCGTTACCTTCGTTAAGATAAGATCCTCCAAACTTGCTGGCTGGTGCTGCATCCCTCCATGGCTGTACTAAGTCATTCATAACCTTGCTCTGCGTAGCCGCTAACTCGGCCGGGGTGGGATTTTCTGGAAGAAAAATGCCTGTTGAGAAGAAGCCAATATTGTGACGCAAAGCAGGATTAGCCGCGTTATCTACATTGAAGGGGTTCCCCGGCGCGACTGCAAAGGCTGTCAAGTCATAACCGGCGTCACTGACTCGACGTATGGCTTGAAACGACTTTTCAAATCCTTCCGCATCGTTCCAGACGTCCTTTGGGAAAAGGCGGCTAGCTTCAATATCTGCTGGCTCGGCCACCTGAAGCTGTGAGCCTGGCCAAGCATCCGTAAACGCAGAGTAGAACGTGTCGAAATGCCTAGGCTGAGTCTCGTAAGGGATTCCTAATTTGGTGAGTTTGTCAAAGAATGGTTTCATGACTTTGTTGAATGATTCGATGGAATTGTTTGGGGCGAACTGTTGTGCCAGACGATATTAGCCCCCGCAAAAATCAAGGCAGGAGTAGAAAAGACTTTGTGTTCCCGGGAACGGGGGGTGACAGAATTGCTAAGGGATTTTACAAGAGAGGACTTACCATCGGTTCGACTCCCAGGCTGTACGCCGAGTTGTTATACCACTCAGAGTTACGGCGGATGCCTGTCAGTCCATAGAAACCTGCCTTGGTCATCGGATCAAAGTGCTCAAAGTACGCCCGCACACCGAGCCAGAACGTCTCATTGTTCACACTGTCGGACGTCTGAAACGAAATTTGTGACGTGGTAACCTGTAACTTGGGATGGAGGCGCACCACAACTGCCGGTCAAAGTGTTAGAAACTCCAAAATACTTCTACCCAGTAGCCGTGTCACAACCTACCAGATGTTGTTACTCCAAAAGTACTCGGGCCTCCACCACGCAAAGCCCAGAAGAGGTCAGGATGTGTGCGTTCCGTGACAGTAATGAAGTGGCCGTCAGCCGTGACAACGTTGATGGCTAAGACGTGATCGGCGCCTAGCCCGAACAGACTTGATAGAGGTGAATGCCCGCCTCCGGCAAAGTATCCACCAGCAAATCCTACTGTCTATACCATGTCAGAAAGACATTCAATATCCATGGAAAGGAGGCGAAACTTACTGCACACATCCCCCCAACCACCGAGGCACCATGTTCGTCAGCCAGCCTCACCATGTGTTCTGTTGTTACTCCTGCGCCTACATGCAATGCGTTGCCAGAAAATTCTCCCAGCTTGTAGTTGGCCAAGTAGGATAGATCATTGAGGTGATGAGTCCAGATACTCAGCGCGCCTGCGCCAGAAGATTTACCCTGATAGTCGTGACCGGTGTTCTTGATGACGAGCCGTAGTCCCTTGCTACGGGCGAAATTGACTGCCAGCTGAATGTGGGCAACACTCGTGGCATTAACGGCATATACAGGATAAGCACCCAGAGTGCAAGTTGATTTGCTCGGGTCATTAGTTGGAACACAAGTCCGACCTTCCCATACCGGCCACATCACCGAGGTAGGATCTTCCTCACTAATCGGAGCAGGGAGACGTCAGTTTGGCATCGGCCGTGCATATTCTGGTCATTACTCACTGAAAGTAAGGACTGGTCCAATTATTTGCTATGGAAGCACATTTACCGGCATCATACACTCCCCAGCTCTTATAGCACGGCGCTGCAAGAGGAACTGTCCGAATGAGAGCCGAGCCACCCAATGCTTTGGCAAACGCGTCCCACTCGGCCTGAGATGGCCAGCCCTCGTCTCCAGGAAGTGGCTTGCACTGGCCATGGCTCAACTTTGGGCCCTTTGTGTCAAAAGCAAAGAGTTTCGCAAACCCAGACGGTATGTGTGTTCCAGATAGCTGCTCTGTCTCGTACTTGAACAGAGGAACACCAGCCACAGTACATGTAGTCGTCGGATCACTCAGTCCGGCCGCAACGCCGACTCCGACTAGAATAGTAACCAACTGTCGTAAACCCATCTTCGATTACAATGTGAAGTAGATAGGGAGACAAGAATATGATGTAATATTTCACAACGGCTAGGTCTACGAAAGGCTATATATCGGCGCAGTTTTCTCTTGATAGTTCTTTCATTTACGTCGACCCCAGCCAAACATCTGCAAGAGTCGCCCCATTTGACAGCTAGGAGACGCTCACCGAATATTCATGGAGGATAATGGGACAAGCACGCTTGTATTATCTTGGAGAGCGGCGTGTCAGCTGACTCAAATGCTGATGACCCTTCTCAACAAGGCTAGAATTAGGAAGAAGCGGACTTTCCAGCAATAAATGCCGGAGTCAGCTGAGTCAACTAGCCCAGCAAATTGGGCTCCCAATACGCTCACCGAAACCCACGCGTATAAAATAATTGAGATTAACCCCCCTACAGGTACGTCAGCAACTCATACAGCTATTTTTAGGCACGGCCGCTGAAGCTCCTTGCCACAGCGCTTTACTACAGCGTCTTACATCACCCTGAGCTTGCGTCAGTTACAATGGTGACCTGCAGCTCTAGGTGCTGCCACAGCTATGTTAGACCTTCATTGATTACACGTGCATTCTTAGTGATGGATTTATCAATGTGTTTCAGATATCTAATCGGCTGGCTTAGACTATATTAGTTTAATTGAAATATATTTATAGCTGGTTGCGGCACTTGAGAGAAATATGATACTGCATCAATTTAGGTCCAGTTGTAGGGAGGTGTTTAATATTTTACAGTGGGGTATTAAATGTGTTTCTGTAAATGGTAATTTATATTAAAACTCACTTTTTTAAAATAATAATATACAGAAAAACAAAGTTATAAAATTATATGGATAATGTGACTGCCCCCATTCTTATCAGATTGTATATATGTCAAGCATGCCTTTAAAAAGCACTGGGTAATGCACGCTGTTTTGACATTTATATTTAGAGTTCTATAAGCTGAATCTCATTATCCCCTCTTAAGACCTATTGGTTGCTTAGGATTCAAATAGGTCAAAGTATATATTAATTCCATGTGCTAGGATTCACATGTGCCGTCATTCATCTGGGTTCTCTAAACTGTCCTTTACCAAAGTCACCATATCTCCAAAGTTCTGGCATTCCAACAGTGCAGGAACAGGGACGACAACATCGAGTTCGCTCATAATAAGCTGGCGTAGTTGAACGATCAAGAGTGAATTGCCCCCTGTTTCAAAGAAACCCGTGCTGTCGTCAATCTCACGCGACGTGAGCAAGTCACCTGGAAGAACTCTCATCCATAGATCACGAAGCCTCATCCCAATCTTGCTGAGTCCTGCTCCTGGAGCTTCATGCTTGACCATCCCAGTCTGTGTCTTACTAAAACTGTTGTTTCTAGCAACCGCTGGAGTATGGGTAAACTCAGAATGTTGGGAAAGGGAAAGAAGTGCTGCAGCTTTCCTGTCTCGTTTTCCGTGCAAGGTGATGGGAATCTCTTCAACTTGTAATATGACTGCAGGTACCATATAGACTGGTAGAGCCAGCCTTGGCAGAAGTGTCCTCAGAAAACGTTGGACATCTGGTGTATCGTCATCAAGTTTAAATGTGTGAGACATGACAACGTGGCAAGCCAAGAACTGAGGCTCACCACGAACAGAGACAACGGCCTCGGCTATAGCACCGTTTGATGCTTTCAGCACGGCAGCTTCAATGTCACCTAGATCAATCCTTAAACCTCGCAGCTTGACTAGTGTGTCGCCATCGACTCGCCCCAGGAATACCATGGAGCCGTCCTGGTTCAATTTTCCCAAGTCTCCGGTTCGGAATACGCGATTCCATCCATTTTTGCGGAAAGATGAAGGTGAAACATGGTCTGGCAAGAACTTCTTCTTCGTCAACTCCTGATCTAGGTAGCCTTGGGCAACTCCGCCCCCACCAATTAGTATCTCCCCAGGAATGCCGGAGGGGACTGGCTGTAGATCTTCATCCACCACATATGTTGAGTAGTTCTCTAGTGGGGAGCCGATTGGTATAGGGCCAACACCTGTGCCGGAGGAGAGAACTTCAAAATGATTTGCAGCGATGGACGCCTCCGCTGGCCCATACGCATTGAACAGCCGCAACTGAGGCAAGCCCAGTTCCTGGAGATCACGGTATAAGGTGTCAGGAAGCTGTTCACCACCGCTGAAAGCCCATGTCCAGCTCCTGTTACCTTTGAGAGCTTCTAGACCACTCCTTGCTATCAAAGATATTTCTGAAGGCGTAGTTTTGATATAGGTGATGCCCTCTTTGGCTATCGTTTCTGCAAGCTGTTTAGGATCACCTCGTACATTACGGCGCGCCACGTGCACGCGACCTCGATTAGCCAAACCAACAAATATCTGGTCCAGTGAAATGTCAAAGCTATAAGCGGTATGCTGCAAAGAGACGGTTTCAGAGCCAAGGTTATAGTGTCGAGAGAACGATTCTACGGCACAGAGTAAGTTCCCATGACTGACACTGATGCCCTTCGGAGTGCCCGTCGAGCCACTGGTGAAGAGAACCACTGCTTCTTGACTTTTCGTAGCTGCAATTTCCCCGAGCGCAACGACCGAGCTTAGTGTCTCGAGGTGCGATATGTTGATCAATTGATTCGGTGTGCAGCCCAAGTCTGCGCCATTAGTCATTGTGGTATCATCGACAAGGACGATTTTCGGACTTCCCAGCTCTATCATAGATTTCAGCCGCGGTAATGGATTCTTTTGATCCAAAGGGACATAGACAGCGCCGAGATGCATAATGGCCAGCAACGAAGCAACCCAGTCGCATCCCGGTTCCTGGAACACGGCCACTCTGTTTCCTTTCAATACACCTTTCTGTTTGAGAATTATTGCAATGGACTTGTATCTCATTCCCAACTGTTCGTAGCTCCAGGAGTTGATGCCATCATTAATGGCGAAACGCGATCCATCACTCAACACGATTTCGTGGACATGATGAATTAATGTGTCGCACCAGATAGATTCCTGAAAGGCACCTGTAATATAGAGGTTAGAATATTGTCCTTGAATGGTAGGGAAAATAAGATACGTGCCTATTCCGGCTTCTAGTGCCCTGTTTACATCAGCGGGGTGATAGATTGCACTCTTGCTCATGATCACGTCCGGACGAGACACAACTTCTCTCACAACAGTCTCATAGCTGTTTCTTAACATCGAAATATCATACGATGACAGAAGTGCTGCTTGTCCGAGAAACGTAATCTCTGTTTCCCCAGAGGCATTCTCACAAATGTCCAGGCTAAAATCGTAGCCTGCCTTCGTAATCTGTACATCTTCACTTCGGGCCTCCAAATCGGCAAACTTGTGTGATTCGGCATGTTGAGACCGGTAGTTGACAAAGGTTTGGAATAATGGCGTATACTTGGATGACCGTTGAACCTTGAGTTCCTCTAATAGAAGCTGAAATGGTACACTAGATGCTTCCATAGCTTCGTACATTTCTTCTCGAGTTTGTCTTAGTATATTTATAAAGGTACTATTTCCTCCAGCGTATCGGAAGCGGAGTGGAAGAAAGTTTAGCAGTAGACCAAGGACGGTGGTGTCGCCACCATTTACTCTGTTATAATCTGCCACGCCAATGCAAATGTCGTCAATCCTGAGAAATCGGAACAGGAGGGTGCTCAAAATCGCAAGGTGGAAGTGGAAAGGGAGAGCTTGATTCTTGCGACATAATTGGTGAATCCGAGATGTGAGGTCAACATCCAGACATAGACGGCTAGTTTCATATTCGTAATGAGTCAAACTCTCGCGGACACTGGAGCGCGTCATAGGGAATAGTGGTTGCGATTGTGGCAAGTCCTTTAGTTTGGACTTCCAGAACAGTATGTCCTTGGCTAGAGCTCCTGATTGAACAGCCTCTCGCTGGGCCGTGGCATGCTCACGGAACTGGATGGGTGAAGTGTATAAATCAATTCCCATGTAGACCTTCTCGAGTTCCTTGAAAAAGATTTGCTGAAAGCTGAAACCGTCCATGGTTAAATGGTGATATCCGAAAAGAAGGTAATGTGAGGATGCCGATTCTCTCAACAAGATGGCTCTGAAGACATCCCCCTTTGCAAGGTCGTAGACGTGATTTTTGAGTTGCTCAAACGTGTCATTCAACTCTTGCTTGCTTTGAATCTGGCCGTGTTGTAACTTTGCAATAGATCGAGGTAGAATTGCCTGAACAGGATGTCCGTCCTCTGAAGTGGTGTAGAAGCAAGTGCGAAGTGCTTCATGTCTCTCAATCATGACAGCCATAGCATTTTGCAGTTTGCTTACGTTTAAAGGACCAGAAAGATGGTAGTAGAATGCCACGTTCAATGCTGTCTTATCGGAGAGATAGCTATGGCTGAACCAGTAAACCGATTGCGCGTATGACAGTGGCATCACATGTTGAAAACTTTGTTTTTCATCAAGATCATTGTCAAGGAAGGGTTCTACGCCATCGCCCGACGGGATTGTTGTATTTGTGAGATCGTGATAGCCAGAGCCGTCCATAGTCAAGGTCGTGCCAGCAATCGAGGATCGATCCTCGTTAAGCATTATACAGGCGACATTGCTCGCAAGCTGCGCAGCGCTGGCACCAGTAAGAATATCCCTCAATGTGAGTGGGTATGATAGTTCCTCCAGGAACCAAGAGCGAATCATGTTCGCAATTAGAGAGTCGACGCCTAAATCAATAAACGATGTGTTTTGCAAAGCACTGGAGTCGCAGTCCCTAAGATGAGTACTTTCAGTCAAAAAACGGACCAGTGAACGAAAAAGGACCTCAGTCGCCAATTTCTCATCAGATGCGTTCATTATCTCATCTCTGATTGTCAGGTTCTGTTGTTGGACTGTATCTATCACTTCAGTTCGAGCACTGTATGTGAGCTGGCGATGTGGGCGTGATTCTTGGGAAAGCATTTGAACTTGGATAACAGGCTGGACGTGATCACAATCGTAGATATCAAATCTCAACTTCTCCAGAGATGAATAGTCTTGTATGGATATTTTGAATGGCGAATGAGAGATTGACGATTGTTCCAGTGGTGCTGGACGGACTAAGACGCTCTGTATCCTTTCAGGCGCAAATCGTCCATGGCCAAGTCCATATGACTTGATAACTGACTCCAAGGCCTTTTCCACTTCCATTTGTTTGAGTACCCAGCCTTTGGTACTTTGCTGGATTTCTTGACCAGTGGAATTCTCGAGCATCGTAGTCTGAGATTCTGGTTGGAAGTGCCACTCGACTCTGCTGCTGAAACACAATTGGAGAGGGCGAATATCATTGCCGGCAGCTGCGTGGCAAACAATCGTAGCTGATGCCTTCAATTCCGTGAAGGACAAATTGCTTAGTACTGCAAGTGTTTCAACTGTTCTGTTGTCTGATTGATGGCGCTTGAGCGGCAGAGCCTCGTATCCCTCTATAATAATCTCGGCCACTTGGCGGTCTTGACCCGCTCCCATTATCGACTCTATAATGATGGCCAACGCAATCGAGAATGGGATCACGGGGGTTTTTGACTCTTCGGAATGCCAAGATCCTCCAGTTTCAAGAGTTTTGATAACATTTGTCCAGCGCATCTCGGACTCGGTAGTCTCTGGGCTTTTCACACCCAACAGGCCATTTCGTCCTCCATGGCGTGAGCCACCAAGCCTTGATACACGCGATTCAGTCCAAAACACCGTGTCATGGTTCCAGGGGTAGGTTGGCATGTAATCCAAAGAAGTCGGTAAGACACTAGACGAATCGCTCATGGCCTTGTAGTATCGTGAGAAGTCCAGTGTTTGTGGTCTAGCATGTAGCCAGATGAGTCCCAAAGTGTCGGATAAAGAGTTGATTTCCCTGTCGCCATCAAGCACTCCCCGATACAGGCCCTTCTTCATTGTAACGCTCTCAATAAGCTCCAAGGTTGGGCTCTTTAAAACTACCAGAGGGCTGAACTCTAGCACAATATCGGGCGATCTCTCTTTGAGCATAGCCCGTGATAAAGCGTTGTCGAAGCGGACGCGATGAGTCATATTATCTACCCAATACTGGGCGCGCAGACTCTCGCCAGCTACCAACCCTTCGTAGCCTTCCACACTAGAATACCAGGTAGGCGATTCATCTGTGGGGGACTGAATTTGAATATCAAGGTTTTGAAGAGCCTCCAGGTATAGTCCTGCGCATCTTCGCATTTGGCGCGTATGATAAGGCACGCTACCTGGGAGCTTCTTGATTCGTATCTTCAGAGCTCTAAGAACTTCAGAGACTGAGTCGATAGCGCCGACGGATCCAGAAAGCGTGGTGCTAGAAATTGAATTCACCGCAGCCACTTCCACATTCTCTCCGAAAACTTTGGACTTGACAAGTTCTACCGCTTGATCCATTGGAAGAGCTGCGGCCAGCATGGTACCCTTTTCTACTTGTTGAGATGCGAAAAATCCACGATAATAGGCGATTCGTATGGCATCATGTCTCCTCAGGAACCCAGCGGCATATGCGGCGGCAATTTCCCCCGAAGAATGACCAATCAGGGATGTCATTCTCACGCCAGCAGAGCGAATGAGCTCCACGAGAATGATTTGGCAGGCGGTATTGATAGTTTGGCAGAACACTGCTTCTCGTCGTCTTGCATCTGTTTTCTCTGCAAGCAATAGTTCCCTAAGCGACCATGAAGGACGGTGAGTCTGAGGCAGAGAAGAAAGTGAGGCCTCGAGATCGGAAATTATGCTCTGTACCATATGTGACGCCGCCACAAGCTCTTGGATACTATTCCATTCTGTTCCTTGCCCTGTGAATATGGCAATAATCTTAGGATCGTGGTTCCCCTGAAAGCGTTTTGGTGCAAATGATTGTGCGGAGATTGCTTGGTCGATTGACTTGGCCAAATCCTCCGTCTTCGAAGCCGGAAAGTATTGTCTATAAGGTAAACACGATCTCTGGGTACTCAGGGTCCAAGCAAGATCTCGTGGCGATATTTGCTTATTGTCTCTGAGATGTTTTGAATAGGAGCCTAGCATCGCCTGAAGACTGGATTGCGATGCTGCGGAAAACACAAACGGCAAAACTCCGCTCCCAACCTCCTCCCTGTTGATTGACGTCGCTTTGAGTTCATTGGTGTCTGGTAGATACTCCTCAATGATCGCGTGGGCGTTGGTGCCCCCGAAGCCAAAGCTATTCACACTGACCCGTCTAGGGACGCTGTCCGGCAAGGTTGGCCAAGGTTTCGCGTTTTGAAGCATCTCAAAGTTGGCGGAAAATGGCTTCACTTCGTCGTGCAATTGTTTGAAATCAAAGTTGGGTGGCATCACCCCATGTTGTGTCATCAGAGAAGCCTTGAGAATTCCAGCAAGTCCAGCACAGCCTTCCAAGTGGCCCACCACTGACTTGATGGAACCCAAAGAAATGGAATGTTTCGCAAGGTGGTTGTTGCTGTCGTTGGGATCACCAAAGAAAGCATGACTTAGAGCTTCAGCTTCTATTGGGTCCCCTGCCCGAGTACCTGTTCCATGTGCTTCGATATATTGACATTGGTCTCTGGCTTTTCGAGAGTCTAATCCAGCCCTTGCGTAAGTCATCTCAATCAAGGACTGTTGAGCAGCCGAGGTCGGTAGTGCTATACCGGCCTTGTATCCATCATGATTGATGCCAGTCTCACGGACAACGCAGCGGATTTTATTACCGTCTCTTACTGCTAAATCCACTGCTTTGAGGATGATGGCAATGACGCCTTCTCCACGCGCATAGCCATTTGCTCTGCTGTCAAATGAGTGGCATCGTCCTGATGGTGATAACAAGCCCAGGTTGTCCGCCGTAGTGAAAATATCTACAAAACATCAGATTTGCAAATGTTTGGTCATTCATTCAAAGCTCACCTGAATCAAACAACAGATTTGAACTGCAGACTACTGCCATTTGGCACTCATCACGTCTTAGGGACTGTACAGCCAGGTCCAGTGCCACTAAGCTTGATGAACAGGCTGTATCAATGGTCATGGACGGCCCCCGCCAATCGTAAAAGTAAGAAATACGATTGGAGAGCATATTCGCGTGTGTGCCCGTAGCTGCATATGAAGGTACCTGCAGAGCGTCGCGTGTCACCACGTTGGCGTAATCTGTGCCCGAGAGCCCGGCATATACAGCTGTTGAAGATCCGCGCAGTGACTCCATTGGCATCCCTGCGTCTTCCAATGCTTCGTAGACACATTCCAATGCTAGTCGAAACTGAGGGTCCGTTGCCTCCGCTTCAGCAGTATGCATGTGAAAGAATGTTCGATCGAACCGACGGGGGTCTTCTGAAAGGAAGTAAGACCGGCTGGCATCATTGGACGAGAGGCCTATGTTTTTCCAGTGGCTTGGGGTTTCATCGTGTAAGTTCCGTGGCTTTAGAAGCAGCTCCCATAGGTTCTGGGGGGAAGAGACACCGCCAGGTAGGCGACAGCTTTGTCCCACAACTGCTATCTTCTTTTGGGCCCTGGGAGATACCATGATGCCTGGCATACAACGTCCCTCTAGAAGACTGCTTTCGATACTCGTGTAATGATGTCTACGCTTCACAAAGAGGGAAGAGAGTATCAGTAGTGTTTTATTCGGAACAAAGGGTCATTAACCATAGTCAAATGCGCGATCAATTACGTCGGTGACATCTGTACAACCATCTTTCGCTTTTGGGGGCTTATTCTCCGTCGGAATCTAAAAGATGAGTTGCTTATTGCTGAGTCCTGTCAGCGATGGGAAAGGGGCTTCGTGTGACGATTAGTTTCGTTGAGTGCTCCATTAGACTCTAACCGAAGTCGGACAAAAGCCTCGTCAGTGTCGGAGAATATGGACTTTATGGTAAGTTACAGGACGTATCCATCTCTGATCTCTCGTAGTATTTCATATTCCTGAGTCACCGGGATACCTTGTCTCATGGCCAAGCATTTTGCCATACCAATGTTGACATTAGTAAAACGCAGCCAAGTCTCTATACGAGATGATGACAACTCAGACTACTTTATGCCCAGAGTAAGCACACACCCATGAATTCTAAATGGAGAAAACCCGTTGCGGAAATTAAATACAGATCTTACAAGCGTACAAGGTCACAACGAAGCCAAGGTCAAGCCAGCATTGAGATCTGGTTACTATGGGTGAGAGCACCACCGGCTGCAGAGATTCTACGTCATCTGGAGTAGCAGTGCATTGTGAGACTATGCAAGCTTTTTATCTCAAACGTTTTCTGCAATTTCTTATAATCTAGCCATCATCATGATCCCTGTCCACCCGTGCTTGCAGTGTACAAGCCATAATACTTCCCTCTTTTAGCCATCAGCTGTGCATGGCTACCAGCCTCTATAATGATGCCTTGATCCAAAACATATATCCGATCTGCCTTGATAATGGTGCTTAATCTATGAGCGACAGTGATTGTGGTACGGCTTTCCTTGGCCTTTTCTAGGGCGTCAAGGATAAGCGTCTCGGACTGGGAGTCCAGTGCCGATGTGGCTTCATCCAACAGGAGAATAGTAGGTTGCCGAATCAGCGCTCTTGCTAGAGCGATTCTTTGCTTCTGACCAACGCTGAGCTGAGTGCCCCGATTTCCAACAGCGGTATTGAAACCATCCCTGTATTTGTTAGCAAGGCCAGGCGGCACAAAAGTCTTCCTGAAGGATACTTACGGCAATGCTTTGATAAAGCCATATATGTTGGCCTGTTTGCATGCTTCCTCCATGCTAATTCTGGAAGGGCTTTCCCTCTGCTCATCGTCGAGTCCAGCTAAAAGGTTGCTCTCAATGGTACCATTGTAAAGCACGGGATCTTGATCAACAAGGCCAATAAGCTGCCGATATTCTGACACTTGCAGAGAGTTTAGTGGATTCCCATCAAGACACACAGTGCCTTGCGAAGGATCATAGAATCGTTCAATCATCGAGATTATGGTGCTTTTCCCGGAGCCTGTGGCGCCCACGAAAGCCACATGTGAGCCAGCGGCGATACTGAAAGAGACATCCTTTAATGCAGCGGTGTCAGGGCGTGAGGGATAAAAGAATGAGACATTTTCAAAGTCAATCTTTCCTTTGAGTTTCCTCGGTTTGGCACCAGTTGATTCGCCCAGGGGATCTATAGTCGAGTTCCTATCGACAAGATGCTGCAGCATCGCGGAAGCCCGCTTCGCCTTTTGAATGCTTGGAGTCCAAGAAAAGAACAGGCCAGCCGAGTATGAGCTGAAGAGTATGGAACATTGCACCACAATAAACTGGTCCATGGAATATTCGTTGCGCATGATCAGTTTGCCACCATACCAAAACGTAAAGGCCATCCCGGCATAGTAAATCGCCTGGGCTAAAGCATAGAGAGAGGACGTCTGTAGGTTGGCCCTCAGAGCCCTCGTTGTTGAGGCGCGCAACGTACCCTTGAACTCATTCAGCACTTTACTCTCCGTTGTCATTGCTGCGATGGTGCGGATGCCAGACAAGGCCTCACTGGCGAACTCAGCCGCCTCACTGTTGAATATCTCCGTATGCATCTCAAAGTCTCCCACAAGCGAAGTACTCAAATAACCTGAAATGACTTGCAATGGGAAGAGATAGAAGCACACAAGCGTGAGCTTCCATCCGTACACAAGCGCCACCGCGATACCGCATATTGTGGTGGACGCGCAGATGAGGATGATGCTGAGAGCAGAGCCGCTCACGCCGGCGAGGTCTGTGACTGAAGTCGACAGAAAATTGGCCAATGCTCCAGCTGAGTTCCCTTTCTTATCGAAGAAAGAAACCTCCATTCTCAAAATTTTCTCCAGAGCCATGCTACGGGCCCGATTCATCATCTTCTCTGAGCACCACCCGAAAATGATGCCCTCAGCTCCAACCACATTGAACATTACAACTGCTAGCAGGTAAAAACCCCTTGAGTAAAGGGTAGTTTCGGAAAGAATGTTGCTCGCCTCAGTGAGGGGTTGTGAGATGGATGTGATTGTTTTGCCAAAGAGGATGGCGGACATGGGCTCTTCGAATCCTGCAATGAGGGAGCAAAGAAGGCCGACCACCACCCACCATATTTCTGGCCTATTGAGCTTCCATCCAAATTTGATAAGAGACCAAACTGAGGATGACTGTATTCGGTTATCGAGCTCTTCGTCAGCCACGAATGGTGTTTCATTATCATCATTCTCCTTTTCCTTCTTTTCCTTTTCACCAGTCAATGCATCGCCAACGGATGCATCAGACTTTCCTATTTCCTCGGACGATTCCATAGCGCTGTCTTCAGGGCTCAGCTCCTGAGCTTTCACAAGGTCAAAGTAATCTGAGCATTTCTCCATTAGATCACGGTGAGTGCCTTCCTCTATAACGCGACCCGAACGTAGGACGACAATATTGTCTGCATCGCGAATGGTTGAGAGACGATGTGCGATCACAATCTTTGAACAATCTTTGTAGTGTTTTCCCATAGATGCCAAAACCTTGGCCTCGGTTTCGCCATCCAGCGCTGATGTGGCTTCATCTAGGATTAAGATTCGAGGTTGACCAACAAGGGCTCTAGCGATTGCCAGTCTCTGGGCCTGTCCACCCGATAGCCTTGACGCCCTTGCTCCAATCATGGTATCATAACCCTGCGGCAGTTTCTCGATAAACTCATGTGCTTGAGCCGCTTTAGCAGACTTATATATAAGCTGACGCTTCTCTTTCTCAGAGACATTATCCCACTGCGGCCCAACAAGCCCAGCCTCAATGTTCTCATAGATGGTTTTGTTAAATAAAAATGGTTCCTGGCTCACAAAACGGATTTGCTGGCGTAACCACTGCAGCTGCAGGGTGTTTATATTTTCGTTGTCAAGATAAATGTCTCCTGCGACTGGATCGTAAAACCGCAATATCAGGCTTGCGATGGAGCTTTTCCCCGATCCCGAGGGCCCTACAATGGCTGTGGTCTTCCCAGCTGGGAACTTGATGCTTACATTATCCAGTACCGTCACCGTCTGTCGGCCAGGGTAGATGTGCTTGATGTTCCGTACCTCGATTGTGCCGCCGACCTGATCAGGGACAGTGCCAGAGTCGGAGCCAGAATCTATGGGTGACTCTCGGCGAGTCATCCGGTAGATGCGGCTAGCTGCTGCTACAGCCATGTTGAACGACTCTAGATTCGAGCCAACGTTGAGGATGCAAAACGCTGCCGACTTGAAAACAATGGCGATTGTCACGATATGAGTGAAAGGGGTCACGCCTTCGGTCAGACGTTTTGCGCCAATCCAGAAGCCTAGACCAACGTTGATATACCCACTGGCAATACAGAGGCTGAGCATAGATGAACTCAGAGTTTTAAGCACAAAGCCGCTCTTAGATGCCTTTTGTAGATACTCTACATAGGTCTTATGAACATGCTTCTGGATTCCAAGTGCTACCGTGGTTTTAATTGCGCCGAGGGCTTCTTCAACAACTGTCGTGCCCGCTGATGAGGCCTCAAGTGCGCGGCTGCTATAGCCCACGGTGGCCTTTCCAGTAAGGTATAGCACCACACTACCCAGGACAAACGACCAGGATAGGATGAACGCCAGGTTCCAGTCCAAGGCAAAACACACGACAATTGTGCCCAGGAGATTGCCCAACGCATTGATGCTGATGGCCAGCTTTGACGAAAGAGCCTCTTGTATCATGTTTGCGTCCGAAGTAAGATGAGAAAGAATACCTCCGGTGCCCGCATCGTCAAAAACTGCAATGTTTTGCCGAAGAACGGCAGCGAAATACTGAATCTTGATTCTGCGAGCGATTCTACTGGCCGTGTAGATGAATCCCGCTGTGCCAATTGTCCACGATGCCAGGGAGATGAAGAAAAAATAAACGTAATACAGTGAGAATTGGTTAATCAAAGGTGCAACAGCATCTCCTTCGGATGGAATCCTAGCAAAGAATTCAAACAAGTATGCGTTGGCAATCTACCTTTTAGCATTAGTAAAAGAGGACAAGGACGGTTTAATTTCGATATTGTCTTACAGGTGCCGTTGGATGCAACACTCCCGAAATGAGGGCCGAAATCGTACTGATGCCAACGAGTATGATATCAAACCAGGATGCATGTCTATAGAGACCGAAGAATGATGCCTCCGTGTCACAGAACTGCAACTGTTTATCCAGCAGTTCCTTCTCATGCGGACTTGGAGTTGATGTCGCTGTATCTTGAGCCATCTTGTTGTTGCTTTCCTCGTCCCATGAGGTCACTGAGGCTGGTGGCGAGTCAAGGCGCCTCTCACCAATGAGGCTCGCCTCTGCATCTCCCACGGTTTTGGGGTCACCCATGGCGACTTAATTGACAATATAGGTCGACATCAAATCAAAAATCCGGGATTTTCCATGGAAAGAGAATATAACACTCAATAGGAAGGGAAGCTGAAGTCGTGTTTACCGGGTGATCTGAACGGCTGTCGGCAGATTGCATTCCAAACCGGCAGCCGCTTCCGAAAGATAATAACTAGATGTAATGCAAACTATCAGATTCTATGAGACTACCCAGTTTCTGTTGTGTTCTGCAAGAGGTGTATCGGCGAGACGCATCAGGCAGTTGTGATAGATCGTTGTGGCATCGTGGGGATCGTGGATAGTCAGCATGACTGTGCATGCCGCCACGTGCGAGCGCAGAGACTAGCTCCACACATTGAAGATATACTCTCCATCGACTAGAATGATACAGAGACCGGGAATAAGCGAACATCTTGAAGCCAAGAGACGGGAATTGGGGCAGAGTCATAGGAAGCTCTTGCAAGACAGCTCTCGAGCAGTAAAAATTAACGATAGTTGGTTAATGTATAGCAACTTGACATGTAGTATACGATGAAACGGTGCTTTGAACCTAAAACTAATTGGCCTACCCTACATGATTTCCCACCTAACGAAAGACGACAGAAACAACGGTAAAATGGCATGGAAACCTAGGGCCATCTCGTAGAGCAATTAATTCTCCGGTATATTGTAACCAAGTTCGTTCCAGGGTATGTAGACATCAAACCCGTTAGGTCATGATGCAATGTGCCTTCTATGTGCCCACTATGTGCTCTCTATCTGCTTCTTGTACTCAGCTGAGTCGTCAGCCGAGTCCACGATGCATCTCGGAAACCAAAACTTGCTTGATTTGTCGATCAACCTAGCTGTTCTTATCTGAGCTCTGTTAGTTGAGAATTCATATATTATGGAAACCAGAATCCTCCTTGTATGGCTTGAAATGCTAAATCACCAAGCAGCAATCAAACCGCAACCGATCAACGCCTCAGTCGCAACAACCAGACCAACATCGCCTCAACCATGGCTAGTTTCGAGCAAGTCAAAAGTGACTACGACACTCAGGCCGAAGGCTACAATGACATCACACACCTCCCTTGCTTCATTGTCGAGACAGAGCTCCTAGGGGTTGCACTGGGAGACTGCACCGGCCTCAGAGTGCTCGACTTTGGCGGCGGCTCTGGATTGCATGCTCGTCAAGCGGTCGATGCCGGTGCGGAATCTGTTGACATCATTGATCTCTCCACTGAAATGCTCAGAGTGGCCGATGATGCCGAGAAGCAGCTTGGGCGTGTTGGCAAAGTCCGCACCTTCGAGGCCGACGTCACCAAGCCCATTGACCACCTGCATGAGAAGGGCCTGCACAAACAATACGACCTAGTCATGTCCAACTTTTGTTTCGACCACGCAACTTCGAGACAGCAGCTTGAGGATATGTGGCGCAACGCAATCTCTCTCCTAAAGCCCGGCGGCCGCTTTGTCGGTGCCCGCGTTGGGAACATGAAGAGCAAGGCTTGTGCCGACGGTCGATACGGCGTCACATACAAGGATTTCCAGGACATTCCTGGAGGCGTGCGATACCGCTATATCATCCACCTGAAAGAGCCCATCGAGTTTGAAGCCTGTTCGCTGGAACTGAGCTACTCGGGAAGCACCGAAATTCAGGAGAAGCTTGGTTTGACTAATTTTGAGGAGATTCCGTTCATGAGCTCCAAGGCGGTGGCAGCCAACCCGGAATACTGGAGGACTTTCCTGGACGATCCGAGCATGGCTGTTTTGACTGCTACCAAAGCAGTCACTGCTTCTACTTAACACGAAAGTCAAGGTAGACCTTTAAATATATTCTCAATTCGCGTTAACAGAGTGCATGAGCTTTTGTGGCTTGTATAGTTTAAATGGATTCATACGTAGGCTGGCAGTGGCAGTGCATCTTCATAATACAGAAGCCTGGTTGATATGTCCCTTTCCCTTCTATCTCGTGCTCCTAAGGACGCCCGGAAGCGTGGTCAGCAGTGATATAGCAGGAAGAGGGACGAATATAGGAAGATGGGTGGGTAGAGAGGGAGGAACAAGCTACGTTGTAAATAGCCCCGACCCCCCTCTCCCCCAACAACAGGCATGGGTTATTAAATAACACGAATTTCACCAAATTCAAAGAATCTTTTGCCTAGCTATCCCCATCATCATTTTATCAATTCCAGCAATTACAACTTGATCTTCTTCATTTCTACTCCTCTCAAGCCTCCCAAGTTATCAGTGTAATGCAATTTCTTTACAGCCCAGAGAATAAAAGAGTTAAATCTATGTGCTGACAGGCTTGTGTGAGATTATCTAGCTGGTGATTCGTTGAATCTAACTGCAGCCAGTAGCTAAGAGTCTTTCTCTCAAACCTGACAAACCTGAAAACCTCTGCAACGGCACATGCAATTGAGATTTAGTCTACAAACAGATACCCAGCAACACTGTATTAAACACGTACAAATGCCAAACACATTCTCAATAATTGTTCTCAGATAGGCCGTAATCTTTACCAAGCACCCGTTAGTTATGGAGTTTCTCTTTATTGTACAGCCCTTGAGCCGCGGGTCCCTAGTCATTCAGATGCATCAAAACCTAGAATCAGTCATCATAACCCTCATGCTAGCCCCCAACATAACATCAGCAATATAAAACCTGGCCGTCAGTATTCTCAAAGATCAAGCAAGAGTTCAAAGTAAAAGCGTCACATGATTCATTAATCCCTTGGTAGCGAGTATGCTTTACTACCGGGACAATTCTAAATTGCAATTTCCTACTTGAATAGGTATAGTTGTGTTTTTCTACGTGTTATTTGGCAAACTGATTGCGAATCAGCAGATGTGAATCACGACATTACCAACGTGCATTTTCTTCTTTGTAGTCTAGTCACAGAGAAGCTAGGGCAAGGGTGGGTGTGGTCAGACCCCAGCCTTGTTGAAGTGTGACCCATGGCCTCAACCTCAATTGGATGGCCCTGTCATAATGCCAAGATGAGTTCACAGTTGTCAGCTGAGTGTGCATTCCCAACTGGTGAAACCCACAAGGATTCCTTCCAACACCAAGAGCAACAGCGTGAGATAGCGTCAGCAGTTAATTCTTACACATGAAACCACGAAAGAATTGTACTTCTGAATTTACAAGTCAGTCTTGGAAGTAGAAGCTACCGATCGTGCTCTTACAGAGTAACTTAATGAGTGTGTCAGCCACTGCGCTAATGATCCTGTAGGAACACTTCCGCGCATCACATACGGATGCATGTAAGTAAAGATAATTAACTCAACTGAGAAATTCCAAGTGATAATAGCAGAGATGACTTGATAGGCTGAGAAGCCTTATTGACTCGCTTACTCTCAACATGGCAAGATGATGTGTCGCTCATGACAGGGGAGCATTGCTTGGTAACCCTTCTGGTTTCGGCAGGAGTTGGATTGAACCGAGGTCAAAGCCGAAGTTGAATGAGCTTCTATTGTCCTTCTTTTCCTTCTTTATCCGGTGGAAAACCGACAGTCTGTAGTGGGATAGTTACCTTCGTCGGCACAAGATTTCCTCTCATTCCCCTCAATCATGGAAAACAACAACAAAAGATCCCCATTACGAGTGGCCATTGTTGGCATTGGTCACCGTGGCTACAATACCCATTTTCTTTCTGCATTTGAGAACCCGAGATCATGGACAGTTGCAGCCGTCTGCGATGTCGATGACAAAAGTCGGAACCGCTTCATGAGCAAGCATCCCGACATCCCTGTATACACGACTCTGAATGACTTGCTAAGCAACCACGGCAAGCAACTGGACTTCGCCATCGTGTGCGTTCCGCATGCGTTCCACCTAGAATGCTGTGAGGCTCTGTCTCGAGCTGGCGTGCCGATCCTCAAGGAGAAGCCGGTAGCAGAGTCGTTAGAAGAATACCAACAGCTTCTCAGGTTGCCAGTTAAGATTGGTGTTACTTTTCAAAAGCGGTTCGAGCCACGTTACTTAGCCGTAAGGGATCTTCTCCCACAAGTTGGTCAAGTGGTATCGTTTAGGGGCACCCTAACTGCGAGCATCGCGGCCCTGGATGCTACCTGGCGGGCGAGAAATGATGTCGGAGTCACTGTATGTGCTTTCGGAACCCCAGTCCTCTGTTTATCTTGCCCGGAACATTTGATTCTAACGCATTGTGCCTAGGAAGACCTTGGTTGCCACATGCTCGACATGATCGTATCTCTCTTCGGCAAGCCGACTTCAGTCTCGGCACAGAATGCCCGCGGTGTTAGAGTCGATCAAACGTATGGTGGTGATGACATATCCAACATCATTATGAACTTTGGAGAAGCTGCGAAGCGTAACATTGGCCATGTGCATCTCTCGCGCGTAGCTCACCGTGGAGAGGAGTCCCTAGTCATTACGGGAACAAATGGCACGTTTGTCCTGGAAGGAAAAGAAGTAATCCTGCGGGATAGCGCCGGCAATGAGACATTTAGTTTCAGTGATTCCTCATCGAAGCAGTTTGTCGTCATGTCCATGTTACGACAGTTCTCAGCTTGGGTAACTGGAGCGGAACCGGATTTCTCTGCTTCATTGGCAAATTTGAAGGAGACCGTTGATGTGATGGAGGCCATCCGGCGTTCTTACCGTAACCCGCATACAAGTGAGAGTCTCGTATCGGGCGGCAAACCTATCAAGGCTGCTTTGGAAGCGTCTCTTGATGGCGAACACCATGTGTGGCCGTTACTTGGGCCAGAATCCGAGGAGGCTGTCGTTCGCCAAATGCATTCTTCATTGTCCATCTACAACCGTTCAGACGTTTACGAGGTCTTCGAGGATAGGTGGCGAAAGATGCATGGATTGAAGCATGCCCTTGTGTGCAGCTCAGGTACCATCGCCATTCTCCACATGTTCGACGCTCTCGATTTACGGCCTGGTGACGAGGTTTTGTGTCCCGTCTACACCTTTTTTGCCACTGCATCTCCTATGCTGCAGTACGGTGCTGTCCCCATCTTCTGTGATTCTCTGGAGGATGGCAACTTGGACCCTGCCGAGATCTTGAAGAGAACAACCCCCAAGACCAAGGCCGTCATCGTCACGCACATGTGGGGCTTGCCCTGCAGAATGGAGGAAATTGTCCGCAATGCTCAAACGGCCGGCATCAAGGTGCTTGAAGACTGCTCCCATGCACACGGAGCTGTCGTCGACGGTAAATTGGTAGGATCTTGGGGTGACATGGCGGCCTGGTCTCTCCAGGCAAAGAAGAACATCATGGGAGGACAGGCTGGCGTGATGGCCACCAACTCGACTGATTACTACTCTCGGTCTATTCTTCACGGGCATTTCAACAAGAGAGCCAAACAGGAGGTTCCCGAAGATCACCCTATGAGGAAGTTTTGGTGTAAGTATCACATGCTCGCTGGCTCTTTGCTCGGATAGAACTAACAGCCCCATCTTCACAGTGACTGGCTTTGGCCTCAACTTGCGGGCTCATCCCTTGGCCATCGCTCTTGCAAACCAACAACTTGACCTTTTACCATCCCAGGACCAATACAGGCAAAAGTATGCCGCTTATGTGGACAACAAGCTGAGCGCCATTCCCTTCCTTAAGATGCCCTCTGTACGAAACAAACGCCGAGACAAACATGCTTGGTACGCATTTGTGATGCAATTTGATTCCTCCAAAGCACCAAAAGGCCTCACACGAGATGATTTTGTGCGTCGACTGGAAGACCGTGGGCTCAAGGAAGTAGATATCCCACGGTCGACCGGGCTGCTCAACGATTTGCCGCTCTTCACGCATTCTCATGAGGCGATACCAAGATTTGGCACTGAGCCTTGGTGCGAGGCTCAGGCGACAGCTGAGTTTCCCATGGCACAGGACTTTTACCTTAATGCCATTAAACTACCCATGTGGGCGACAAAGGGCGACAGGCCCATCGTGGAGCACTACGTGGAGGAGTTTCTGCTGGTGGCTCACGAGGCTATGGGTGGATCGCTCACAGAAACAACCAAGTCAACCCGTAAGAATGCCACCGACATCATCCAAGCCAGGCTGTGAACTATGCAGCCAGAGCATTTTGGAGCCAAAATAGATCGCTAGATTAACATTTCTTTCACTTATTAACTTATTAATGCTCAATTTCTGCCAACCTGAAAAGACCTGCGCAGCCCATAATTTTTCTATTAGATAGCGCCAGTAAAACAGATTCACACTTCATGCTCTCTATGCCAGAAATGGTATCCTACAAAAGAGAGTTTGTATTTTTGATAAATGGCTAGCATTCCAAGGTAATCATTCAAATATCTTAATCTAAGATGACAGAAAACCAAACCGTAACCACTACTGCATATATACACCATGACGGTACCCGTTCCGGCGTCTATCTGGAAGTTTATGTATCAACAGACTCTAAATTCAAAGACAAGGTTTGTGCTTCTTGCAGCAGCATTGATCACAGCAAATTATATGACATCGATATATATACTATAATCACGTACAAAGACTAGCAAATGCAACGGGCATGTGTGCTGCTACCATATTAATTTCATTTACCCCACCCAGTGCCGTGAACACTCTCCACCCCATACTATATGGCTTGTGGTCAACATGCAAATCCTTGAGAGAGTATTCATGTCTTCAAGTTCCCCCCTGCATTCTCACGGCATTCAAGCCCGCGGCAGCACTTAGTAGTCACCGACTGAGCAGGAACACCGCCGTTCTAGGTCTAACCCTTGAGCTAAGTGCTGACTAAGACGTAAACATTATTGATAAATCTATTTTAGACAACTATGGTGTGGGTGCCGTCAGGGTTGCTAGTGCCGGTCGACTCTATCCTGGGGTATCGTGGCAGAGGTACCTGCCTGTGCCTTCGATGATAGCAGCGCTTTATAGACAGGCTTTCTAAACTACCTAGGTGGTCTATTAAAACCGAGGTAATACTTGTCGCAGGGAGAGTCGAGTGAGATAGAAAAACACTTACTCTATCTAGCAAGCGTTGGCCTACAGAGCCAGGGTTGTCATTTCGTACGTACGAAAACATTCGTATTTTCGTAGTATGAATTTTTTCGTATTTCATATACGAAATACGAACCAGCTCCTTTGGCAGTAGTCGATGCTAAGGTAGGAACAGTTGCCCCAGGAGACTTTTGGTTAACGGTGTCCTATATCTCGCACTATTCAAAAGCGATCTTCCATACTAGTCTCCAGTCCGCGTAGTTATCTCCTTTGCTCCACAGTTAAGGGAGATTAGACAGATCTAGTGTAAATGCGAAGGGGTTCAATGCCCTACTGGTGCTATCCCTGAATTAGTTAACATGCAGTAAGAATTAAACAGGGCCCCTAGTAAAATACTTCTTACAGAAGCTAAGTATATAGGGAAAACTAAAAAAAAAAGATGTAATTTATAATTTATTATTAAATAAATAAAATAATAATATAAAAGAGAAAAGGTTTAATAAATAATATAAATAATAAAGAAATAATGGCTTTATTTTTATAATTTTATATATTACTTTAAATTTTATATATAATTTTGTAAATTATTTTTATTAGGGGTTTAAGTATAATAAACTAGTTTATACTAGGTAGTATAGGGTAATTCTTAAGGTAATAAACTAGTTATAGTTTATATTAATAAAGGCAGTAGAATATAGTAAGTAATTTTATTATATAGCTAGTAAGTTAAATATAAAAATTAATTTTATTATTATATTAATAACTAATTATTTAAACTATTTAAGTAAATATAAATGATTTTTTTTATATAATAAGTTATTTTATAAAAAATACTATAATATATTATTTTTATATATATATATAAAATACTTACTAAATATTATTTTTTTATTAAAATAATATAATTTAGTTATTCCTTTTATATTAAAATAATATAACTTAATTATTTTATTAATAATTAACTAAAGTAATTTAATAATTAATTTAATACTTATTTTAGAGTATTATAAAAAATTAAGTTATAATATAATATTCCCTTTTTATTAACTTTATTCTTTAGGTTAATAAAAAACCCTTTATTTTAATATATAATTTTAGTAAGTTTTTTTCTTTTTTATAAATTATTTATTATATTTAACTATACTTTAATTTATAAAAAGTATAAAACTATTTTACTTATTAAATAAATATTTCCTTAGGATTATTTATTAATATACTTTATATTTATTATTATTAAGCTAAATTACTATATATTATATTAAAAATATTTTTTTATTATAGATATTATATAAAAATATATAAATTTTATAATAGTATTTTAGTATTAAGTTTTTATAAATAATTATTTTTTATTTTAAATAAGTAATATTAATTTAATTTTTAGTAAAAGAAATATTAATTTAATATTAAATATTAAAGTATTAAAAAAATTAATAATTAAATTAAGTTTTTAAATAATTAAATAATTAAATAATTAATTTTTAAGCTTAGTTAACTAAGGCCTTAAGTTAATTATTTTATATTTAAAAAATATATAAAAAAGTAAAAAAATAAAATAAAAAGTTATTTTATTAAAGTATAAAAAAAAATACTAAAGTAATTACTAAGTAATTTATAATATAAGATTTATAACTCCTAGGGGTATTTAATAATTTAGTTTTCCTTAAGTATAAGTTTAAAGGTTTTAAATTTAAGTTCTTTAGTATTAATAAAAAATATTTTTTTTATTATTTTTTTAAGTTTTATTTAGTATTTTTAATTTATTTATTTTATTTTAAATTTTATTTTTATAAAAGAATTATTTAAAATTACTTTTAAGTAATTAAAATTATTAATAAGTTTTTATATATTTTTACTTTTATTATAATTTTATTATAACTTACCTCTTATACTCATAATAATAGGCCTATAGGGTAGCTAATTATAAATAAATATTAAACTAACTAACTAATTAAAAATAAATTATTAAATTATTTAATAACTTATTAATCTAAGGATAAATTATTAAAACTTTAAGATAATTTATAATAAAATTACTAATACTTATTAATAATCCAGCCTAGTTAATTAAGTATATAATTTAATAAGGATCCTTAATTAGGTTTATAACTAGTGGTTAGTACTGGCTAGGATAAATAACTAAGCTAGGCTTTAGCTAGCTTAGTAATATAAAATAAGGAATATTTCCTCTAGCTAAATAAAAAAACTAAAATATATTATTATAATAAAAATAACCCTAGCTAAAATAATAGCTTTATTTTAATTAAAATAAGGCTATAGTAATTAAATTAAATAATACTATAATTTTATTTTTATATTATAGTTTTTATAATAATTAAATAAGCTAGGTAGCTTATAAAGGTATTTAAGTATTAATAACTTAGTTTAAAAGTATATTTTTTAATTATTAATAAAATAATAACTAAAATAAAAGAATTTTTTTATTACTTTATTATTTAATTTATAAAAAAAGCTAATTATTAAAACTTAAACTTTATTATATATATTATAAAAACTTTATTACTTTAATTATAAATAAAAACCTAAGATTATTTTATATAAATATTAATATTTATAAAAATTAAAACAAAAAAGTTTATAATTAAATATTATAAAAATAAATATAAAATATTAATACTAAAATAAATTAAAAGTATTAATTAATTATTTAAAAATAAAAAAATTAAGTAAATAAGTAATAAAAAATACCCCTTAGCTATTACTAAAACTTATATTTTTTATTAAATTATTATTTAAATTATAAATTAAATTTTTATTTTTATTTTTAAAAAAATAATAATAAAAGGAAATAATTTAAACTTTTAACTTAATTATTTAATTAAAATACTTAAAAAACTTAAAATATTTAAAAACTTTAAAAATTAAACTAAGTAAAATAATAAAAAAAATAATAAAATATTTAAAAAATATAAAAAAATTACTTAATATTAATAAAAAAATAATTATTTTTTTTTTAAATTTTTTTTATAAAAAAAATAAATTAATAATATAGTAAAATAATAAAAAAAAAAAAATATTATTAAAAAATTTTTATTAATATTAAAAAAACTTTTTTTTTAAAAAAAACTTAAAGTAAAAATAATTTTTTTTATTACTTTAATACTTTATAATTTTAAAAAAATTATTATAAAAAATTAATTAATTCCCTAATATAAAGGTTATATTTATTATTAAAAGGTTTAGTAAAGCTATAATAGCTAAGTTAAAGGAAAACTATACCCTAGCTTTTAGTTTAAAATCTAAAATTAATTTATAACTTAACTTAATTAACTATAGCTAACTAAGTTAAACTTTAAAAATTTAGGTTATAAAGTATAATTAATTAAGGTTTAAGACTAAACTTAAATATATATATATATATAAAAAAGCTTAAATAATAAAGTTTAAGTATAATATAACTAACTTTAAGCCTATAACTTATAGTTTAATAACTTAACTAAACTAAATAGGATTATTTTATTAAGTTCTAAAAGGCAGTAATAATCCTATTTAAAAATAAATTATATATATAATATAAAAGATTACTTAATAAGACTATATACCTTAACTACTTCTTATTAAGAGAGATAATTATTATAAAAGCTCCTAAGTAATAGCTATAACTTAACTTTAACTTAGAATATATAGTAAAATAGCTAAGTAAATAGCTAAATTTATAATTAATAAAATTATAAATTTATAATTAAAAATTTTAAAAAAGGAAAAACTAAAGCTAAGTAAGGTAAAGTATAAGTTAAATTAGCTAAAGGGTATTAAAAACCTTAAGCTAAGTAAAGGGATTAAGAAAATTATTAAAAAAACTAATAAAGTAGTATAAAGGCTTTTTTATAACTGGTTTCTTTTAGGTAGTTTATTTTTTATACCTAGGAGATTAATTCCCTAATATAAGTAAAATATATTTTTATTATTATAATAAATACTTATATTACTTTTACTAAATATAATAATTAAACTTAAAAATTAAACTTAATATTAAATAAAATAAATAAAAATATAAAAAAATTATAATTAATTAAAAAGTTAATAATATTATTTAATTAATAAAATAATAAAAAATTAATTACTAAAAAAAACTTAAAGTT